CCGTTCGACGCGCGGCGTCGCGCTCGTCATCCCGGGTATTTGGGGATGCTGGGTGGCTCAGGTGGTTGCGTGGCGGCCCGAAATAGAGGCGATCGCCCGCGCAAAATCACGTCGACTCGCGCCGCGAATAGTGCGCGCCCACCGTCTTCTCGAGAGACCGCGGTAATTTTAGAACGTTTTGTTTTCGTGCCAGGAACGCGCTGCGTGAGTCGCGAATCGCGCGCGACCGCGTGCCGCTGCCACCACGGCGCGAGTTGCTCGCGAGATTACGCCTCGACGTCGAGATCGATGCACGCGCCGTCACCCACGCGACCACAAACGCCCGTTTAGAGAAACTCGCGATCATTTCGTGGGGGTGTTTTACGCGATCAGTGAGAAACAATTACGAGACTCGTCGTTACCAGTGTCAGTGTTAAGTACGCTATGGGGTTCTGTTGACGAGACATGGGACATTGGGTGGTAGGTCGAGGAGCATATACAGGGTGTTCGTTCACCCCTGGAAAGAATTTTGGAAATTTGGAGATTCTAGCCATTTTTGGTCAGACATTATAATTTCGGTAAAGAATTTTTTTCTCGAAAGTGCGTAAGATTTCGAGGGTATGTCTATTTACCGAAAATAATTGTAATCCACCCCTGCACCCAAGAGTAATTTTTTTAGAACGATTTGAAATTTTTTAATTTTCTAGAAAAATTTTACCCCATCTCGAATTTTTTTCTCGGTAGTGCGTAGGATTTCGAGTGTATGTCTATTCACCAAAAATGTTTGTAATTAATCCTCGAAACTGAAAATAATTTTTTTAAAACGATTTGAAATTTTTTAATTTGGTCGAAAAATTTCACACCTTCTCGAATTTTTTTCTCGAAAGTGCGTTGGATTTCCAGGTTATGTCTATTCACCAAAAAATGTTTGTAATTAACCCCCGGAGCTGAAAATAATTTTTTCAGAATGATTTGAAATTTTTTAATAACTTTTTAAAAAAGCCTCAATCAACAAAGTGATATTCTTGATTTTCGTCTTATTTTGGCCTCTAGAATCTCCCATTAAAATTCTTCTCAGGGGTAGTTGAACACCCTGTATATACAAACGGAAAGTCGATCGAGCGCTTGCGAGAAAAACGCTCCCTCTAGTGACAAATACGAAACGTGATGTTCCCCACAATGCTTTCCTGAAAGAATTCTGGTTCCCCGGGAAAAAAGGGAAACTCGAAGAGAAGGATAGAAATAAAACTAAAGCGACCATTTGTATCGTAAGGTAAGGCGTACCACGATTACAGCCAAAAAGTTAAGTACTTTTAAGAAAAATTTCGTAAAGAAGAAACTTGGTTGCTGGTAAAATTCTATGACCCTAGTGACTCGTGATATCAGAGAGTCGAACTGCAGCGGGTAACGGGACTAGTTTAATTTCATTGTCGTCGAGGAGAAAGCGTTGGAGAATAGTTTAAAAAAACGACCCGAGCACGGACGAACGGTCGACCGTCGGGCAAAGTTACGAGAACCGGGCATCAATTAAGCGTAGTTTCTGTCCGTAAATCGTCGCGTCGTTATATCTCGTTCGCTTGTTAGACGAGGCCGAGTCGCAGACAACCTCGGCGCATCCATCGCGAGTGAACGCACGTCGGCCCGATAAACGCTCTTCCGTCTTATCAAATCGCTTCCGTTTACGCGTCCCGCGAACGTGCTCGTAAAAGGCTCGGATTAAAGAGTGGAATTACACGAAACGAAACGCGAGAGGGGGGGACGAGGCACGAAGAGAAAGAAAAAGAAAAAGCAGGGAATGAAGTCGAAACGCCCGAAGTGATAGCCAAATCGAGAAACACGCTCGTTTTACACCGATCGCCTGCCTCCTACGGCCGTATCCTTACCGCCGTGGGATTGACAGCGGCAAATCCGACCGCCTTTTTTAGTGTCGAGACTAATTTTTCGAGTTTAAATGGTCTATATCGCGTGACGTCGATCGACGAAAGAAAGAGCGACGAGCGACTGGGGAGCACGAAGGGAAGACTGATGAAAAGCGACCCGGAAAGTCGGAAAGTCGCTGAAAAGTGGGTGAAAAGCGCGCGGCGTGGAGGAAAGGGGGGAAAATAGAAGGGAGGAGGCAAATCGGTGGAGAGATAGAAAGAAAGGGGGCTGGGGAGGTGGGGAAAGGAAAAGGAAAAGAAAAAGAGACGGAGAACGGTCGCGTGGCCGTGCGTGGCCCCAAATAGGGCATCAGGTGGTTGCGCGACGCCCGCGAGAGAAAAAGATCGTTCGCGCGTGCGCAGAGGCGCGTGTGCCTCTCGTAACCGGGCGCGCGCACGCATGTACGCGAGCACCAGAACGGCACGCGCGCGCTCTTACAGGTGGTGGCAACCGGCTGCACACAGGAAATTGCTCCTTTGCCGTGCAAACTCGCTACGGACGGAACTTTAAGCGACGCCGTTCACCCGGATCAGTCGACGGGCCGATCAAACTGGCGTTCTAGGAGAATCGACGCTCCTAGACCGACGCGTCTATCCCACGATATTCTCACCTGTTGCGTCTTTATTCGAAACAGCCTCTTCCTTCGTGTTTAACTTTTGAGGGAACCCTTTCGACGGGGCTTTTTATTTGCATCGAGGCTCGTCCTAACGTTTAGGTTACCTTCTGTTATCGAGGGAATTAAAAATAAGTAGTCCCGTCTTACGGTAGGTCAGACACCCGAACGACTATCGATCCCCGGCGACATCGAATAGCGACTCGGGACAAACATTACCACACGTGGCCCGGAAATCGAACCGAGCTAATATTGAAACCCTCCGTGACGCTTTCGAGATAAAATAATCCTTGGTACCTCGGAAGGGACCAACGCGCGAGCTTCAACCCCTCGAACGTGCAGCGTGTTTAATCGATATGCGTTCCACGAGGTGGAACACTGGCGGCGGTCGCGAGCCCTCGAACGTTAAACCGACGCCTGTCATCGACGGAGACGAGGCGTCGATACGCCGGCGCCGTACGCGTCACCGACTACGAGCTTACGCGGAGAGAGGAGCGGCGGCAGGGTAACGGGGCTACTCCCTGCGATTGCTAAATTATTCGTTAGAGATCTCGACTTTTGACGGAGAAAACCGTTCCCCTTCTGCTTCTATTCTTAAACCGTCGAGGAAGACAAAAGTTAACAAACATGCCAGGATATATGAATACAATATAAATATAGACGCTATCTTACTATGTAAACGTACTTAAAATATTCGACGAACTTACTATTTCGTCGATCGTAATATGTTCGATTGCGTGTGTATTATAGTTTGCATTTGATTTGATCTAACGCACGCGAACGACTATTTTACTTTAGTCGAAATGATTGCCCCCAAACATTAATTCTCGAAACGAAACGACGCGTGGAGAGGATATTGGAAGAATGGTCGATCTGCAAGTTTTAAACTCGCCTCGTCGCGAGGAAGAAGAGTCGCGCGCGTGAGTCGAAGCCACGTCTACGTCACGCGTGCCTACGTCACTGGAGAACCGAGCGGCGCGTCGTCGAGGAGGGAGAAGCGATGATAGAGCGAGAGGCGTGGAGGGGTGCTAGGGGAAGGTGGTGGTCGACGGGTGGGGGTAGAGATGCCTGCGAGCGGTGGCTCGCAGTGACGACGGCGGTGATCGCAGGGTGGGGGTGGAGGCGCGTGTGTACGTACACACGTACGCGCGTGACTATATACGCGTCACGCAGACAGCGGCGGGTTGATAGGGGACCGCAGAGCGGGGATTGGCTGGCGGTCGACTCGCCGCTTCCAAATATGGGACAGTCTCCGCGGTCCATTCATAAAACTACGGGGCGCGCCGCCGCTCGGCTCAGTTCGTGCGCGACCCCCACGCATCGCGCGTCCTCCGACGATCCCCAACGCGCGATCCGCTTCCTCTCGGTCCACGCATACCTAACCGCTCGGAGATATACGTACCGACCTACGTCGCACGGTAAACCCGACCGAAGAGGTAGGAATAAGGGGCGAGAGGGGGAGATAAAGAAGGAGACGCGGAGAGGAGAAGGAAAAGGACGGAGGACAACGGAACGACAAATAGGCGCGCGGTCGCGCGCGCCTACACCTACGCGAGGCAAAACACGAGTGGATCCGCGAGCGAAGGAACGATCCTAACGAATTTCGATCAACGAAGGACGCGGTAAACGCTACTGGTTTTTGGAAGAGGACTCGCGGTCTCGTTCGCGTTCCCACCCCCCGTTTTTGCACCGCGTTACCACGCGTTTACGCGCTCGTTGAGCGACCGCCTGCTGTCCCTTCTGGTCCCCGAGGGGTCGGATGCATTCCGGATCGGGACGACGATCGGTCACGATCCGGTGAGATTGGATTTTCTCTGTCCCGTACACTTTGCTGGTGGTGGTGGTGGTGGTGGTGGTGGTGGTGGTGGAGGTGGTGGTAGTGGTTTTGTGGCTGGTGGTGGTTGTACGCACGGTGGTGTATTGTCCGACCGCGACAAATCGCGCGAGTGCGCGCGCGCGGCCGTGCTTGGTCGCGTAAGAGAGAGGGAAAGAAAAGGAAGGACGGAGAGGCGAGCGATCGAGACACGGTTTTTGCCGCCCGGCGTCCGCTCCCTCGTGTGTACCTCGCTGAAAGAGACTCGGCGCGTGCCGCGCGACGGATAAAAAAGGGGGAGCGCGTGCTACGACCGCTTGACTACTAACCCAGTGACTCGAGCTTCAGGGGAAGGAGGGAAGGACTGATACGACCGATCTCTACGTACTTGACGTTTCGATTTTCTGGCTCGTTTCGAAGCGTGTCCGCCGTCCGCGCGTCGTTAACCGCCAAACCAAAGGATACGAGTACACGCATAGGTATCTAATAAAGACAGAGACTGAATTAAACGACTGAAAAGGCTAACCCCCTCGTAGTACTTGTACCGGTGGGTGTAAAAGGGGGAGAGAGAAAGAGAGAGAGAGAGAAAGAGAGAAAGAGGCTTAACTGTGTCGGGGCGACCGAGGAAGGACAACATTTTAACCATAATAATAGCGTTGAACGATACAACCGCAGGCGAGGACACGCAGTGCGGTACCGAGGAGGCTGTCGCCGCCGGCCAGGGAAGCGACCCGCTCCAGAGGATGACGATGGACGGCATGGAAGTGGTGGGCACGCAACCCCACGCGGCCACCAGCCCGTTTCTGCTATCGTCGCCGCCCCTTGGTCATCATCATCATCACCATCATCACCCCACCTTCAATCTACAGACGGTGCAGCTAAGCTTCGACGCGTGTTTGCCGTACAACGCGGCCACGTCCTCGAACTCGATCGTTTGCGGCGTCGGCGGCACCTCGTCGCCGGTTCCCACCACATGCACCTCATCGACGAGCTGCAACAAGACGATACCAATTCTCTCGTTGGCTACGTGCGTCCCGTTGCACGCTCAACACCAAAACAATACCGAGGCCGCGGAACACCATGGGCCCCACCATCAGCATCATCATCATCACCACCATCAACGGCTCGAGGATCATCAGCATCATCGGCACGTCGATGCCTCCTCGCCGTCGAACGACTCCAACGACGGCAAGCGACGGCTGCAGTCCGTCAACGAGGACAAGGACTGCTCGAGGGACTGCAGGGACGATCTTCAGGAACCGATCGAGAAGGATAAGCCAGGTGACCTAAACACGCCGGTTACCACCAGCAGCGATTTACCGTCCTTCTTCGGCCCCTCCGCGCTCGTCGAGCCACCTCCTATTTCAGGTACCTACAAATCAGCAGCCCTTTAAATCGTTCTTCGATCGACCACCAAATCTTCTCGTCTCCTAGTCCCCCGTTCGCTCGATCGTCGTCCCACGTCGTAAACATCGAATACGGTGTTTACGAGGCTAGGTTTGTTTCTCGTTCCGTATCCTCCGGGTCGCGTCAAAATAAACGCCCACCCCCTCCAACCACGGCGGTAGTATCGGCTGGTTCGTACTCCGGCAACCTTGCACTTGCTCTCTGCGTTTCACGAGCATCCCTCCGACTTTCGCTTTCCGCATATCCGCACAACTCTTGCTGCTGCTGCTACCCTCGTGGCTCCGCCATGCACCCCTCCGACGAACGGGCCGGCTCGGCCGCGGTCACGTTTTCAATGTCGCCGCGGGGAAATCGCGACGAGGTGACGTAGATATATGTATACATATCGGTTGGCTCGCGAAAACGGGCTAATATCGAACCTGCCCGCCACGGAGCGGATCAATACTCGGCCGACCCCGACATTCAGAGACCCTCCTCCGCGTCCCCCGCATCGCCGACGCCCCCGCGCCTCCACCTCTGCCTCCTACCGCCCCCTTTGCCGGTTCATTCATGCTTCCGAGTGCCCCCACCACGTTCCTACGGAGCAACGCCGACCCACCCTCCGTCGTTCGCGTCTTCCGCGACGCACTCGCGAAACTAAAGACATGATTTTTCACGGATATCGGGAATGGAAATCGGTCGCTTTCGAGTAGTCCAGTTTTCGGTTTTTCGGTTTTCGGTAGGAAGCGACACGATACAACGAAAAACGTAGGAAGGAAGTAACGAGACGGCAGGATGCAGACGACAGATAGAGCCGCGAGTCGCGAGATAAAGTCACCCCCGTATCGCACGGTGCTTCCTGTCGATTCTTTTAGGTCGCGGTGCACGCGCGCGCACGACCACCAGCGCGAGACCATTCGCGCGATCTTGATCCCGAGACTGACGCGAGACTCGATGGATGGTTTTCAGGCAGCCTGGCGGGCGAGGACCTGTCCCTGGAAGAGGCGACACCGGAGGACGATGAGACGGCGACCTCCGCCAGCAGGGATCACCGACACCACCATCACCAGGAGTCCCAGGACAACGGGACGGCGGGGGCGCCACCATCTAGCAGTCCGCCGCGCCACCATCAGGCCCAGGAGGACGCGGATCGTTGCAACGTCCTCCAAGGCGGCGTGATACTCTACTCTTCGCCCCATTCCACGTCGTCGGTGTCATCCGCGCCCGCGACCAGCGTCAACATCTGCAACGTGCCCACGCTGACCTACCGCGGCGTTTTCACGACCACCTGCGCGCAATCCTCGCCGCTGAACACCCTGCAGAACCAGCAGCCGCAGCAGCAGCAGCAGCAACAACCCCAGCAACAGCAGCAGCCGAGCGGCCAGGAGATCTGGGGACCGTTACCCTCGCCGACCCTCACCTTGACGGGTCAACCGTTCCTTCACCCCACTCTGCACTCGGCTCCGTACGGCGGCGAGACCGTCGAACTCCTCCAGGTCGAGTCGAAACCACCCCCGCCGCCAGGTTACCACGATACGCCTACCGCCACCCCGGCTGGCTGGCTGACGGCGCACGAGGAGGCTTACGACCCGAACCTCCTGTCCCACCACCATCCCCATCACCATCATCAGGAGACGACGCTCAAGCAGGAACCGACCGGTACCGCGGGCTACGGACCGACCGTGCAGCAACAGCAACAGCAACAGCAACAGCAGCCTCAACCGAGCCAGCAGCAGCAACAGCAACCGCCACCGGCCGCCGGTACCGGCGTGCAACTCGCGGAGTACAACCCCAGCACGTCCAAGGGGCACGAGATCCTCTCGCAGGTGTACCAACAGAGCGCGTTGCCGCTGAGGCTGGTCCCGGTGAAACCGCGAAAATACCCGAACAGACCGAGCAAGACGCCGGTGCACGAGCGTCCGTACGCCTGTCCCGTGGACGGTTGCGATCGCAGGTTCTCGCGCAGCGACGAGCTCACCCGTCACATACGCATCCACACCGGGCAGAAACCGTTCCAGTGTCGCATCTGCATGCGCTCGTTCTCCAGGAGCGACCATCTCACCACCCACGTGAGGACGCACACCGGCGAGAAACCGTTCTGCTGCGACCAGTGCGGACGTAAGTTCGCGAGGAGCGACGAGAAGAAACGGCACGCCAAGGTGCACCTCAAGCAGAGGCTGAAGCGCGAGGCGACCCACGCGTCCGCCAGAAATCACCCGCAGAGCCACGCATCGCCGCCGTGCAACCAGTAAACACACGACCCTCGAACCGACGCGCCTTTCTACAGGGTGTCTTGTTTCAGTGAGTACACTATCTAGGAAGGAGTAGTTGGTAAAAGACATGTTTGTACAAAAGTTGTTTGGGACGGTGCTATAGTATGTAGTACTAATTGTTTTCTCTGGGTGGATTCCTTAAATATATTCTTTTCTTCAGAGAGTAAGAGCAGGCACTGAGACAGATCCAATGAGGTGCAATATTAGTTTGAATTCTATAAAGGGTAAATTTGTTGAGTTATGTTTACGTCAACAGTCGCTGCTGAGCAGCGTTGGTTGCATTCGTATCAAGTTATTGTTGCAATTATGATATTATAGAAAAATATTAAAAGGTAGATAAGGAAAGGGAACTCATCAGTAAGGCTCTCCAGCAGGCACTGAGACAGATCCAATGAGGTGCAATATTATTTTGAATTCTATAAAGGGTGAATTTGTTGACTTATGTTTACGTCAGCAGTCGCTTGCAGCGTTGGTTGCATTCAAGTTACTGCTACAATTATATTATTGGGGCGCTGCTTTGCTGGTTGTAGAAAAACGAGAAAGATAGAAAAGAGTAGATAGGGAAAGGGGACTCATCAGTAAGGGTCTCTAGCAGGCCCTGCCTTAGACTACGATTGGGGTAGTCGAGGAGCGTATATATAGCAGGTGGCGAGTAAAGCAATTAGTACTACATGATGCAGCCCATTCTATCGAACTTCTAGTACCAACATTCTTTTAATGACTACAACACTCAAACAAGACACCCTCCTGTACGTTCTTCCTTGCGTTGCAACTGAAAACAACGAAGACAAGGAGGGGCGTAAAAACGGGCGTTGTTTCGACGATCGTACGCCGCGCATTCCTTCGATCCATTTTGTAGCTTCTCTCCTCGCCGGGCGACGAGGAAACGACGGAGACCTTTAGGCGGATACGCACAGGCTGCCGTCACCGACTGATCCGTCATCGATCGTCGTCGGTCTTTGCCAGCCGTGGGACTCTCGACGCTTGTAAAACCACGCGTGATACCGAGACGCTTGTTCGGACGATTTATTAGTACGTAAGAGATCCCTGGAGGATTCGTTCGGATAATATTGTAAATACCGCGCGAGGCGGACGTTTTTTTAATTTACCCAGAAAGAAAATTTTTCAAATCTTCTCTCTCGGTCTGCCGTGCCTCGAGGACGAACCGAGGGAGCGCTCTCTTCGTTGTCGCCCGTTAGTTGCATTTAGTTTCCCTTTTTTTTCTTTTCTTCTTCTTTTCCACGGAACGAGTTCGAACGATTCCTAGCTTCGCCGGGTTAAGTTGTTTCCCCCCACGACGACGGGTCGGTATCGGTCCACGAACGGGCCCGTCGGGGATCGTTATTTACGGGCGGTCGCGTTTTATGCCCTTGTTTGCGATCGGGGAACGACCGAGAGACGCGGATGCGAAAAAATCGCGCGCGCCGAGATATTCCAGTGTCGCGGTATACTGCGACCGCGTTCGCGAACGAACGGCGTACGAATCGATACCGCCCGCAGCTTCCGGGAATCAGGGAGGAATTCATCCGACAAGATAGATAGAGAGAGAGAGAGAGAGAGAGAGCAAACGCGAGCGCGTAAAAAAGAAAAAAAAAAATAATATGGTCGCGCGAGCTTCTCGAAACGATCCACCGAGAACGATTCGAAAAGCCCGCGCGCGCCTCGCGATGGGGGGAGTTATCGAAAAGTATTTTCTATGTATTTTTATAAGCGCTCGAACGGATGTGCTCGCTCGCGAGCGTTCGTTCGGGATCCTGCGGGGGAGGCATTAGCGCTGGACGATGCTCAAAATCAGGTTCCGCGTCGAAAAAAAAAAAAAACGAACGATTCGATGTCGCGTGGTCGGTCCGACCAAGAGACGCGCACACACGGCCCTGATATCGTTGCAAGAATCGATCCACGCACTGTTTTGCGTCCTCGAACCTCGTGTCTTTCAATCATACAATCGAACAATCGCTTCGTATCGTCCTCTACCTCTCGAACGGGTCCACGTTGTCTCGTTCCTACTTCGAACAAAACGCCCTTCCGTGATCCGGACACGCTAAAATCTCGGACTTTTCCCCCGCCCACCCGCGTTAACATTCGAACCGTCCTCCCGTGTCCCCCGTCCCGGAAAAGAAAACAAAAAAAAAAGAAAAACCCCCGCGCCATTCCCAGCTTTTTTTTTCAAAAACGCACGTCAAGTCCCCTCCCCCTTCGTTAACGATCCTTTCGCCGCCAGCAAACCCCACGAGTAAAATCGTAATTAGTCGTGATCATCGTTGTTGAACCGGAAGTTTTCCTTTGTAAATATGTATATATATATAATAACGTGTTATAGATATGTATACATGGGTTACGTGTCTAATCGTACGAGCAGAGACAGAGAGTGACAGAGGGAGAGAAAGGGAACCCGTTAAAATCTTTCACTTTCCTCCTTTTAATCTTGCCGCCCTACTTTCCCCTCTTCTCCTCTCGGTTCTCCCCCCCCCCACTCCCCTCCGAAATCGCTCCCCTCCCTCCCTCCCTCCCCCAAGTACGTCGCGATCGTTTACGTGTAATATAAATATGAGTTCAGCGACGATTAATATTATGTATATGTTGCTCTATTTATTAACAAAAAAAATCTCTCTATATATATATATATTATATATATATATATTGATAAAAAGATATATATATAATGTTAAAGTTAAAGGATTATTTTTATTATGATTATTATATTATAATTATATTAATAACGATTTATGATTATCACGGAACGCGTAGCCGCGGTTCCGACCGTTCTCTGTCGCGCTCGCGTGCCCCCAGCGAGATGGTTGCGTCGACGCGTGTACGATATTGTTCCGCTATTGTTCTAGATAGGTCGGAAAATACGTAGGCACAGGAGCGTGTACGCACACGCGCGTTCTTCAGAAATAAAAACACAGAGAAAGAGAGAGAGAGAGAGAGAGAGAGAGAGAGAGAGAGAGAGAGAGAGAGAGAGAGAGAGAGAGAGAGAAAGAGAGATTATATGCGTGTGTGTCATGGAACGTATGTGTATGCGTGTGTTGGAGAAAAACGAGAGTCAACAAAAAAGAAAAAAAACGTATAGTGAGAAATGGAGGAATACAGACGACACTTTTTTTACGAATGATATTACGCTATAGTTGGGTAAATTATGTGTAACTTACTATGCCATATGGTGCTCCGAGTGCATATGCACAGAGAAAAAAATGAATCTCTCGACTACCTGTATACTTGTGTTGTAATCATCGTTGCCGTTTAATCTGGCCCGATTCCCCACGACGATTATTAACAAAAATACAAAGTTAACATTGAACAGCATACACCCACGCTCTTTGATCTTTCCCTCCTTCCAATATCAATAAATCGGCGTTTATTATTTTTAAACGTGGTCGTCGATACGGGAAGCTCTTATCTGGATAAAAATTCCCGACAACGAATAAAAGATAAGCGACCGTTCGGTCCATTCCTCGTCAATTACCGAATAAAATATTCCCGGGGAATTAATCGATATTCGAGTCATGTTTTTCCCCGATGAATCGATATCACGGCAACGTTGCGCGTATTTTCAAACTCGATCCGTTTCCACCTTTTTCTTTTCACTCGTCGTTTATGGAAATTGTCTCGATATATCGAAAGGCCGAACGACGCCAGGCATTATTCCGCGTATATATATGTATATATATATATAAAACGAAATATTTGTTTTTACAAGTACCGTTTCGGCTCCGAAGAGTCGATATTTATGGACCCGATCGCGCCAATAATTTTTCTCTTTACGCTCTAGCTTCGTACGCATTCATCGACCGCGGACATCTTTATCGATCATCGACAATTACCGAACAGGACGTCGCCGATCAAGGATGTCGATACAGCGAACAGCGTCCTACGCGACCGGACTATTGTTCGTCCCGAGCATTCGTTTAAAAGGCAACCGCGAAGATTAACGAGGACCGGTCCACGCGGGGCACGAGAGTCGCCACTCTCGATGCAACAGCGTGGTCCCGACGTGTTTTCTATATGCAACCTTTCACCATAAACACGCGGTTGGCGCCTAAATGCGACCCGATCGGGCCTTCTCAACCGCGTTTATCGTCCAATTTTCCATCGCCTCGATAAGAATCGCGACCGCCGATCAAAATCGTCCGCGCGCGTCGATTTCGTCCTCCTAACCTAAAAATGTCGTCCGGCGAGCGAATAGAAATATAGAACGTGCTCGTTTGTGTATCCGAACGACGATGACGTTGAAAGTGAAATTAATCGACGCCACGTAACGAGAAAGTGAAGCGGACGAACGGAACTGTGCACCGTAACGATGCAATTCTGTCGACCAGGTATAGGTACGGGAAACAATTTCGAGATCTGTCGCGTTCGGCGCTTCTTCTCCAAACAAGGTCATCGTTGCGCGCGATTCGGTCAGAAACGTCGTGGAAACGGCACTCTCCGTGCTACCCGGTCCCGAGGATCGATCGATCACGGAAACGATCGACGGGAAAACGGACGCTGCCTCTCACGGCGGCGTCTCGACGCTCGAGGTGGGTCCACGTCATCGATTCTTCGCGCTCGGAACGAACGAACAGTTTTGGCCGGCTCGCTGGCTCTCGCGTGCGGAGAACGTGCAATGGCCACTACATAGGTGTACGCACACCTATATAGAAGAGACAGTGCAAGAAGTGGGCAGGAGTGAGGCTGTGAGAGCATGTCTATAAATAGGACCAAGATCGAGATGAGGCCTCCTCTGCACTTCGTGATGCCTTCCGTCCTTCTCGCCCCGCTATCTCCATCTCCTTCCGTTCTACACTCTTCCACTTCTCCGTGTTCATTTTCTTACCCGGCCTCGCGTCCTCGTCGCTCCACGCTACTCGCCATATCCTCGTCTCCTTTTTTTTTTCACCTTGTCCGTCTCCGTCCAACCGTCGTCGGTGGCTCCCTCTCTCGCGCTCTCGCCCCGTCCTCGTCCCGCTCCCATGTACGGAACCACACGCTGTCCTTCTCCCTCTCGCATACTCCTCCCACTCTAACGACCGAAGACCGCGACGACGACCGACGCGCTCCTCGCACGACACATAAGGACCGCGCGCATACGCTAGCGCGCGTGCACGATCGAGCAAAAAAATGTCGTAAAATATTGTTCCTCCGTGGATGTGCGAGGCCCAGTCCCGGGGCCCTCGAAGAAGAAAAATGCGTGTTGGGTCGCGCGACCGGGACGCTCGTTCTTCGAGATCGAACGATGGGATGAGTCAGGTAATGCCAGTACGCGAGCCCCGCTGGACCGTAGGTGTTGGTGAAATTTGATTCCCCGCTGCGCGACGCTCCAACGACGCGACTTCCGATCGTACGCGCGCTCTCTCTCGGCCGCCCCTGCGCGCCGCGCTTCCGGCTTCCAAGCTTACAAGATCCACCGATACCTGGAGACAAACTGACCCCCCCCCCCATTTGTTCCAATTTACGTTTATTTTCAGGGGAGGAAAAAATTACCAACAACTGACCACCGTTCGTTTGTTCAAATTAGGCGGGACGTATATACTCGTCGATGGACAGTGGACAAGATCGAAAGAGAAAATCGTCTAGAATGTAACGCTATAATTATTTGTGTAATAAGAGAAATAAATTAGTTTGCAGGGTATTAAAAATTGGTGAATAATCACGATGCTATTTTTTCTGAGCGTTTCGCCGGAAACCTTAATTTCCTTCCCGTTTTCCACGCAGCGTAAGGCCGATAAAACGCGATCAACGAGAAAGCTACCGCATCCGCTCGGTTATTATTATTTTCTTCTATTTTTTTTTCTTCTAATTTTCCAGCCCGGTGTTCAGGTTCTCGTCCCCTGGTTCCACCGGACGAGTGGCGCATCGACGCTGCAAAACGAGCATTCCGGCATCGTTCGCGCCGCGCAACGATACCCGGTGTCGCATCGATCTTATAAACCAGCATCAAGCGGAGAACAGCCGAATGAGCTGAGTCCGAGCCGAGAGAGCCGAGCCAAGCTAGCCAGCCACACCCCGACGCGATTAAACCTGTTGCTGCTTCGCTCGTGGCTCTCGGGCTCCATAGACACGTACACGTAGGTGTCTCGCCACGCATATACGCGGGGATCACTCTGAAACTTTTCAGACGCGAGATGCCGGCAGACCCGTCGCCAAGCTCCCTGCGCAGCGAGCGAAACCGCTCTCTAGAAACGATCACGGGGTTGGATGTCGATCGACGCGAAAACGACGATGGACTTACCGCGAAACGCGTCGAATCGCTCGCGACCGCCCAGACAATTTTTTACCCGAATGAGAGGGGGGGATAAATATAGTTTTATGTCATCGACTAAATTACGTCCAACGTTTCTTGTTCGATTTAGCGATATTTTTATCCTTGCATTCGTTCTCTCGCGATTCTCGATTTAACACTTTGACTGCCACGCCACCCATATGTGGGTGACAGAACTTTTAACAGTAAATCTGAAACAATTAATTCTCGAGTTAAAATGTTAAAGAAAATGAATTTTAATAGGCTTCGTAAATTTTAACGAGGTTACGAAAGTAACTACTACAACTTTTAAGTTGTGTAATTTACACTTGTCTAAAATCAAAGTTTTGGTCTCGTTGACAATTTTAGGATTTTAGACCGGCAGTCGACGCGTTAAACGATGAATCATTTCAGAGTTTATTCTTGGATCCGTACCGCGTGGGTCAAAAATGACCCAACGTCTGTTTTCGACGCAACAAATTTTAATTACCGGTGTTTCAGAATCTGGAATATACAGAACGAGGGAAGAGTGTATCTGTATCGATTTTTCACTCCACGGGAAATGGTATATGCACGCGTATGTATATGCGCCAGAGTTGCCATTCAGAATTTGAAATTCAGTGGGTTTGCATGGAATTGTGAAATTTTCCATATAGTTTCATCGATTTCACAAGTTAGAAATTGTTCGATGCTCGCCGCGATGCAGCGACAAAGTACAACGATCTAGGCTCCCGCGAGAGGCGAGGATATAAAAAGCAACCAGCGAACGGAACCCCTCTTTATGCGTTGCATCGCGCCGCCTTACCTTTGACTCGCGGTTTTTTTCCTACTCTCGCGTTATCGCGACGAGATCGATGCAAGAGCCAACGTATAACGAGCCACCGGGAGGTCTCGAATTTCACGTCTCCTGTAACGCTGTGACGCAATTCGGTAAGCCGCGAGAGGGATGAAAGACGGGCTTTGTACGGGTTGCGCCGAAACGACGCGTATCGGGGAACAGGTCCCGCGCGATAGAATCGATCTTATCGAGGGAATTTTAATCGGAGGACGCGCGAGAGCCTCTCTGTAATCGTTTAAAATATTACCGAAACTACGTATCGACCGCCTCGTCATACTTACGCAAACGAACGATAGGAATCGGGAGACTTTCAATTTCAGTGTATACACTGTAATGGTAATTCGTTAAAAATGAAAAGAAAGTTGTCTCTTACGAATTCTTTCCATTCACTTCTGTACTGGAAATTTGTTTTATTTTATTCTCTGTGATATTAACGGATAGAACAGTAATATGTAATGCCAACAATACGCGGTGTATCCAAGCACCAACCGCGCCCAACGTTGCTTAACTTCGGTGATCGGACGAGAACCGGTGCTTTCAACGTGGCACGATCGTTGGCAAGTTCTGTTTTTAATTTATTCAAACGCAAAACCCATAAATATCATCAACGCGTGACAAAATGGACTTGCGCTAGTTTCAAAAACAACGGCTCGATTGTGAATCACCGTTACAGTGTACGAACACCACTATTTCCTCTGTTTCCACGAACGAGTCGCGCGAATCTAATACAGCAACTAGTAGTTCGCTCCCGGATAGGGTTACCAACCCTAAATCATAATAAAAGAGCACGCAAGACAAAAAAAAAATTATTCTATGCGCGTCAACCCTAATACACGATAAAGAGTAAATAAAAAAAAAAAATTTTCCCTGATGTTAACGTGACTGCGATAGAAACGCGTGATGTGAGTTTTCATCGCGCCTTAAATGGCCGACCGCTGACGAAGTTCGCGTATACGCGCGGGAGACGGTCGCGAATCGAGCGTGAAAACCATCCACGGACGTCCGAAAAGTGTGTTCGTAGCGGGTCGCGTGTACCGACAGCATCCGGCCGGCAGAGTCCTCGCTGGGGGTTAGGGTCACGTCACGTAAAAGCAAGGTAGACCGTGGAAGCGGTTGCCGTATATGCACAGCGGCGACTGTCGGCGGGGAAGAGGCGAAATGGCAGCGGGAGGGGCAAGGGGAGTTCATTGAGGAACGGCACGTGCAGATAGAACGCGACCGCGAGGTGGATGGAACGAGCACCGCAGGGGGCGGCGGGCCGGAGGGATAACAACAGGGTTGCCAGGCAACCGTCAGCCGTCGGGTTGCCCCTAGCGACCGATTGCGTCACTGCAGCGCCGTATGACGTCACGCGACGCCACTGCCCTTGACCGCTCAAGTCCGGGGAGAGCGTCCTGACGACCCTCTTCACCCTCCGGCCACCACTCCCCTCCCCCGCCAGCTCCATACGTTCGACTCTGACGCCGCCGTAATCCACCCGCGGCGGGAGGGGTGAAGTTATCCACGGAACCCCGAGCAAACACCTGTACCCGCCGTTACGTCCGTGCGTCGCATGTTCACCCAGCGTTTCCACCACTTCGTTACGGGGGGATGCTAAACGCGCCACGGAAATAGAGTCCGTTTCGTTCGTGATTATTTTTGGAATTCCACGCCGATCGACCGACGTTATTTTTATCGCGCTTGCAACGTTTGATTCGCGCCCCGAGGCGACCTGGGGTTGAACAGAGATATGATAATGAGATTAGCCGTGTGTACGGATATAGACTGATCGTTGACGGAAGAACACGTATGCATGTAGGCACGTTCTTTCGACGACGTACTTTTCCTTTCTTTGTTACCGTTCTACGTACTCGGGAACAACGAATAAGAATTTTTCTCAGACTCATCTTCCAATTGAAATAAAGCCTTTGTGAACGAACCTTTTGTTTTCCTGATGAACGGCTTCGAAAATCCGCTGAGTACGCGTGCACTTGACCGAGAATTAACGTAGCAAATCTTGTTACAGACTATACATATCTCGCTTGTTTGCGTTTGCTAATAGCATCGATATCAAACTACGTGCCACGAACCTGTTTAGGTTAGGTTTGTGCACGGGATAGCAAGATCTATTAATATGTAAAATGTTAAAGGAAGCTGAAACTTAAAGTCTTCGATTTTAATTCTTTTACTGTAAAACCTTCGTTGATATCGTAAACAGTTTGCCTGGTACGTAACTTTCGATGTTGTAACTAACCTAAACTAAGCAACACCTGTCACGCGAGCCTTTACCGCCACTGGAAGGCGAATACTGGTTAGCGAGAAAAACTTGGCAATTTATTGCTGTAAGTTCTCCGCCCCGGTTATTTACGCACGATAAAATCCAAGTATTTAAACCGCGACTGGTAACAATCAAAGTAGCCAGTCGCGACTCGATCGTAACGATACCCAGACGCGTTGTAACCCGTTTCATTGGCTCGAGAACGATAAATATTTTCGGCAAAATGGCGGGACAGACAAACGGTGGCAATTAATAGACGCTTCAGATTCTATTAAAATAAACAGGAACGCAACGAAGCAACGTTGTCGCAGCTTAAACGATCAGGAACTAAAAAAAAAAAATACAGAAGTATTTAGTATAAATTTTCTACCGTTTGCGTCACACGCCAATCTCGCCAAAACAATCTGACTGTTAGCGTTTCGATTTTTCTTATCATACATCTGTTTAAAAATATGTGAGGTTACGTTTTTCATAAAACAGAAACCGACGTTCCGTAGGAACGATTAAAAAGCAGGATCTTTGATTCGCGAATGGAACACCTTCTCTATTTTCCGGACATACGAATGTGTCGGGTTACTTCTGCGTGTGTGGGCGTGTACGTGCGTGTACCGAACCTACCCAGCTGACGTCCGTTCATTCACTTCGTTCATCCATTCATAAAATGCAGTAGCGCGACCGCGCATGTGCGCACGCCTCTGCTTCCTTCTGCTTGCTATCGCAATTCCATGGTTTACCGATGATCGAAACAGTTGTTCCGACCGTTTGAGAATTGAACGCCTTTCGTTGATTTACCTGCACGGTCTGCGCCGGTTCTGACCACCTGAAAGAATACGCACACATGTATACCTCATCCACTAAAACTCGCCGCTATTTTTGAACCATCTCCGCCAAGGAGTTCGATCGACCGCCGATAGATGGCGCAAGTTCTTGGTTCCAACATACTCGCTCCCTCCGCGCGGGAAGAATGCAATCGATGCAGCTGTGCCTCTTTTTAAACGAATGAAATGTTTATAGCTACCTCGTCGTAACGAGATTAACCCGAAACATGATTCTTTGACGAGATTATAAGTTCTACCGTAGAGGATGTTTCGGAGTTATTTGTACAAACTAAACTGGACGTTCGCAGTCGGTGCTTGTTAAAAGTATCAAAACGTTCCAGAAATATTCAATTTCTCAATTTATACATTTATCCATTGTTTGTATCCATATATGTTCGTATATCGTACGATATGATATATGAATATGTATGTAGCAGCTCCAACACATGCTTACGTTAAACTGCACATACTGTCGTGTTTCTGACAGAATGCATCACGAGTGACGCACGAAAAAACAAGTGCTTATGTCAGTGTGGTTAAGTTCGGTATGATATTCCTGATAATGTCATTAGTTACGATGTGAAGGCTATCATGCAAATACAAGGAATGAGACTCTTCGGTTCGTTCTGCATTTTCGTTTTGCTCGGCTTTAAAGTGTCCTGTGAGATCGGTGGAGGTTAGTACTCGTGCAAAGAAATTTAGGTTAATGACAAGTACATTACTAAATTTAACGTTTGTTACCGAAACCTTTTCAGGCCATTTGTTTAAATTTAAGATACGAAACTCCTTCATCGATCCAAGCATCGGTGCGGACGTATTTTTCGAAATTATATATCCGCCGGAGTTGGAGTACACCTACAAATTGAGACCTGCAAAAGATTTTGGTGCCCCTTTCGTAAGTATTTTTAAATTTAATAAAATTATAAGACGCGAACGTGTTCGTTTCGTTTATTTACGTGTAAAACAATTTCAGAATGCAAGTTTCTTGGAAGAGAGAATCCCTTTGGTTCCAACAGATCCTCCTCATGGCTGTCAGATAACAAAAAACGCCAAAGAATTGAAAGGTAGAATCGCGTTAGTCGACAGAGGTGACTGCAGCTTCTTTGCAAAAAGCATAATGGCCGAAGAAGCTGGAGCAAAGGCTGTAATCATAGCAGATTATCACTCATCTCTCGAAGAATCGATAACTAGCCCGTTATGGGCAGATTATTATGTAGATATGATACGTGACAATACCGTTCCATCCTCCAAATCTGTGAACATTCCTGCTGGATTTTTACTTGGTAAGAATGGTAAAATGATTCGGCAAACTTTGAAACGTTTAAATCAACCGTATGCCTTGATCAATATCCCGGTGAACTTGACTTATAATTTTTTAAATAAATTGCACCAGCCGCCGTGGTCAATTTGGTGATTCTTGATAGTTTTAAATACGCAGGTGATGAAATTTTTAATTGCAACCGCAAAGCTGCTATCAAAGAACATGGGGTTAACCAAGAGGGAAGTAATCGTGTAGACAATTTATTATGTATTGTAATTGTAAAAAATAAAGATTTCATTTTTTTTTTTTTAAATTTCTTTTCTTCAAATTAATTATTTCGAGATCGCTCGAGTTTCTCTTTTCAACCACTCAAGCGCTTGAGCATTCACTGGTCCTTGCAACAGCGGTGTTAAAGTATTTAAACACCTTGCGTGATAATTGTTCAAATATTCGATCTGAAACGAATTATCGTTTATTATTTAAAGATAGACAAAATATGAAAAACAAATCAAATACGTACCTCGTTCTCTGTTAACAAGGAAACGTCGAGTAACTTGGTCTGTATAGGCACCAATGTAACAGTTTCGAACGTAAGGAAACCATGATTCTTGTGATTATAGGGTGTATTCGCCTTTACTACCAATTCTATGTTTTCGAGTCTGATACCAAATTTCTCGTCCTCGTAGTATCCTGGTTCTAATTATGAAATAATTAGAAGTATTAGTATTATTAACGTACTTTATATAATGTAAACGTTGATAATGCTTCTATTTCGTACCGTTCGAAAGAAACATGCCAGGTTGCAAACCTGGGTCATCTGGATATAATCTCCAAGAAATGGCAATAGGTCCTTCGTGAACGTTTAAATACGAACCTATTCCGTGTCCAGTACCATGAAGATAATTAAGACTACAATTGTACATTCAAATATGAATAAATAGTATTTTCCATTTTATGAGTAAAAAAAAAAAATATATTTACCCAACGCTCCATAAATTTTCACGAGCAAGCGTGTCGAGATAATTTCCTTGTATCATCAAAGGAAAAATAGCCGAGGAAAGTCGACACTGACCCTTGAACACTCTCGTGAAACATTCGCGCTCGAAGTCCGTCGAACTACCAAAATGCAATGTCCTCGTGACATCCGTAGTTCCATCTTGATATTGAGCACCGGAATCGCAAAGGTAAAGCTCTTTGTCTGTAATCGGTACATCAGTCTTTGACGTCGATTGATAATGAATTATTGCTCCGTGGGGTCCGACCGAAGATATTGTTGGAAAACTTAGACCAACAAAATGTTCCTGCTCCCTTTTGAATAATATATATTACAACTAATGTACGCTACGTCCGACGTTTCTAATTTTGCATGCAAATTCTCTTACTGCCTAAATTTTTCGAGTTGCATCGCTCCAGATACTTCTGTAACGATTTCTTTGCTATTCAAAACTCGATCTTCCAACCAAGCGAAGTATTTCACGAGCGCCACTGCATCACGTATATGCGCTGCCTTCATTCCCTCGATCTCAACATCATTTTTAATAGCTTTCATGATATTTATCGATGTGATAGCGGTATGTTTCTTTGTTTCCCCGCAGTCGGTATGCAAAGCATAACTGGAACCATTGCTTATCCATATTTTCTCATCGTTGGTGCATGAACTTGCAATTTGCTTCAGAAATACGTGTATATCTTCATACGGGTGATAAACTATGTTTACCCCTTCTCCTGTTAATTGCTCTTGAGCTTTTTCGCTTAGTTTGCTTTCGTCAATGAACAAATGGAGATCTTCTAACGTAAGAATGACATAGGCAAAGAAAACAGGATTGTAAGGTATATCAGATCCTCTTAAATTCAAGATATATGCTACTTCGTCCAAAGCTGTGATCACGAGCGCTTTTGTTTTGTTCTTATTCATTTCTTCCCTGCACAGCTTGACTTTCTCTTCTACGGTGCGTCCCGAAAATTGCAATGGCTGCGGCAAGACGATGTTACCTGTAGCCGCGGGTTGTTCTTCGCCCCAAACTTTGTCGATTAAATTCTCCTCTAGTGGCATCAGACAGTGACCAGCATCGCTTAGACTGGTATGTAAAACTGCCCATTCTGTGTAACTCATTAAATTAGAATCTGCAGCGACGGTGGATTTAGGTGGTAAGTTAGAAACCAACCATGCGACCCTTGTCGGAGTGTCCAACAAACCCTCTTTCATAAGTGTCCACGCGTCGGATGGATCAAATTCTGCCAAAGCTTGCACGTAATATCTGCCGTCTGTCCATAGTAAAGCTTTACTTAATGTAACAATCGAGACACCGAAAGAACCGGTAAAACCACTGATAAAACGGATTCTTTTATCTCGTTTTCTCAAATATTCTGACTGATGAGCGTCGCTGGAATTTACGATCAAAGCTTGGATACCTTTTCCTTTGATACCACCTATTTGTATAGTTTCCATTAACTCTCGAAGCTTGGCTAATTTAACTGCACCGCTCCTTTGCGCCATATTGATGTTTCTGAATCAACAAATTTTCAAATTATTTATAACAATCCGAGACAAAACGAAGTTACTTAATTCACTTAAAATTTATACCATCTTCTACATAACGAACAGTATTAAAGTGTTTCGGTTACTTCGGTCTAATTAAAAATAAAAGTTAAATTCAACTTACACAGTTAACGGATGTAGGTACGTAATGGCACACGTAAAATGTCAACCTCTTTGTCCCAACTAACAGCGACTATAATTTTTATCTTATCGTAAGATAATCTTATCGCGAATATTACAAAAACATGGAGCAATTTAACCGTTTGCTGTTTATTAAAAGCATTGATTAAGAATTTAAATTTATTATAATACACTAAACTTCGACATTGAATGAACCACGTTTTAGATATTGACAACAGTCTCTTTCGTGGTTATGGGTGACACTCTAACAAAACATTCGGTAAACCGAAAGCACAAGTGTATTTAAATAAACTACGCTTATGAACTAATAACTCATACTCGTAATTTGTTGTGAATTATCATCGAGTAATTACTGTACTTATTATTATACGATTATTTACATGTTGCTAGTCAGCTGAGTATGAGTCCAGGACCGTGACAAGGCAAAAACAGAGAATGTGGGGTACCCTTAATTGAAATGTTGCGAGTGCGGAGATTGATGACCAGAAAAATTAATAAACGTTTTCAACCTTGCAGCTTACGAGAGTTAATATCACGCGAATAAAAAATCTCTCCAGTAATGTAGTTAGAATTCACACTACTAAGGACAAAATATATAAATATAATAAAATAAAATATTCTTAAACAAAGAGAAAAACTATAATTTCTACAAAGTTATTTTTCTTATTTTCCTATTATCAAAATCTTTAATGGAACTTTCGAAGTCTCATCTATTAATTATTCTATGGTATACGTTATAGCAAAATTTTTCGATTGCAAGGTGCACATAATCGATATTGGTCATTTTTCATTAGATTTACATTATGAAAAAATTATTACAACATTTTTCAAGCATTTTGGATCATCAGATATCAGATGACTCATTGATACCGTGGAATGTCCAGATTTGCCTATAGTCGCCCCTGAATGGCTAATTGCTTCCAAATTAATTACATTCTCTTAATATTTAGCTCCGATTAAAAATGTTAAGAGCGTTGAAATCATGTTCCAGTCTGAACCGATCCGTATAACACGATAAAGCATTGTTTGCGACGCCTAATCTACGTCTCGTCCGTGGCATTGCTATTAGTCTTGTTATTTCGTTTTAGCGATTTAAGAAAACTTTTGTAACAATTTTTAATTATGTCCATTCTAATATTGTTTTTATATTTAAGCATTAAATAAAAATAATGAAAACATGTGAAGTAAATACTACTACGTATTTGTTTATATTTAATTGCTGAGCAGAACGTAAAGATAAAATATTAAAGTTAAAAGCACAATACCAATGTAAGTACATGATGTATTCGGAATTGAATGTAAAAATGTTATAACTTGTACAAGAATTGAAAACTTTTTAGCATGTTCAATGTGGCAAGATACTGTACCTCGACAATTGGAAGAAGCAATGCAACGAGACTTCTACCAATTCGGCAAAATTTACATACGTATATATCTAAGCCCAATAGAGCATTTCTATTAATGAAAAGAACTTCGGTTTATTTACATAAGGTATTATGCAATCGATTCATAAATCAAAATTAAAATATTCTAATGCTTATGAATTTAAGAAAGACTGAATCATTTAATGTTATTTGTAGGATCTACTTAAACAAAGGAATATCATATCTTTAGGTTTTGCATCAAAACCGGTCCAAAAGTCTGATAAAATTGTAGGAAAATGGATGTTAACTTGCAGCGGCATGGTGTTCATAGCTGTAGTTCTAGGTATATCTGGTTATTTTTTATTCTATTACTGTATTCGTACTGTTGTAAAAATTGTCGTGGACAAAACTTACGGCAAATAATTTTTAAAACTTGCACAACGTTCTAAAACATTCTTCTACGGCTGTAATACTTCTTCCGTCTTAAACTTTCGCGCAGAGTAGATGTTTAAGCTCTTTCAAAACTTTATACGAATAAAATATATTAGAAAAGATACTCAATAAATTATTTCTCCCTCCTTATGTATTTAGGAGGCGTAACGAGGCTTACGGAATCTGGTTTATCTATGGTAACTTGGAAATTATTGGGCGAAAAAATGCCTACCACCGAAACTCAATGGCACGCAGAGTTCGAACGTTACAAACAGTTTCCAGAGTACAAAATGTATGAATTTCTAATATAAAGCGAATGTATTGTAAAATTTGGACTTTGCACATAAGTTTCTATTGTAGAAACAATCAAAACATAACGCTGGAAGAATTTAAACGAATCTGGTGGATGGAGTATTTGCACAGAATGTGGGGACGTTTGATAGGCGGTGTATTCATAGTTCCGGCAGCCTACTTTTGGGCCAAAGGTATGCTGAAACCGGGAATGAAAACCAGAGTAGTTGTTCTGGGCTCGTTGATTGGTTTACAAGGACTTATGGGTTGGTACATGGTTAAATCCGGTTTGGAAAATCGTTTTGTGGAACCATCGGACGTTCCTCGTGTCTCGCAGTACCGCTTAGCCGCGCATTTGGGAATGGCATTCATTATATATACAGGATTCCTGTATAATGCTTTGGACTACTTGATTCCTGCCCAGAAATTAAACTTCAATACCACAAGTATTAACGTTAATGATGTAAAACAGAAGCTGAAAAGATTTAGAATGTTAGTTCACTCGACGAAAGGATTAGTTTTTCTTACTGCTATATCTGGAGCTTTTGTAGCGGGAATAGACGCGGGTCTCATTTATAACACATTTCCGAAAATGGCCGATAAATGGTTACCGGACGATATACTTGCGTTTTCGCCTACATGGAAGAATTTTACCGAAAACCCGACCGCTGTACAGTTTGATCACAGACTTCTGGTATGTTCTACGAATGAAACACGGAACTGAATTATGCATCGTCAATACTATATTTTTTTTTTACAGGGTATCACTACTTTATCGTTAATAACTTGTATCGGAGTATTGTCTCGTAATCATAGACTTCCTGGGAACGCAAAGAAAGCAGTAGCCGCGGTCCTTTGCGCTGGCTATTTACAAGTATTACTAGGAATTTCAACATTACTGCATCATGTACCTATAGCATTAGCTGCATCTCATCAGTCCGGTAGTCTTCTCGTATTAAGCACAATGATTTGGTTGTGTCATGAGTTAAAGCATTTGAAATATATTGTTAAATGAATCATAGAACTGTACAATATGTATGCATAATATTTTGTAATTTAATAAAACAGGAACTGATAGATGAATACCGTAACGCTTCCACAACATTATGCTTTATTTGACAATGCATTAAGTTATAATAATCAATATTCATAGAAATTAATTTACACGTGTGTACTTTAAAGTAATATAGTTACAATCAGAATATCAAAGTTTTAAGTAATTTTACATTGTTTTGTAAGTATATCTCATTTCATGTTTATAAAGAACAAATAAATACCTATCCTAAAAATAGAAGTAAACAAATTATGTAATATCTGTAGTATTTTTGTTTTTTTTTTTTATCATAATTCATTAGGACCGCATCTTATGCATCTGACTTATAATTAAGTCCAGACTATGAATTGAAACAAACTGACTGCTAACATCATTTGATTTCTTTAAATGCTTAATATATCAAATATTAAATGATGTTAGTATCTGCATCTAATCGAGAAAACCAGCTTTGGTAAATAATATTAAACAGTTCGATAGTAATTGTTCAATTACTTTAAAAAATGTGTAAACCCTGCTTAATTAATAATTGCTACCTAATTACAGTACTTTTGTTAATATTCCAAAAATTTGTTCATAGTATCGTATTCCCTAATAACTTCTGATTAGCAACACAGTGAATTCAGCTTTATTTTATTGGCAGTTGTTCTACCTAATCTCCAATCAGTCGTTCTATGATTTTATTTTTTTTTTTTTTTTGTTTAAAACGCCTTATATGCATTGGTCCAACATAGCAACATTAATATTAAGCAGCAGCGATATTTATTAGGCGTTTCGAATTGCACTTTCATTATTGTAATGCTTTTTTATTTACACTTACTCTCGTTTTCATTGTATGGCAATTATGCCTCATCACATTTTGTATTCGATATTATATGGTTATGAGTATTAAAGGAAAATGATTTTTTTTTTTATCATTCATACAAATAGAAATTACACCACATAAAAAAGAAACACAACATTTATAATTAATAAGACATTTGTATGGATATGTATGAAGGATACATAATTTACTTGATATTATGCGCAAAATAATGTTTCTATATTGTTTGAATATTAATCGAAAAGAACTTAATGCAGTCTCTTTTACGTATTGCAAGTAACCCAAATCCTATATCGCAAAACTAATATCAGTCTGATAGAATTTGTTATTCCATTGAGAATCTTATGTCTCACAAGGAAAGATCGGTAGTAACAGCATTGATTTCGATCAAATTGATATGGGATGGTAAATCTATTTTTATGAAAACCATTGATCCAATATTAATGTATCCAGAAAATGTTGAGAAATAAATTTAAGAAAAATAAGTTAAAATTCGGAAAATTTCGATTAATTAGTATGTACTAGAAAGAATAAGTATCAACGAAAGCGATAGTGACGTAGTTATAGACTTACCAATCAATACCAATTTTATGAAAATCAGAATCCGCCACTATGGATTCTTCTATTGTTAATTACATTCGGATAACGAACGTCCTGTCCATAAATACGGAATTACTATTTCGATATTTATGAACTTTAAGAACACGTACAAATAATACTTTAAACAGCTTTACTGTTTTACCAAAGAAATCACATGCCTGATCAAATAAAAAGTATTTTTGAATTGTACGTTAAGATTACTGTAAAAGAAATTTGATTACCTTGTACAAAGAAGTTATAGCTTTTTGAACACAATGATCTAGCAGAGAGATAAAAGAATGGTATATGCATGCGGAACTCTTATATTTATAGACTGACAACAAGTGCAACTTTATTTGCACCGTTATGTATAATATATATGTATATCAAAGAAATGCATCATAGTTAACATAAAAATTCGTTCTTCTTCTTTTTTTTTTTTTTTTATATGAACAAGGATTTTATACACTTTTATGTTCATACTTTTAACGGATTTCTTTCAGTCATTTATATCATCATAACTTGCACGTGATTACCCGATTTATAAATAAGTTATTTATAAGATTAAATATTTCTGTTTTGACACTCAAATTGAGAATAGTGGAACCGATATATGTATTTGTATACATATATAATCTATATATTATGTATTATACATACACCCACACGCAATACTATATATTATAATTTTATGATCAATGCATATAAGAAACAAACTTTATCACCGCCATGTTAGTACAGTCAATAAATTCACACGCATAATATGCCATTTTGTATAATTATACTTTAGACAATTTTTCTTTTTCTTTTTTTTCGTGCAACATGTGGAGCAGAAGTAAGAATTAAGTGCCATTTAAAATTGAACTAGCAGTACTTTTTTTTTTTTTTTTTTATTGTGTAAACAGTTTTATCATAAGCACAAATAACATACACGTGAAAACGATTGTGCTGATAAAATTGTGTAAAAATTATACATTCTGCACCACATGCTAATCAATATTAGTCTTATGTTTTCTTCTCTGTGCATTATTCGGCTGTGAAGACCTTATTCAATATCCTATTAGTACTTGCAGGAAGGAATCGTAGATTTTAGGCCATCGATAGGCCAAACATATACTCTTATCAAATAATGCAAACTTACGACTTATAAACGCTCGCAATTCATTTACAAAAATTTAAAGAACCAAGTCCAAAAGTAAAGTATCAAACAATTTTATGTCCTACATATATTATGCAAAAATAACAGAAGATATTAATAATTGTTCCTACTAATTTGATCTGAATAAAAATTATAATTACTTACTTCAGATTCAAAATAATTATGAAAATGGAATTTATAAAAAATGAGAGAAAAAAAAATGCATCGTAACAAACAGCATATATCTTGTTCCTTTTTTCACTATTGTCCATTGATGTTTTTTTTTTTATATTCAATATTTATGTAATTCTCTTATTATTATTACAATCTTCTTTAAATGTATGACTTATTTCTTACATCATATAATTATGCAACATGGTTCAATAAGCAGCACAGAATAATTTTCTACATGTATACTTGGTTTTCTGAGTGTTACAGCACCAGCACCTTCGTTGGTAGTAACAAGTAAGTTTGACAATATCAGAATTAGAGTATAATCACTTTTCCAGCTATAAATTAAATGTCATTTCTAAACCGATCTTTTAAATTTTCATTTTGTATGCGTTGAACTTTAAAAACCATCAGAAATTTTAATCAGAACTCTTTAGTATATCCTTGTGTGCAGTTAACACTTCGAAGTATTTTTCATTCGATCTAGTATAAATTAATGAAAATTAAATAATCACAACCTACAATTTAAACGCAACGGTATTCAATTCTTATAACATTTTTTGCGTATATTACGGAGAAATACGTTGTAAGTGCAATTTATTGTAAAAAATTACTTCAAGAATTGCTGCTCTACCCTTAACAATGACATGATATAAAATTAAAAAAAATGTATTCTTACTTGAACATGTGTAAGATAGTGCTTATTAGAAAGGTTGGTTCAATGTGACTCGTATCTTACGTATACATTAGTTCAGCTTGTTTTCATCGGACTGTCATCCAATTTTTCAGGATTCACAATTACTTGTATTACATAACCTGGTTGAATTTTTGCTTCTTCTATATGCATTTTATCACCTAATAGTTTGCCGCCAAAAAACCACCTTTGACGAGATGGCTCCAAACCCTCCTGACTCTATCAATATAATTATTATAGAGAGAGAGAAAAAAAAGAAGCAAATTACAAATCTTTGTTAATACACTGTACATAATGCATTAATGCACAGTTTATATTAATATGAAAAATTCTGTACACACCTGTAATTTCTTTTTAGCAGTAGCAATAGTGTCTTTGCTGTAAACAGGCAATTTAACTTCACCTAACGTAGTTGATAATCTAAGCTTTAATGTCTGTTCAACTCCACTATCAACTGGTTCTATAAGCAATTGATATAATACTGTTGCTATATTAAAAATTAACATTTATTTCAATAAATTTGATCATACTACCTGAACAATCGGCAGGCGAGTCTCGTCCACTATCCTCTTTCACGATATTAATAGGATACGATAAACAGTAAATAGGGACTTGGTATCTGGTTCCCAACTCGTCGTAACATTCTGTTAAAAAGCCGTTTGGCACAGAAATATTAGCCCCGTCTAATATAGCCTGTGCTAATTGATAATCTTGAGCTTCCGCCGCGGTTGCTCCAGCTCTCAATGCGTCCCATATCTCTTTACGACCGTCGAACGCAGGCGCTGTATCCCAAAACTCATCCCTTTTACTTCTGAGTTGACCTTCTGTCAAAGGTACATCCGACTTCCACCTAATGACTTCGTGGCATAGAGGATGATTTTTCCTTGAATTTCCTGCGTAAATAAACCACGTCTTTAGACCAGAAAATGTAAATTATATTTTTCTACATTAACATGGAATAAAAATTAAAACAGCTGCACCGTATCAAAGATTTATTTTGTTTTACAGAGTAATATATTTTGTTTTCAAACTCTTGCAAATCGAATAACAATACTGAAATGCAAATATTTACGGAGAAGTAATAGAAACGACAAATAAAATATTACGGTCGATATTGGCAACGAAACGTCACGGTATATTCATATACGATTAATTACTCGACCCGTTGGATAACAAATAGTATGTAAATACCGAGTCATAACACGCAGTAAATGCTAGGTATGAAGGTAATGGAAAAGCTGAAATATCTTCAAGGTTAGCCTGCTGTTGATCAAAGTTTCTGCGCACTTAATCACGATGAAACTTTTACCTGAATTCACCCTCGTCGAATTTCCTGTGGTGTCGTCGACAGAGGCGTTTCTTGCCCTCGTTATACCTATGCAGCCTCCCATTCTAGGCGGCTGGTGTGACCAAACATTTCACTGAAATTTAACAACACCTCGCATGCCATTTTCGTCCATCTTATCCACTAAATTACAAATCGGTACCATAAGAGGCGCTATAATCGAATCTTCGGTGACTTAACCTGAAATATTCATGCGCTTCTAAATGGATTTCGAAGATTAAATAAAACAAACTACATACACTAGCACTTCAACAATATTTCATTCGTACACATTAAATGTGACAGAACAATTATACTTAAACACACTTTGCTTGAATTATATTTAACGATTCGCGGCGAAGAACTCGGTCGAAGTAAAAATTCGATAGAGGGGTATATTTTATTATCACGCTGAGGTTAAGTAACTCAGGAGGAAGGTATGGTTTGTGATGGCTTCGTTTACAAATAGAATTTTCAAAGAAAAATTTCTTACTGGATTCATTGATAACGAAACTTTGAACACGACGTGTAAAGAGATCGCCACAGGTGTGTATTAATTACCATAATTGTTCTGTCTATGCATGCAGATGATTGGCCTTGATGCTTAAAATGAATAAAAACTGACCACACATACGTAAAGAGAACTTGTTTATGATGTACCAGAAATCGACTGAATTTACGTGAATTGAATAGAAAATTAATAATTTTTATTTCTATATCAATTTTCATAAACGAATGGATAAATGTATATTACTTTAGAATGTTTCTAATCAATTTTCATAAACGAATGGATAAATGTATATTACTTTAGAATGTTTCTAATCATTTTTATTTATTTAGAAATACAATCTGGATATGTGAAGCTTTATGCAATTGTGAAAGAACTTGGGCCTTTTGTAACAGATAAGAATGCCATTGTACGGGAGAACGGCATCAATGCTTTGTCTTCTATCTTATCGCATTTACCTAAAGATTATTTGAACGAAGCTGAATTACAGTTTATAACAACATTTTATTGCGATAGACTTAAAGATCATTCTAACATCATACCAGCAGTATTAAAAGGAATTTTAGCAATTGTGAGTATTGCATTGTACAATTGCACTGAATCGTAACAAGCTATTATATTTCACTTTTATTGTTATTTCAGGTTCAGATGAATCACTTGCCTCATGATTCGCCGGAACGTTTATTTAGAATTCTTTTCGAAAATGTACAATGCCAATCTCAATTAGTCTGTGATCGTCGTAATATATATTTAATATTTACAACATTGCTACAAAATAGATTAGAGGACTTAAAAGTAATGGGACCAGACTTCATTTACGGAGTCATTAGTTTTATCGATGGAGAAAGGGATCCCACAAATCTTTTGCTATTATTTAACATACTTCCACATTTTATGAAAGAATTTTCATTAGGACACTTAACCGAAGAAATGTTCGAAGTCATTGCGTGTTATTTTCCAGTTGATTTCAACCCTGTAAGTAGCCCGTTCGATGAACATTTTAATTGTTTATCGTTTATGAATGTATATTGTAATTTAACTTGATATTTTTCAGTCAGGATCAGAAGGAATAGAAATAACGCGCGACGATTTAGCCGAAAAATTAGCGCCTTGTCTTTATGCTATACCACAATTCGCTGAATATTGTATACCTCTTGTACTTGATAAATTAGTCTCCAATCTGAAAGTTGCCAAATTGGATTCTTTGAAACTCTTATGCAACGGTGCGCAAACGTTTGATATAAAAGGCCTTGAACCACATTTGGACGAACTGTGGTCAGTTTCGAAAAAAGAGATTATGTACGGCACGGACATAGAATTAAAAAATGCAAGTTTGAAAACAGTCACGTCCATAATCAATGTTCTATCAAATGATTCCAAGCTCCGTGAAAGTTTCATTGATAATATAATCGTAGATACAAGATCTTCCTTGTACGATGTACAACTAAGCTTGTTTAAATCAACCGTGAAATTGCTAGAATGCATAGCAACTACGAATAAAGAATCATGTGTACAGGTGTTAAAAATAATAGTACCATTGTGTCTTGGCCAATATTCTACCAAGACTTCAGTAACTGACAAAATTATTTTAATAGAAACATTAAATAATTTTATTAAAATCAGTTGTAATCATGAATTTAATATTAAGAGTAAATATACATTTTATATATTACAAGACATAGAGCCCTTGGAAAATATCTTAAATATAAAATAATATTTGGTATAGGTGTTCCAGAGCTATCATGGACGGATATACCGCAATTATATTTAAATGAACTCTCGACGCAGCATGCAGAATTACAATCAAGAATATTGGTTGGGCTAACGATACAAAGCTTGTATTTAAACGAAGTACATCGAAATTCACTTTACGATCAAATTTGTAATCTAATCGAAGCGAGCTGCGATGAAATTAGAACAATCTGCCACACGTCTATTTTAACTTTTGCTACCTTGTATCCGCGTGAAATATCAGCTTTGGTAGAAGAGAGGTTTCAATTAGATACTGGTAAATTGATAGAATCATACTTCATAATATATTTTAACATGTTTGATTTTAGAATAATAGATTTAATATTTTGAATGTTTCAGACAAGGAGAAAATAGAAATACAAGTTCGTAAATTAGAAGTATTAGCAGCTGTTGCTAAAACTCATGAATTAGGTATTAAAGTTCTTCCATGGATTGTAAGCCAGACAAACGCCGTCGATTTTAAAATGAGCTTTACAGCTTTAACGTGTCTTCATAGGTTAATTACTACAAAAAACATTAACTATGATATTCAACAATATCTACATAACGAGTGTAATATCATTGAAATATTGCGCGCTCTTAATGTCAGTCCTATGGATCAAAGATTAAATCTGATTTTAAATATCTGTCGACTAATCGTAAGGAATCTTACGCCCGAAGAACAGCAAAAGATCGCTAACACCTATGCTACAACTTTAAGCGAAAACATTTCAGAAACTAATGCTGCATTAATAATGAACATTTTCATTCCTTTACGCCCAAATGTTGATTTAACAATAAACTTGAATTTGTTAGAAAAATTGTACAGTTTAGCACTTAACAGCATCCATTTGAACATAAAATGTATAACGTGTAAATTTATTGCTGTTATACTAAACAAAATGAACGATGATAACGAATGCTTTAAACATGTTTTGGTATATCTTAAAGAAAAAATAAGTAACAATCTGGAGTCAAATATCGATATCGAAGTAAAGAAAGCATCGGTTTTGTTGCAAATATGGTTAACGAAAGCCGTGATCACTAAAGGTTCCTGTAACGTTGAAATCTTTCTGGACGAGGTATGTAAAAAATTGCTAGTGATTTTTTACACGATTTATATTTTATATTTAATATTTTTTTTTTTTTAAATATTGTCTATATAGCTTTCAAATACTTTTAAACATGATCAAGTAGGTCAACATACTGCACAGGAATATAAAATTTTAACAAATAAGCTGGAAGATGTTTTAGTGGAAGAAAATTTCTGTAAAATCAAAATCTTTTACAAACAAAGAGTATTTGAACATTTGATAAGAAAGAATCACGAATTCGAGAATTTATCCAGACAGAACTATTTAACTGCGTTGGTGTATCTATTGGAAGAAGTACCTATGGACCTCCTGTTGATGCATTTAACAAAGGTACTAATTAAATGTTAATATACCTATTATAATTGTACGTAATGATAAATATTTTCTTTTCAGTTGGTTCCCCTTTTAATAGAATCATTATCACTTGATAATGAGCAATTAATTTTCTCAACGTTAATAACGTTAAAAGTTTTATTAGAAACTAAACATTCAATTTTTTTTGAAAAAGCACAATGTTTCATTCCAAGATTTTTTCAAATGTCCGTCGGTAAAACAATGGTAATTATATAATCATTTAATATTATTTTATACGTTCCTTTATGCTTTTTATGCCTTTAAATCTTTCAGAGAGTCAGAATAGCAGCTTTAGAATGTTTAACAAATTATTGCAATTACCCGACGGTTTTAATTAATACGTACAAGCAAGATGTATTGGAAAAATTGGCAATCTCAATCGATGACCGAAAACGTTTGGTCCGAAAAGTAGCGGCGAAAGCAAGAACGCGGTGGTTTTTGGTTGGCGCGCCAGGAGGAATCTAAGAACAATGATTACTTATTTTAAATAAAATTAAAATTAGCTACGAATAAAATATTTTATAATTTACAAACATGGACGTTCATTTTTATTTTAACGTGTATCCGAAACGCGGATTATATGTACCTGTTTATACATGTAAAAAAAAAATAATAAAAGTTTTGTTACAATAGATTAGCACATAGTATTTGTATAACAGTGTAGGATGTAAGATTCATTATATTGTATCTGTGCTATATTGTATATAATGTACATAATCGAATAAAGAATTGATTTCTCTAATAGGATTGAAACCTGAAAGTTACTCTTTAATGCTTTTAGTATACCAGAAGCATGGGTGATGGTAAGACTTAATTTCTCTCACGGGCTTGCAAACTTCAAAAACTGTGTACGTTTAATCAGAAAATCAAAATGTGTACCGTAGTATTTGTTTATAGGTGTGGTAAAAAATGGTGCATACAAATATGAAGATGGCACAAAATACATTGGAGACTGGAATGGAAAAGGCTTGAAACATGGTGCTGGTTCTTTGCTACTTCCTGACGGAACACGTTACGACGGTGGTTTTCAAAATGGATTGTGTTCTGGTTTAGGAGTAATAGTGTTTCCAGATGGAGCAAAGTAAATGTTATTGTGAAACATGTCTTTTAAGTTATACAACTTTTTAACAAGTTTTATGTATCAGATACGAGGGTGAATTTATGCAAGGCTGGTTTCACGGCCATGGTGTATTTTGGAGATCGGATGGTATGAAATTTGAAGGAGAGTTTCGCGGCGGTCGTGTATGGGGCCTAGGTACGTAGAACGTTATAAGTATATAACATTTCACGCAGTATTTACAAGCCGCTGTTTCAAATTAAGGATTGGTCACGTATTCCGACGGATCTCATGGATTTCCTAGAAACGAGGGTTTCTTTCAAGATTGTAAACTGGTACGTCGTAAACATTGTCCAGACATTGTACAAAAGGCACAGAAGATTTCTATGATGGCGCGTGCCCAATGTAGTTAAATATTAGGCGCATATAAAAATGAGTAGTATCGAATCTTAATAAAAGTGAAATATTTCATGTTGTTCTTTATTTATTGATTCTATAAACAACGTCACTGGCTTTTAGTCGTTAAGAATTACCTTATTATTTGCTCGTTATTTAAAATGAGAAAATAACGACTACCAAACCAGTATGTCATAAATTGTGGTTTGACATTAGGTCGTTATTACGTAAAATAAAACAGCCATGATTTTGTTTACATTTTAAATCATACGAACACACGTGATCGACGGATTACAAAATAGTAAGTACACACACCGCGTATATATAGACGACAGCGAGCATAGTCTATCTTATTCTGAACTTTGTAATCCACGTTTCCGAAAGGAAATATTTCTTAGCTCTGTGCTATTCGAAAACACTTAAGTTGGACTGTAGTGACGGCATCGCGTAGTTATTTCGCACGGTCATCTAACATTTTTGACGAAAATCTTAGTAACACGGATATATGACGTCAGCAGTTTGATGTTACACGTAGGTACAGGAAAAAATTAATAAATCAACGACTCCGTGGCTCCGTGACCGTTGTCCAGTATAGTCACGAGAATTTAAAAGGCAAATAAGGGTTAAAAGAGGAAGGAGTATCGCGTCGACCAATCTTTACATGTCCACGAGATAGTACTGGTTGGTGCCGAGCCGAGCAGTTTGCTATTGCGCGACGTTGCTATGCCTAGATAAATACAGTGATTGTGATGCAAGTTGTACCAGTTTTTCTAATTCGCCAAAGAACTTAATGAATCGAAAAACTTTATTTAAAATTACGAGCGGTTGTCTGTCAATGTAAACTCGTTAACACCGGATCCATCGATAAAATGAAATTACGCTTCGACGATCAAATGTGGTCAGCTGTATTTAATATCAGTAACTTTGATATCTGTTGATTCACGCGAGTTCGCAGATCGACATAACAACTCGTAAGAATCTAATCTGCTTTGAAATGACGTTACCAGGTAAGAACACATCGCTTCTCGTTCCTCGTATACTCTACGCTGTATGTACCGTATACGGTACAGTTATTACGTTTTCATTCGCTTCGTTTCCCCATCGTTGGCCAGCGTGTGGAAAGTGATACTTGTATTTTGTCCTGTCGCGAGTCCGTTGATTAGCCAATAGTAACGGTATACATATCGTTTTTTTCCCCTCTTCATTGACCAAAATTCTGACAAAAAAAAAAAGGTCGTTTATCGCGTGATCTCGTGATAGTTTCCGTGGTACCAAGCGAACGCGCTTACGCGTATTTGCTGACTGCTGACGCTCGTACGACTCGTCGTTTTAGATCATTTACGAACACTGATAGCGTTACTTTGCGATATCAACGATTTTAACGCTTACGGATTTTGTCAAATCGATTAACGTTTTAAACGAAGATAACGTTAACACGTATTGGTTTATCATTTTTAACGTAATCGTGACTATAGTTAGAAATATTTCGAATAACAACAATTTGATTTTGATTAGCGTGGATTAAGCGTGTGATTAGCACAGTGTCATGCATTTGTTTAAGTTCAAATTAACATTCGTTTCTATAACTCGTTTCTCTTTTGCTCTAAACTGTTTAGCGCGATTATGAGACGCAAAACGAAGTATGTTTTTAATGCCACAAGAATTATTACGTTATATCGTTGTGATGAATTACTATATTTCATATAAATTTTCGTATTATTGTATAATGTATCATTAATTCGAATGTACTCTATTGAAATATATATTAAAGTAAAGCTAGTTTACTGAAAAGTATGATAACATTTTGTATAATCATCTGAACAAGTATATAATGTAGTCATGTTTTTCAGCCATGGTATGCATAATTAAAGTAACCTTTGCTATTTGTTACAATTCAGCATATCATTATGTGTTTACAAAAGGAATGATTTAAAAGACTAGTCGTATTAAAAAATTCTATACAATTCTTTGTGGAAGTTATTTGAAATATAAATTTTTATGTACAATGGTACTTGTTGGTTTCTTACACGAATGCGTCAAATAATAATTAATAATCTGGAATACCGACATGGCATTTAAACATATAAAGATTTTGCTTTATCACATTTTTAGAATAATGATATCGATATAATTTTTATTTTTTTTCTAATTTTTAGTCAAGGAATTATACATTATATCGGAGAGAATTGTAAATAATTTAAAGTTCAACAATGAGCCCTCAGAGTTATAAAAATCATATTGCTACAAAAATGATGGCATCCAATGGTTACACTGGTGCTGAGACACCATCCAAGGAATCCAAAAACCATTCATCTTGTGAGTCATTGAATTGTATGTGTGCTTGGAGTTGCCACTTTTATTTATATTATTTATAATTATAATTATTTCCTATACGCAAAAATAATTTTAATTGTAGCTTTATAAAAGTCGATTAAAAGGAGAACACCTTGAGAACAGAAGTTCTTGTTCGGATTTAACAAATTTAACTTGCTCTGTTTTAACAACTTTGTGCATACTTTTTGTTTCTTGCTCTTTTAAATTTATTTATATTGTAAACGTATGCAATGCAAATTTATAATACACCTGTTACTTGTATTCCTTTATTGTTTGCATAAAAGTTGCTTTTTTAATTTATATTTTATGCTTAAAGTGATTGCATTTTAATTGATAAACTCCCCAAATGTTTAAATACAAATTTTGTTGTAATAATACTATTCTACTGTTGAGACTTTGTGTAAGTTGTGTCCTCTTCTGGAAGATTTGTTCCAATGTTTTGTAAGCATTTCAGCTGGCTTCTTCAAAGGTCAAACAACATCCAGATACTGATATATCGCTTGATCCCTGATAAATCTAGTTTAAATGCTTGCAAAATATTAGGATAATTTTTTCATAAGAACATGATTTGTATCCAAGAAAAAGCCTCAAATTTCTGATTGTAATAATATTGGTTCCCATTCTTTTTTCTTTTTTTTTTTAGCAATGCCATGGTTTGGTATGGATATAGGAGGAACCTTATCCAAACTAGTTTATTTTGAACCTAAAGATATTACAAGGGATGAAGCAGATGCTGAAATAGAAACTGTTAAAAATATTCGGCGGTATTTAGTTAAAAATTCAGCATATGGGAAAACAGGTTATCGAGACACACATTTGCAAGTACGTCCTTTCAGTCATTTGATCCTTTACACCTTTACAAAACAAGACCATATTTTGTACATTGTATTATTTGTATTATAGATGGATAATGTTTGTATTAGAGGTAGACGAGGCACGTTACATTTTATTAGATTTCCTACTAGCGAAATGGGAAATTTTTTAGCATTAGCAAGGTCTAAGGGTATGGCTAATCTCGTAACTACAGTTTGCGCTACCGGTGGTGGAGCCTATAAATTTGAACAAAATTTTAAACAAGTGAGATATTCGTTATATTTTTATACTATTTTTGAAACGCAAATGTTCTTAATTTTTTATACAAATATTTCTTTTGCAGGAAGTAAATATGAATTTAGAAAAATTCGACGAATTAGGTAGTTTAATACATGGCATGCTTTATATAGAGACAACTAATCCACACGAATGTTATTACTGGTCCAATCCTACGGATGACAGTAAATGTCACAAGGTTCCTTATGACTTTTCTGAACCCTACCCCTTTTTGGTACATACAATATTTTAAATATTAAGATATATATTAAATACTAAATGTTACACACTTTGTATGAACTTCTTGCAGCTTGTAAATATAGGGTCAGGAGTAAGCATATTGGCAGTTTATGGGCCAGAGAATTATAAAAGGATCTCTGGAACCAGGTATGTTACTTTTACAGTAATGTCAATACGTAACATCGGATCGAAAGGTTTGTCATTGATACAGTTATTTCATATTTAGTCTAGGTGGTGGTACGTTTTTAGGGTTGTGTTGCTTATTAACTGGATGCAACACATTTGAGGAAGCAATAGAATTAGCAACTGGAGGTGATAATACTAAAGTGGATAAATTGGTTAAGGACATTTATGGTGGCGATTACGGACCTTTTTGTCTTCCTGGAGATCTTGTTGCGAGCAGGTGATCTTTTTAATAATTAAATAAATACATTATGAAAACTAATATTTGTTATTTAAGGGATTGACTTGCATGTTTTTATTATCTATACAGTTTTGGACAAATGAATTCCAAAGACCGTCGAAATGCCGTTAGTAAAGAAGACCTTGCACGCGCAACACTTGTCACTATTACAAATAATATAGGTTCTATTGCCCGTATGTGTGCTGTCAATGAAAAGATTGAAAGGGTAAAGAAACTATTAATCGTAATTCATTTTACACGCAATACTTTACAATGAAAATAATAAGGGTTGGGACTTTCAGGTAGTGTTCGTTGGAAACTTCCTTAGAGTAAATCCTATATCAATGAAACTTTTGGCCTATGCTATGGATTATTGGTCTAAAGGAACAATGAAAGCTTTTTTCTTAGAACATGAGGTGAAGTACATACGAAATACACCTATATCTAACTCGGAAAATATAAAATGATGTCATTAAGACTATTTCTTTCCTTCGATTACAGGGTTACTTTGGTGCATTAGGATGCCTGCTTCAATTTAATGGCGAACTAAGCTAAAACCATAGACAATTGCATAATATATAGCATTCCATTTGATACTCCGACTCGAATGAATCTTTTTCATGAGGATGGTTATGCAATTATTTAACATAATTATTTATTTTTGTTATACAATATTTAATTTCTCAGGAATTATTGTATATGTTGTATATGAAGTTACAATAGCGCATGAAATTTTATCTATGCCAGAGACCTGATGTCAAACTACACTGTCTTCAAATATGATCGTATTTATTACAAATTTTAACAAGCACACTATAATAAGTTATTGTTTCGAAATGTGTTACGTAATTATTGCATAAAGACTGAATATGGCCACAAACCTTGCATGAATTTGTATAAAAAAAAACTATAATGGACCAAAATCGAATTGCATAAAACTTAACTTGGGTCTACTAATATTTTTATAGATCCATTCTTAGAGTCGTACATATAAGGCATGAAATTTGTCATGTTTAAATGGTTTCGATTATTCAAAGCTACTAACACGAAAAGCAATAAATTTGATAAGTACTTAACACCTATTACTACTATTCATATTATTATGAATATTTTATTTTTATTTTTATTATCAGGCATTATGGAATGTAGCGATTAACTAGCATTATGTTACAATTATTAGCAATTGTATAAAATATATGTAACGGTCAGTGGCCATATTTAAAAGTTATTTATATACATTTTCTTAATTCGAGAAATATGGGGGGTAATTTACTAGGTATTTGTCATTATTGAATCGTAACATGCATAACGTGCCTCAAGATGTAGACACCTAACATTATTGTTAAACATTTTTTTATAGAATAATAATTTACAATGTGACGATTAACAGAACGAAATATGTCACGAGGATATTTGTACTATAGCACTATGAAAAAATGTTTCTGCTATACGTACTTTACGATATGTTTGACGTTATAGCTGACATTTGTATGAATTTAAAAATCTAATAAAAATAGATTTGTTTATACGTTTATATTTATGGAGTAGGAACAAATGTAACTTTCTTATATTAATAAATGATTCCATATTTGGCATGAGGTGTTACATTGTTTAAATTGTTATCGTAATATTGTAAATACTGTTTAGTAAATTGTATTATTAAATTTGAATGCATTAAGTTTTCAATGCACTTATTATACACATCACTTTTAATAAAATGATATTATTACTAAGGAACAAAACACGTGAATACTTAAGGAGCTGAATCTACGTATTAAAATAATTAAAAAATGTCCTACATACCTTAACTTTTCAAGTTATGGGCGACTAAAGAAAATGTTCGGAATGTCCACCACGTGCCACAATACACGCTCTTACACGTCCAAACATCGAATACTGGTTTTAAAACCGTATTAAACTCGAAATTGAGATACTGCGAAGTTGGATTACCAATAAACCCTACAATCGGTGATATTTATAAACATCGTATAAGAATAAGTCGTATTAAGGCGTGTACTAGCGTGTTTTGGTGCACAAGGTGAATGTTGTCCTTGATCATTCATCAAAACTAAGGAGTATAGGACATATGTTCAAATGACGTTCGAATATTTTTATGACATCAGAATCGGTTATTTCCACGTTTCTCTGCTATTATTTAAACGACTGTACATAATAAATAAAAAGACACGGAACACAATTGTCACAGTTATACCGGTGCTCGAAAATTTCTGTAGCAGACTATAGTACCTTGAGCTCTCGTAAATCGTGAGTTTTCGTTGCTTAGCAACTATTCGATCAAAATAGTGTAACATTACTTTGAAGTCAAGTAGTGAACTGTTACTACCATTTGTAACTATCAGGAAAACTAAGTGTTTTATAATGACAGTTATTAATATTGTTGTTTATAATTTAATACATTAAATCATTATTTGTAGTAACTCCCAGAATTGTATTTTTGTTATCCTATTTTTCTAACAGCGACTTTTTGTAAAAATGGTAAGTTTTTAAAAGTTTAATTATAAATATGATTAATCAAATTTGTATTAGATATTGATATAAAGTTGGTCCATTATTTTCTTTTATCTGCATCTTATAGGGACCAAAAAAAGCAAAAGCAACAGATACTGTCGATGGAATAGACACGACCAAAATGAGCAGAGAACAGTTGGAAGTCTATTCGCACAAGATACTTGAGGAATTAGAACGAGAAAGAGAGGAAAGAAATTTCTTTCAACTTGAAAGAGACAAGCTCAGAACTTTTTGGGAGATCACAAAGCATCAACTAGATGAAACGCGTACAATTGTCAGGTATTTCTACAATACAGTTAACTAAAACATTTAATTGTGTATTTATGTAATGTCTGTTGTTCATGAAGAAATAAAGAACGCGAGAAAGAGGAACTAACGGAAAAACATGAAGCAGAACTTAAATTGTACAAGCAGAAAGTGAAACACTTGATGTACGAACATCAAATTAATCTATCAGAAACCAAAGCTGAACACATGGTTGCGCTTAAACTGGCGCAAGATGATTATGTAGTCCAAGAAAATGAATTGTACAAAGATAAGAAAGATCTAAAAAAGATACAGAAAGAACAAGAGCTATCGTTTGTTAATGAAATACGTGCATTGAAATTGGTATGAAAGGAAATGTAAATAATTTTTTAATGTTGTTGATCGGATTGATAAAAATTAAACATCATTGTTTAGCAAAATGCAGAGGAAATAGATAAAATAACGAAACAGTTTGAAACTGAGGCTGCAGAAATGGAGCAAAAATACGAACAAAAGTTAACAACCCAATATGAATCTCTAACTCTAAAACATCGTATGGAAATAACTGAAGTGGAAGAGAGAAAAAATACGCAAATCGCGAATTTAATAAAAAATCATGAGACGGCGTTCTCAGAAATGAAAAATTATTATAATGATATTACTTTTAACAATTTGTCCTTGATTAAGAGTATGAAGGTACGATTGATATAAAATTGAAAATTATTGATGTTATAACGCTGTTGGTGTTATAGGAACAAATGGAAGTAATGAGAAGTAACGAGGAGCGGATGAAGAAACAAGTACGAGAATTAACGACTGAGAATAAAAAATATTCTACTGATCTGAAGCTTCACGAGGAGTCTTTAACGCATCTTACTCGTCAACTTGCAAGTTATGAGAAAGATAAACTATCTTTAACTGTTAGTATTTTTAATTCCATAAGACGATCGTACTATATTTTAAAAGGTTTAATTTCTAATAATTTTAGAATACCAAAAAAAGATTAACAGTTATTCAGAAAGATTTCGAGAACTTGAGGTGGGAGAACGAAGTATTGGAATTACGTTTTGAAAAAGTATATCGACAATAAACACGCCCTTTACAGTATAAAAAGTACTTAATTTTAATTAGAATACATTTTATTCGTTAGTGTCAATCTGAAAGGGATGAACTACACTCAAGATTTGTCTCAGCTATACTTGAACTTCAACAAAAAACAGGATTGAAGAACGTCCTTTTAGAAAAGAAACTTGAAAAATTGTCCGATTTATTAGAACAACGAGAAGCACAGATCAGTGAAGTACTTGCTGCTGCTCAATTGGATCCAATGACTGTTGTCAATGCTAATAAAAAATTGGAGGTCGACATTTTTCAAAACTTTGAATTTTTTTCTTTTTTCTTTTCTCTACATTTGAATTACTTGTTTTTTCTTTTGCAGAATATATTGAACAGGAAGAACAGTGCTATACAAGATCTCCAATATGAATTAGCAAAAGTTTGCAAAGCACACGAGGATCTACTTCGAACGTATGAAGCTAAGTTACAAGAATACGGGATTCCAAAGAGCGAACTTGGTTTCCAGCCATTAAAAATAAAGGCAGTAAGTTCGAAACTAGGGTTGGGGCCGGCTGGTCTTGTTACCACAAATCGCTAGGCTCATAACATTTTAATAAAGTTATCTGAAATTTGAATTACAATTAGTCTACGTTTTTTTCCCGACTGATTGCCGAGCGTGTTATCAACGATAATTAGTGAAACGTAAAAGTAGTGAAATACAATTACAGTAGTGCCCACTTAAATGACCGCAGTTATCTCCACCAAATTTTGGAAGCCAAGCGGCTTCGAACATCGGGCGTGACTAATTCATTGATTAATAATTAAATTCTAAGAAGTAACCATGTTCGCTTAAGTGACCGCGGCCAGTCCCGAGCGTGGACAATTAAGTGGGCACTACTCTATCAGGGAAAAAGTATTCACGATTTCTGATGCAGACTACTTTTATTTTGTAAAACAGATAAGTTTCAGCATATCCGTCTTATTTTTATACAAATTACATAAAATCATCACAGAGAACGTACAGAGTAGGTCAATATCAGTGCCTGAAAGTTGTATTCATTTATAATTATTCCTATTTGATTTATACCTCAACACTTTCATAAATTCTGAATCGTGATACATATTCGTATCATCACCTTGACCATAATTTTTTTTCATAATTTAACAACTAACAGGCATCAAATACATTGAAGATGCTTTATATATATATACATGTGTATATATACATATATACGCATGTTAACATATAGACATAGACACATGGACTAGACTAATTTATAAAATATTATAAATCGAATATATCAGGTCACGTGGTTAATAAATTTGAAACACTTATATACTGGGCTTATGTAAAATACGTTTTTCTTCAATCTATTGATTTTTTCGGTTTTGGAAATATTTAATTGTTAAGTGAAGAAATAATTCATCCTTTTTTGCATATTTGTAAACATTATATAATACCTTGTATAGATATAATTTCACCGCGCGCGCGCGCGCGCGTGTGTGTGTGTGTGTGTTATGGGGAGAGGGGGGATGTGTACAAGGTACACTAACAAATGCATATATTTTCTGTACACACACATATATTTATACGTGTTAGAAAAGTCTCTATTTCAATTCCGGGCAATTTTGTTTTCAAGGAGTGTAATGCGTGAGTTAAAAAGAAAATTGTGGGAGAGGAAGTGTCAGAGCAGTCGACCGACAAAAGCGTGCTAAACGAGATATAAGTGAGTGGGTGCTGTAGCCAATGAAAAGCTACTCAAACGTGCAACAAGTTAGAGATTAAATTAGCGAATGGACAAGGGAAGTTTATGGCAACCCCTACCAAACAAAGAAGAAACCAAATAGTCTGGAATTGAAGGGGTATATTAGAAAGGTCTCTATGTCAATTCCAAGCGATATTTTTAAAGAGCGATATGAATGAGTTAAGAGGAAGTATGAAAGTCAGTCGACTGACAAAATCATGCCAGGAGAGACATAAGTGTGTGAGTGTTATAGCCAATGAAGAGAACTGTAAATAAAGAATTTTTCTGTCTGATTATATTTCTACTTTCGCCTTTATTTTTGTACCAAAGATTATTTCTCAGTTCATTATTTTTGTTCTTCCTTCTGTTTCTGTATATTAATTGTTAAATATATTGGATTTTCTGCTCAAACGTGCAACAATATGTATATATATTTTTTTATATGTGTATGTATATTAAGAATTTTGGCACAATAAGAAATAGAATCACAGTTGAAATCATTGTACATCATAAGAGTCATAGATCATTAATACTTTTTTTTTTTTTTTTTCTCTCTATATCTGCAAGTTTGTCTTCGCGTGAAAGACGTATTAGATGCATAATGCAAGTACATTTAACTATGCTCTTTTCTCGATTGTTACGTTATATCACGAAAAAAGTCTAAACTAGTCAAGTGTTCATGATTTTTAAAACAACAATATGAACATTCAAAAATCACTGTGTCTAATTCCGACCACTGTGAACATAGTACTTTTTTTCCTCTGTAAAGTTTTAGATTAGGCTCAGCTCGTTGGTTCATTATGTCAAAAAGAATATTGAATCTATTCAATTTTTTCAGGGCCGTATAAGTCTGAATCACAGTAGTAAAAAAAATAAGCATCTGTTTTAATTTTAGACATTTGTGGTCCATTGTTCCGTTGTATCCCTTTTCTACATTAGATCTTTAGAAATTCTTTAAAATATGTAAATTTTCTTACTATTATTAAAGGTGCACTGGTTTCTAAGATTTATCTAATAGTGCCATAATCAAGTGAGAAACTACGCGCATCGTTTTTAAGCAATTTATCAGCATTGTACTTTTATCATTTTGATAAAAATTTTGTGAAATATACCAATACACTTTCATTTTGTTGTTTTTAGAAATTATTGAAACAATATAAATATGTAATAAATGAAATGGTAGAATGAGCAAATTTGAATAATTTGGAACTGCTTTAGAGATCAATTTTAGCTTTTATAAGAAATAATTGTATGCTCTCTCGTATACAGGGTGTTTGGCTACCCCTAGAAAACAATTTTAATAGAAGATTCTAGAGGCCAAAATAAAACGAAAATCAAGAATACATTACATTTTCGGTAAAGAATTTTTTTCTTGAAAATGCGTAGGATTTCGAAGGTATGTATATTCACCAAAAATGTTTGTAATTGACCCCCGCAACTATAAATAATTTTTTTAAAACGATTTGAAACATTTCGATTTTGTCGAAAAATTTCAGCATCTACTCGAATTTTTTTCTCGAAAGTGGATAGGAATTCGAGCGTATGTCAATTGACCAAAAATGATTATAATTGACCCCCCTAGCTAAAAATAATTTTTTTAGAATGATTTGAAATTTTTTAAAAACTTGTTAACGAAGCCTCGATCAACAAATTGATATTCTTGATTTTTGTCTTGTTTTGGCCTCTAGAATCTCGCATTAAAATTTTTCCCAGGGGTGGCTGAACACCCTGCATGTGTATATTAGAATTACAAATAAAATTGATTATTTAACAATTTAAAATGGTGAATATGGTATTTCAGAAAACTGTTATTCTTCACTAAAATAATAAGCAATAAACAAACATTTGTGCCCAATACAATAATGTTATAGAAAAATTTCATCCTTGAGCAGTTTTAATTTTCAAATGAACATTAAAGAATGTTATTTTCACGTTCTAAAATTGAACGAAACGATCGTTTGAATCCGTATAAAAAGTATTTTTAACAAAGTGTTTGTACACGCGTCATTTCTAATTTGAGATTCATGAAATGAGCTCTTTTGATTTTCATTCAACTCATTATCTTCCAGTTTGGCAAAACTTCAGCAATTAAGGTGGAAAAATAAGTTGTTACATTGTACACCACAGTTTCACCGGCGGCTAAAATTGCGCCAAACGAACCGTATGTACCATAATCTATAATACTGTGATTACATGCTGATAAAACTGCAAGGTCTTTGCCAGGACCTTTAGCATTTACATCGGACACAAATTTGATTCTATATCGTTTACTATGCAAATTATACTTGCACCAAGCTATATTATCGCTAGTCACTATAAATACTACATTATTATACTTGCCAACAAAGTAATCCATTGCCGCAAAATAGTAGCTGACAGGAGCAGGTCTGATTTTCAATTTCTGCCACAAATAGTCTACATAGTCTGTTCTTCGTACATGAATGCTTACAAACGTTGGTTCAGGTAAGTTAAATTCTTCCGCTACCTCTTTTAATACCCTTTCTGCATAAGTTCTTAAATTTGGCTTAAATGTAAATTCTCTTCGTATATCGTCCAACCACATCAGGATGAAAGACCAGTAAGCCGCGTGTCTATCAATAAAAATATTTAATGATTATAATAACTAGCATCGTAGATAATAGAGAGTTACTTACCTCGGTATGATGATGTTCTGTTCTGTACTGTTCCATTGTCCAGGAGAATTAACAACTTGACTAATATTTAAATTGCATCGTCCGATGTAACTAAGCGGCGGAATACTAAGATTTTCAAAGTATTCCTCGAGGGTTTTTAGTATGCAACGCGGCATGAATGGTTCTAACCCGGTCATTCTAGCAGTAGCCCATACCGAAACATATTCCCAAATTTGATTTCCTAGTCTACCACCTTGGGCCGCCGAAACTATTCCATATTTAGGACAAGGATTTCTCCACTCCGGCGGTATTCTGATATTCTTTAAGGTGGTACGACAAAGCGCCTGCTCGTACGTTGAGATCTTTATGTGACGAGCTGGTGGGTTGGATGTGTACATGGGAAACAGGAAGACATGGATGCCAAAGACCACTATCAGAGCGAGAACTATTGCGCTTGCAAGTACATGCTGCTGAGCGTGACTCATTATCCTTATTTGCTCCTGTATGGCGTTGTCACTACGTACAGACCAATTCTTTTTCTATCTTCTGCACTATTGTTCTTTGCTTATTATTTTCTACTCTTCAACTTCCACTAGTCCAACATTTTGTATCTACAGGTGTGCCATGTCCTTTGCTTTCCGACGTACATCTTTATAACGATAATATCATTTATATTGAAAAGTACATGTTTCGTAACTATAGACAATAGTAAGATTAAAGGATATGTAACTAATAAAGTTTATAGAAAACGATTGGAAAAATATCGATCGAAAATTTGTATGCATTTTATATTATAATTTAAAAATATTCCAAATTCTCTTACATTTTTTATATAAAATGTCAAAGATTTTCAGTCTACTAGGGAGACAATTAATACTACTATTAAGTAGTACATGCCTATTTTAGACAGACAGCGAAAAAGGACATGCCCTACCGAATAGTTGTTTTAAAGCTACTAATTCAGCAAGGTTTTATTATACAAAGCACAATATATGTAAATTAAAATTGCATTTGTTTAGTTTGAATCTAATAAAATTATATTACACGTTGCACAGGAAATTATGTTACAAAATGGTTAACAGGTGGTGAGCTTCAGGTGTTACATGAACTTTGATATATATACAAGAGTATTATTTACTATCTGTATAACTACAAATACCACTGTAAAAATGTACAAAACGCTAAATGGTAAAGTGAAAATTAATACTTCTAATTACTTACATTTAAATGTCAAAAGAAAATCGTTAAGAGCATAATTATTAAGAGAATCATTTTCGAGCTGTTTCGTGAGATCAATAGAGATCAAATTACGCCCGACACTCGAGCCCAGTTTCTTTTAACTATAAACGATAATTTAACACTCACCCGTTCCTACAAAATATTCGCATTGCATTCGAAGAGCGCTACTAGCCGCGAGACTCGCGTCGATCTGCCCGTTGTTTCCGTCACTCATGTTTTCCCGGTGAAATCGATGCGTGCCTCGTGCATTGACGCTTGTTGCGTATCCACGGGATGCTTCGTGTACCTCGACCGATGTTTTTTCCCCCGGTACGAACAATCACGGAATATCATTTATTTTTCGTATCGCGACGTTTTTCTAAAAATGATTTCGAAAACCGTTTAGCCAGGCAGCCGAATAGCTAACAACGCTTCGTTCCGGTCGAACTTCCATCCTTGGAACGGGAGATGTTGGCCCGACGGATGACGTCATGAGAAACCGTCACCCCTGGTTAGTATGATATATAGAGTAATTTCAGTTGGCGCCGGTCGGACTAGGTCGACGGATAATGCAGAATAGTACTGTAACATCCATTTATTGCGAAGACGTTTCTGCTTAACGGGTGCAACGGGTATAGATTACACTTCTATCACAGACGAGGTATAGAGTAGACATTACATAGAATGTTGTTCTTTGTCACACGGACGATGGCGAGGCTCGCGAGACCCTTTACCATGCCGTATCACTTTCCATGTTATCAGTTCATACTGGAATTCGAATTTAGCACTTGTAGTATTCGGAATTAAGACTTAGCTATCCTATACCTCGTCTGTGACAATACTGTAGAATGTTTTCGGTATTACCAGACGCCAGACCGGTGCCCAGATGAAACTGCTCCATCACTTACGCACACTAATCTCTAAACATGCGTACGTGAGCCCCACTATTTCGAGAAGGAAGGCGAATATGAGCTTTTCCTTCTCGTTCTCGAAACAGCTGAAATCCGACTTCGTCTGTGATTTCATCAAGTTCTATTCACTGTATTAGTTACACTTTATTTACGTTATATTACTATTTCATTGAATACACGAGTACCCTTCAATTAAATCTTAACGATAATAATTATTCATTGAATAAGGTTACGCTAATATGGAACGTGAATGCTTTTATTTTGTTACATGAAACAGTATCTATTGTTACAGTGAACATTGTAACTTTCAGTGATTGTAGTTAGCACCCTTACATGCCCATTCGCCGTCGAATTGCACCTTCTTCGTTCTACTTTTTTCCTAATATATATTATTTAATATTATTTAAAGTAACTACGGTTTTACTGAAAATAGTTACCTCGAACTTGCGCATCATTGCTCGTTGAAATTGATTAAATTTGCGTCTAATTTTTTCTAAGGACTCCTTCTCAACTGGCTCTAACAACATTTGCATCGACTTATCGTTGTACAGCGGTAAAAATTCTAGCGTTACGCAGTACTCGTGGAAGCCGGATTTCAATTTTGACCGCATCTCAAGCTGATCCTTCAATAAATTGCTAATTTCGTTTTGCGTCTGTGTAAGTTCTTTGTTCGAGTTCATTAGGACTTTCTCCTGGCATGCTATATCACGGCCAATGATTTGTTCGACTTCCGGAACATCGCTTCCTACACTGTCGCCATTTTCCATGGCCAATCGAAGCTGTTGTTGTCTGACAAGTTTATCGCGTACGTTCTCCAAATTTCTCTTCGCCTGAAGTATAAATTACAAACGTTAGTCCCCTACATATGATTTTCCGGAAACTTTTAAATGACTGTGCATCACTTGGAAGTAATTATCGATCATGCACGCAAATTTCTGGCGAACAATAACGAGAGACTTTCCACTTTTATCCAATTTCTCCTTGATTCTACTGTAGTTTTTGTTTTCCTTTAGGAAACGCTCGAAGAATTGTCGAACCTTTAATAGAGGGAAATCAATAACAAAGAAAGTTCATCTAATACACTAGAGACGAAGATCCAAACCATTGAGATATTCTGGCTATCAATTTTCAAGATTTGCTCGGATACTACTGGATATTTTTGGTTCTTTGATGCTTCTTCTTCTTCTTCCACCCCTTCGTTTTCTTCTTCTTTTATATATGGTCCAAAAGTCATTCCTACTGCTGTTTAATATTCCAAATTATTTTACAAATATTTCTATAACGCGCAATATCAACCCACCGATTTTCTTTAGATTTCCAACTTTCTCTCTGTCTATTTCGTTAGAAATTTGTTTAATCTCGAGCACGGGCTCTAACGAACTTCTAGTTCTCTTCCGGCTATGGTACTGACCGTTGGTGGATAATACGGATTCCTATAAAAATTTTGTACAATTTTACTTTAAAAGAACTAATCGATCGATCGAGATATTCGCAATGAGTACTGCCCAAGTGCAAGTACCTTCGATTTTGTCGACAAACCGGCTTGCGCCATATTTTTCGCGACATTTTCGTAGGTTTCCCGCAACTTCTCAACTTCAAGCTCTTTGGCGCTTAACCTAATGTATCCACTCGTCAGAACATCGGCCTTTAAATTATATTATACGTAACAAGAATAATGGAACCTGTTATATAAATCCTTGATACTCTTCAGCAGCACCGTGGCTTGAGACACACTGAACAGCGTAAAATCAGAGATCGTCCCATTAAGAAAATTCACAATGCTTCGATTGATCTGTTCCATTCGCGACTTAGAAATATTCATCGAGGCCTCCTGGCGTAGGAACAGATCATTTATCATCAGTTCCTTCTTCAAAGAGTCGACCTCATCCTGAAGTATCCGTTCTATATGATCCGGTCTATATTTAACGTCTTCCTTGATCTTAACTGGCTTTAACCCCACAATGCTTGAAGTGAACCGTAATGTCGACAGTGTGATGTTGAGATCCTCCTTCGTGATTCGAACGTGGGATACGAAACTATCGATAGATTTAACTACTTACCTATTGTAAACACAAGTTACACGTACAAGTAGTCTACAGTTCACGAATACAGTAGTACCTCGAAAGTTGCTCGTGGTTCGAGAGCAACTTAACAAATTGTTGGATATAGCAAACACAGTAACTGTGCATTACTGTATTCCCAAGATTTGAAATGACGTGAACGAGCACTCGAAGTACTACTGTTTTTCTTCCAATTACCGAATCACGGATGAAACTGAAAAGGCATTTCCCAAGATCTTCAATAAATTACTGGAAGGCATTGCGCCGTAAGAAATTGGCCTCGTTCCCCCGAGGTACGAGAAAAATTGTTCCAGCTGGCTTTTCATTAAATTTGCAGTGCCAATATCCGACGCCACCTTCCAACATTTACTTCGTCCCAGTGACTCTATACCAGCCATCTCAACGATGTGAATCTAGGACCATTTTGTAAAAGCTTATCGTTGACTAGGAAAGCAAGATGCGAATTTCGATACAAGATTACTTTGGCTGTCGTTACGATGCCCCACGATGTAATTAGACTAATGTTGGTCGCGTGAACAGTGATCACAGCGGTAGCCAAATGCGAGGTTAAATACGTCGATCCTTTCACGACCGATCTTCTGACCTCTCCTTCGAAAATCTTCCTCAAAGCTTCTTCCTCGGTATTCACGCTGACCATCAAGATATCCTACAATGACTGTGAATTAGATTTTGTCCAGTCATTCTTGTTGCCATCGCGTAAACCTTAAACGGGTCCCGGTCGTTTATCCAGATCTTGTTCTCAGTTTCAGAAAGCAGATCTCTTGCTTCCTTTCCACGCAGCTCGACGAAGCTCAGTCGATACTCTATTTTGCTGACACTCATTCTGCTTGACTTTTCTGCGAATAAGTCGGTGAAAAGCCGCGCAACCAGTCCTCTGTGCTACAAAGAAAGAAGTAATTGTTGAGTTTACGATATCAGGTAAAAGAAAATACTAAAAAGTCGCGATAGATTCAACGGAATCGTACTTCCCAATCGTTTCGGAGACCGCTGATCGTGAAGCTCTTCCCAGAGCCAGTTTGTCCATGGCCGATCAAAACGCAACTCACGCCGTCTAAAACTCTTAAATTGTGTCTACTTATCATCCTGATATTAGTTTACAATATGGAGGCTCAGGGAAACCTTAAACGATAGACCTGCATTTACTTTGATACCAGGTCTTCGGTCGAAACGCGGTACACCTCTTCCTGCGAGGAATCCAAGAAAATTCCATCTGTTTGGAAGCCCCAGTAAGACGGTTGTCTCGATACAGCGATTCTGTTCGGTTGAATCTCTTGCAAACATCGTATGTAGATTATCTGGATGGAACACATTCAAGGTGGAAGGATGATGCTTCTCCAAATGTCGTAAGACTTCAATTACCTTGTGTTCCGCGTCGATGTTCATGTACGATGGGCAAAATCTCTCGAGCGGGAGAATTCTAACAAAAATCTTGACGTTTTTCTCGCAGTCCTTAGCGTCATTGTAATTAGTCATTGCGCGAAGAAAGAAGCGGTTCAACGTAACTTATTCTTCCCGCAAACCGTGTTAGTTAAATTTCTTCGTTCAAGGTGTGCGATGTTACGAGTTATCAGGAGTTGTGTGGACGTTCATTTCTTTGGGTAAGTTTCTGTTTTTTTTGCTTTGTGCGCCATTTTCGCGGAGCTTGTTGACATAGCCACGGCGGAGAGAAGGTAACTGCAAATCTACACTTACGGACACTTTCAGGTTTAACGTAATTTCAGCCTTACTCGGAACAATTATGAAGGCAGTAAATAATACAGAATTTTGTATAATATACAGAATTATATTGAAAATACAAAAAACCTGCGTGGCTAATTTCTACTTACATCGAATACGCACTATTTCATAATATACAGCATTTTACACTGAATACACGGTACAAGTATACATGTATATTTAGTATTTGTGAAAAACCGCGACGAACCTTAGAAAACCGTCGAAGTACTGCGCTCGCTATCGAGTCTTATTTGGTCATAGTTTAATAAAAAAAAACCGCACTTTGTGCTATTGAAAGAAACGATTTCTAATTCCATACAACCGTCAACTCTATAACGTATAAAATTCACAATTAAGTTTTGTGGAAAATGGAATTAAATTGACTCGAATCGATCGATACGATTACAAATATGTCGATCGAAGTAAATATTTGTATTCGAACCAGGTCAGTCCGGCATTTAATTCACAATTAAATTAAAATTAAATTAAAATCAGTAACTAAATACATAAATTCATCATTTTTATACCTTCTTGACCGTCGTAAACTTTATAAACCCAGAAACACGAATACGGAACAAAAGTTATACACATACATCATTCTTGATCAACGCTCGCCTAATCATACTGTATGTTATGAAAAGGATTTCAATTATTACTCCGCCGAAAGAGGAAACCACTAATTGTATCAATCGAATACGACGTTCATCGCGTTTAAACGCGATCGCTTTTTATTCGTGCCAACATTGAACGTTCATTTCAATGCAGCAGAATTTTCACAATTCCTTTCTTACCATTATTCATTTTGTCTCATTATTATGCTACATCCTTTCTCTTTTTTTTTTTCATACATGTTCGAACAATACACATCTGTCCACTCCCAACATAAACATTCTGTATCTTCGCTAAACTCTGTTTTAGCTCCGAGTAACAAGTAATAATTAATTATCGATAAATACTATCCAAGCTATCATCTATGAACTATCGCAGATAGAAACGCATTAGAAACAGTATAAAATTGGATATGTTCTTCTTTCCTCAACAACACTAGTCTATAATAATAAATCATATTATTCTTATTATGTTTTTTTTCATTTTTTTTCATATTTTAGCATTTTCTCCCTAAGCATATAATTGCATACGACTTATAGGATAATAAGGCGTTCAATAAGTACACCGTTAAGTTTTGCGGGCGGGAAAAGGTTAAAACGAATAGTGCTAATATTAAAATCGGAGGTAATCGAAATAATTGTGTTGCGTGTTTCATTTCTTTTTCTTTTTTTTTTTTTAGGCTCGATCGACCCTCTTTGCTCTTCAGTCTTTCTTGTAGCTCAATATGGAACAATCCTCTACTCCATTCTTTTTGCAAATTCAAGCGCAGCAATCCTCACATTCGCGTCCCTGGCTATGTTTTTTCACTCAATGGTCACGCTGGACGTTATCGATCCCCGCCTGGTTAGCCAAACTCTGCGAATGAGAGACGTTTTAAAAATATAAGAACGCGTCTCGTTACGGCTTTTCTATGGAATGATTCGCATCGACGAACGGTACACTTCGTGGGAAAAATATAATGGAGTACTCGAGCCTCGTTAAGGAGATAAGGTAAAGGAAACAATAATACTATTTTATTTAAGACATCATGCTGAACGTAATAACGAACGTATACCCGATGTAATGAAATAATTGAATGTAACTGGGTTGCGCAGATGTTTCTTGGCAGAAAAATTAAGCAAATGTTTCCTTACCCCAAGCCAGCGCCAACCAAGACAGATAGAATGTTTGTAATAAAAAGAGTGTAGAGGACCTCTTTAGAAAACAACCCAATCTTGCCGACTTTCGTGGTACGAATGCTGTATGATTTTTTTTTGTTCATTCCTAGAGGATGCTTGAATTTCCAGTCTCTGAAACGCAAAAACAACGTGGATAAACATAGAGGTCGAGGATTCGAAGAAAAATACGAAAGAAGTTTGTTCTATCATAGAAACGTAAAGTCGCAAGTCTCTTGAATATTTAAAGATCGAATATTTCGCGTACTTTGGCGGCACCTGATCCGGGCGCGAACTCCATTCGTAGATCCAGTCGGTGTTCTTCTCCAATAGATCGGGATCCTGCACAGAACGAAACAAAGATCGTTAAGCAATTTGTCGAAGCACAGAGTTAATAATCCCTGGAAATCCGATTTGAAAGCGTTTAAAGTCGCACCGGGATCTCGTATCATCCGGTGAAACTAAAGATGCACACGATTCTATGTAGCGTCTGCATTGAATTAAAATCACGCCGGTGTCGGTTTACCCGGCCTGTAACGTATAACGCAAAGCTCGTTCGAGTTTTCTGCTATACGGTTTCCACCAACACGGCGAAACGAACGCGTCATTGGAAGCGCGACATAAAGATCGGTTTCCTAACCTCCAATAAAATTTGATAGCCGACTGTAAGTCTACTATGCTTCGTTGCAGACGACGTTAACTTTTTCTTACAAGAAATTATAATTCACGTTCGAATTTGTGACAGACCGATAAAGCAGAGAAACGATCATCCCTTGTCGGTGACTTATCTTATTGAAATAAATCCACAGTTGCGAAATCTCGGCTGTAGGTTTAACCGGAGAGCTGCGCGCATTAACGATGATTCAGAATATTTATTGCACCGAGATAATGGCAACCGTCGAAAAAGTCTGCGGCGAAACGCAAGAAGCGTGTCTTCTCATGCACCTCTTATCTGTGAATGACTTCGAGAGGAGTATGAGAGGCATCCAAAAATAGCTTCTATTGGCGGCCGGCCAATCGCGACGCGAGCGCGATTGTCGTATCGTTAGATACGCCCGTGTACGCCTCGCAATTAAACGAAACGTATACTTGTTTGTAAACAATCCATCCTGTCACCAGAACTCCGACGACCTAAATCCATATTTCGCGCTCGTGTGCTCGTGCCTGGTTATAATATTTCGAACGATAAACTTCTGCACTTTTATTTGATTTTTTAATTATCTTTACTATTTTAGGTTATATTTTTCAGAGCGAAGCGTATAGACAGCGCAAAGTAGTTTTCTTTTCGCATTAAAATCGCAACTTTCTAAACGTTTCAGTTTGTATTTCGAGGCTGTTTCGAACCGACTTATAAAATTTCGATTTCGATGAAATGCGAGGGAATTTTCGTTTACTAGTCCCGGGAACTTCCGTGACACATCGTTCACAGTTCCGTTCGTTGTATCGAGCACTTATCATTATCGGCGATAACGTATGACAATTTATCGACCAAACGCGAAACCTAAATACGACAACTTAGCGAACGAACTACGAATCTTCTTTTGTTTGAACATATTGCCCGTAGAAATAATTTAATTAGAAGAAATAGCAAACAAAATATACCAGCCAGCGAGAAAGCTAAGTGAGCGAAATGAAAATGGTAAAATAAACGTTTCTTTAATTCATTAACGCGAGATAGAATTTTTCAAGAAATTTCTATTTCAAACATTGCATTTGCGATAATAAAATGTACAGTAATTTACTGCTATCAATTGTTTACAGATCGAAAGACGAAGCACGTTAAGGAAGAAGAACTTTATTTAACAACGAAAAAAACTCGTAAATTACGACGGAAATGGAGTGTCTTGAAACGTAGAGGAATGAAAAAACAAAGCTTGTAATTGAACAACGACTCGTTTACCAACACCAGCGAGCCCATCATGTGCCACCTGTGACGCATATTGCACTTAACGTGACCTCTAGAAAACTGATAGCCAGTCTCTTTTTAAACAACGCCATCGAAACCTGTCGTCGTCGATAACCGCTCGACTCCGTTATAAATATCCATTGCAACTTCATTGTTCGCGCCATTCGTCACATTTTTCACGCATTCTACGCAAACATTCGCAGGTGCAATTGTAATGCACCCACTCGTACCTGTTATATACGCGAATATTTGCTGGGAGCTTATTACGACACGAAATAACGACCTACCTTATCGACGAAGATTTAATTACGGCGACGTTGTTTGAAAATATAAAATGCAAGCGCTTGATTACGATGTATACGTATTGTACTCCTAAAATAACGATGAAAACAATGTTATCTTCCGTAGGACACACCTAGCGATATCGCCGGCTTGTAAATCACGGTCCAATTTATTATAATTGTCTTGCAAGTTCGTCGAGGCGTGTACCATTTCTCGAAATAGTGTCGACTCCATTCGGACTAATGCGTAATAAAGCTCGACTATAAACTGACACCAATCTCTCAGCTTGGAAGCACGTATAATGGATTTCACACACCAGAGCCACACCGTGTGGCTTTAGACTAATTTATCGAAACTATTATTTAAAAATTGTAATGTTATTTCGAGCGAAGGCAGCAGGAAGAACTTGGGAAGATCGTGTCGTTTCTAAATCGGTTTTATCGGTTCCCCGACCCGTTGGTAGACTAATTTATGGAACCTCTTTCCCGTTACAATTTAGATCTGGAAGCCACGCATCCAGCGGCGTTAAAAAAAGAATCCAGCGTACATCGTAAACCTGGCCTAACTTGGCGAACTATCACGATACCCAGATCGAACTCACGACAGACTCGTAAATCGAAAAGGGGATAAACGTATCATAACAGAGAGATTATGGTTGAGGCTATACCTCTGTGCAACAGCTAAAATGCAACGTTCTTAAGCAAACGAGCACCAAGGACTCGAGCTATGGCGTTGCGACTAATGAGAAATTACCTGAGAAGGACTTGCGTCGATCGAGTCACCGTATTGGAAGACCATCATGGAGTCAATTAAGACAAATACCAATAATTGGAAAGCAATAGTTTTTACAAGGCTCTACTAGGTCGTGGAAGAGTTACGATTAGTACAAGGACGACGTGGCAGAAATTTTGCTTGTTTATTTGCATTTAAGAATTTACTATCGTTCCACGCGTGTCACTGTTCTCTTTGGTATTCAGGCCGCGAAGACGAAGCGTCGGACAAATACCTTTCCGAGCATCGTACGAAGAACACTATGTCTGCACCGTGGAAAAGGACCTTAACACTTACGATTTCGTTCGAGGAGTTCTCAAGTTGTTGGGCGTCTCTAGACGCGGTTAGTATTACATAATTCATTCAGCGATGATAGAGTCTAGATACCCCGATGTACAAATTATCCTCTAGAAAAGAGGTAGCACAAGCTTGCACAATGTACTTACTCCGCATTACTGCGACCATGATTATAAATTTATCACGACATTAAGAATTAATAATCGTGAGCTATGGACGTAGATATTAATTAGTCATACGCAGTATCTAAACTAACGTTTCCTTTGTTCTGATCGAAATCTATGTTACAGGATACGCTATGCTTATTCTGGAGAACAATTAGCTCTTTCGTTTATCATCGATGCTCGAAGAAAGAAATCGATATCGAGATAAAATCGAAAGAAACCGGGTCACGCATGTGTTGCACTAGGTAAACGACCTCTGGGATCCGACGAATTCGTTCGATATTGCGCATGGTGTGATCTCGTGTCTGGTTTCGGATTGGTCGATCACTGCTGCGACGCGGTTAAAAAGGCAGAATCCCTCCCTGTTGCTCTTTCTTTGCCGGTAATCGTTTCGGATTTTTTTTTTTTTTTATTCGGAATCTCCCACTACTCGCCCGCGAGCGTAATAACCGGAGAATTACATCTACCGGCGGGCACGCTGCGGGCTCGTTCAATGGAGAACCCTTAGCAACCGCATTTCGCCACGTACCACTATGGAGGCAGCTCGAAAGGCTCATCGACGAACCCCGTTTCCCGAATGTTATTCGGTTATTTAAACCAGGAGTTACTGGGTTGTTTAAAATACTTGTTTCAAAGGGTAAATTCAAGTTAACCGGTCGTATATCCCGAGCAAACTAAATGGAAACCAGATGGGATTACGTTCAGGGAGCAAGACAAATGTGAAAGGACGTCCGAAACAAGCTCTTGGTACGGTTATTTTTACCACGGAATGCCGTAAACTTGCCGCTCCATAGGATAACATTTAGAGAAGAAAATAAAGAAAATGTTTAGCGTACGAAATTAAATGTAACGATATCGCAGCTTCGACGCACGTCCAAACAAGAAAACAGAGATTGTACAGCCTCGTATCGAGGTTTTTTTTTTGCATTCGTGAGAAACGCACGCACGATTGTGAGAGAAGCCAAGTTTGGATTGTATGGAAGTGGAACGTGTTGCTCTCACAATGTCGTTCGCGAAAGAGAAATTTCTATCGCGCGGTTTGTTTCTCGCGAGACGGAAACGTAGACGTGGAAACGTCCTGCGAGGAAACCCGTTAGCGAATAAACGCAGGTAGAAAATGTTACTGTTATTTCTCCGACTCCTTAAACTTTGTATGCATTACGGAAGAGCGTGAGAAATGGGAGAAAGAGAGATACAGTGGCAAGAATGTATCAATGGCGGCCTGAAAGATAAGGATTGTAACAACCTGAGAGCGAGAAATTGTAGAAAAATCTGTGCTGAAGGAATTAGAGAAGAAATGGGGCAAAGATTGCCTTGGTCTTAACACTTTACCGACCGGTAGCGGTTGATTAATCGGCTATCGGTCGGTAAGCGTTGGCCGGTAAAACAGTCGATTAATAGGCTATCGGTCGGTAAAGTGTTAACGACTAAGGGTTCAAAACTAAATTAAGAGATTAGACTGCGTGAAAGTAGTATCTACCAGGTCTATTATGATAGACTAAATGTATAAAATATAAGTCATGCGCTGTTACTTATAAAAGATTGATCGAAACCGTGGTTTTTTATAAGAGAATGAATGATGAGATCTATCTAAGTAAATAGAGAATAATTGTCGGTAATTCTAGCGTTGAAATAAAATGTATCGAATGCAGCAACGTACGGCTGACGAAGCATGGCCGTGTTTAACGCGTTCCATGGAACAGCAACAGTGCGTTCGCGCGGAATGAGCATAACGGCTAGGTTGACTTAATCCCAACAAGCGTACCGCGGTCGAGTGTATCGAGTGTTTCTCTTCTCCGAGCGTTTCTTGTCGCGATTCGAGCCCGTTTCTCGACCACGCAATGCGCGAACCGCGGCGAAGACCGGTTTTTGCGGCGGAGATGAAGAGCACGAGCGCAGCGAACGCCGATTCGCTCGCTCGCGATCGCGTGATACGTCGTAACGGGGCAACAACACACGCGCAATACCGGAGAACACGAAAGCAGGTGAACGATCTATGGCGTACCCGCATAGGAGTTTCCATCCCGTGACGAAACACGCATTCGATCACTATTGGCCATTAGCCAAAGAATCTACTAGTTTTAAAAAACAACAACGCCTCCAGTGCAAGGAAACTCGAGTTCTCGTACAAGTTAAATTCAACTTTTTAACGTTGCAAAAAGGCCATCTTTATCTTTGGTATTTACCGTGTGTTTCTTAACTTCGCGATCCAACGAGATCCGCAGCTGTTTCTATTTTTAGATGCGTTATTAAATAGCGGCGTCCCCGATAAACGGAGAATGAGGAAAATCGTGTTTAAACGCGGACCGTATATGGTATTTAATTATGCGATAAAATTATTTTCCAATCGATAAATTAGAATTATAAATTATTCACGGAGCCCCAAACGTGTGCTTTGTTTGAAACATGTATTTTTTTTTTAAATGTTTGGCAAGGTTTCGAACAATAGAGAGCGTGTTTGGAGAAGTATACTTTTAACTGCACCCGCTGGTCGCGCGAACTTGGCCATCCTTGGTTAAATAAATACACATATAACGAATATGCGCATCTGATTATCGTCGCACGTATCAGGCCCCGTTTCTGCGTCACAGAATCTTTACAACTGTATAGTAACGTTGGTGTTTCTTGGCAATAGAATATCAAGGTCGTTTGTTCCGCAACGCTCAATAAACGTCGAGACGCTCTGTCCTACGCTGTGCCAATGAAGACCAATTTTTTACCATGTCTGTTGCAAAACTGGTCCGATACGGGACAAACAAATAGCCTTGGATTTCTATTTTTAATACCTTATTTAACTGTTAACCCTGAAATGGCACTCTGGAGTCTCATGGCCCCAGTAAAATTTTTATTTCACGAGGTGCAATTAAATACGATATTAAAATGTTCTTTAATTTTCCCATGGTACTCGAAAGTATATTTCAGTGAATTTTTTGCAGAATTTTATACCTGAAAGAGCCCCAGCGCGACGCGTGGCGCATAGTCCGTGGAAACGGTGTGCCTTTCCAAGGTTTAAGGCTAGTAGAGAGGCTAGTGCACTTTCAAAGACCTCGCCTCCCACAAAGGCGTGTATATACAAAGAAAGGTAGCCCGACATACTCGAAACAACAAAGTTGAGAAACTGACTCATGGAAAATCCTCACGACCGCGCGTTCTTCTTGTCGGCTTATTATCGGTATTACTCATCCTACACCGATACAATTGTCTTTCTTATTGCTATCGTTATCGTCCCTGGTCGACGATAAATCGGACAGTGCGTTCAAACGATAACTGCCGAGGGGATCGCGTGTTCCGCGGCGGAACAAACATATGTAGTTACGTACGTGTCCCGCGGAACGAGAAAATCGCAACGAACCGTGATAAAAAAATTCGTTGTTTTTCCATCCGATAAAGATAATTCTCGCGATGATACCGGAGACACCCCGCAGAAACAAATCGCGAGTAAACAGTGTACACGATACATCGTTATCGTGCTCGATTTGAATAGGTTTATTGATTTCTGTATCTCGGAGGAGCGCAAGTTCAAAAATGTTTTTTTAAAGATAAAGTTAAACATCGTTATTTTTTCTTCTTATAATTGTACTGTTTTTTATATTCCCGTCGAATAAAATGTTGCAAACGAATCACGTTTTATACGTTTTATACGGTTGTACCGAACACACGTGTGTTGTTCCGTAACACGAGCTTAGAAGGGATACACGGCGCGCTCGAGGAGTCAGCGATCTGTAGACCTTGCATAGAAAGTGTGACCGACTCTTTCGTTCGATAAAACCAGTTGTTGCATGCCCCTTTCAAGCACTGCTGAAAGCATGTGCAAACCACGGAAAGAATCCTGATTTTCGAGCTAACGACGATCCTCTGTACCTATGCGTACCATAAGGTTGGAGGAAATGTTGAAAGAGAATCCGTGTGAAACGATACGAAGGGCGTCCTTGCTAATGTGTGTTGGTCAACGATCGATGGTCAACAAGAAGCGACGGTATTCGCGCGAACTTATCGACCACTACTTTCACAATAACAATAGTAGCGTTATTCCGCAGAAATGGGGATATTTAAACATTGTTGACTTTACAGCTCTTTAAGTAAAGAGGAAAAATATGTCTAGAAAATTCTTTTTACGTAAGAAAGCTGTTTAAGGTCACCCGGTCACAATACGGTTTTGACTATTAAAAAAAGAAATATGTATTTGTTGAATAGAGCGTTTGTTCGTGTGTATAGTGGGAGAGGGGCATTGAATCTGTCACGAGGTCACGGCGCATATATGGCGCTAGGCTTCTGATTGGCGGAACGACACTAGAAACACATTTTACCAAATAGGAGTCCCCCAATGTCCATTCCACCGATCGATTTTAAATTATTTTAAATAATATTAATTAAATATAATATAAATATTTTATTTAAAAATAATAATAAATAATAAATTAATATAAATATAATTTAAATAAAATTTATTAATATAAATCTATTATTTATATAAAAATTATTCAATTAATTTTTTATTTTAAACTAAAAACATTTTCCAATACTTTTACTTTGTTACGACTTATTTCAATTTTTAAATGAAAGTGACGGGCAATTTGTACATTAAATTTTTAATTTTCAATAATTTTAATTTAAAATTATTTACTATTAAATCCTTTCAACGCCCTCGAGTGTACACACAATTTTTTATGTATATGCACACCGTTACGATGACACGTTTAGTTTTTCTTTGCAATTGACGAATGGTTTTAGAAATCGATTATGCAAACTGACCTTATTACAGCTGTAATTTATATAGACACCCTTGAGTTCGTCTTCGGTTGAGAGTTCCGTGTTGGGGCTGTTTGGTGGACTCTTCGGGCTGCAATAGAACATGTAAAGAAATTTTATACGATTCCTTAAGGATTCTATTTTATCGAAGAACGAACTCTACAACGCCTTGTCTGTAGTCGTTTGCAAGAATATACGTAATTACGCGATTTTCCGGGTATATCAAATTATCTTTCTCACAGCTTAGTCAGCTGAAATCACACCTCCTACTAGTTTCCGTTTACTATGTTTATCGATGACTTCGTGAATTTCGTTTTTACGCAAACGACTCGGTATCGAATGACCTATCATCGTACGATAGTTTCTTTTTTTAAATACTTTGCACGAGGCGATAAAAATAAGAGAAAACTGTCATCCACCGGATGAGATCATCGACCATCTGCGGCTAAATCGTGAGGCGAAGGTTGCGGGGAACCGAAACGCGCAAGGTGCGCCAGAACAAGGAAATAAACACGAAATACTTGTCGAGAGAGTTCGTTTGCTCCTCTTTTATCATGAAAAATCAATCAGTTTTCGAAGATGCAGCATGGATAATGGTTCGTTATTATCTCGTGACCTCGACGTCTCGTTAAGCTGACTGCGCGCGCAACCTTGGAAAAGCGTTATCGCGAAACGCATTTGAAAAACCCAGGGAAAGAACTGCGCCGTAAATTGCAACGTTTTAGCGTCCCGTCGAATCGAATGTTTTGTTTAGAATGCACGAACGCTATTTCTCGAGAGCAGAGTTTCCACAACTAGGTTTTGGAAGAAGTCATTTGTGAAGGCAGATCGCAGATACGGTGGGTTTTGTTTTGGCTTCTCGTCTTTCTTTTATTCGATGGTCCTTGAAACATGCCGGCACCTACGTGCACAAAGAAGCCCAGAAAAACATTCTTCCCTCGTCTGCTACGAAGAACTCCTCGACATCGTCTGACTCATGCTACTTGTTCCTTTTTTCTCCACTTGGGGACACTATCCTCACTCGTACACGCGAACAGAAACCAAACCATCCCCGGGGTTTAAAACTCACAATTATTATAGTGATTCAAATTTCAATCCTATTTTGAATCATTCGAAAAATTTTAATGGGAGATTCTAGAGGCCAAAATAAGACGAAAATCAAGGATACTAATTTGTTGATTGAGGCTTCGTTAAAAAGATATAGAAACATTTCCGGTCACACGGTATATTTTCGGTAAAGAATTTTTTTCTCGAAAATACGGAGGATTTCGGGGGTGTGTCTATTCACCAAAAATGATTGCAATTGACCCCTGCAACCGAAAATAATTTTTTTAGAATGATTTGAAATTTTTTAATTTACCCGAAAAATTTAGGCACCTGCTCGAATTTTTTTCTCGAAAATGCGAAGGATTTCGGAGGTATGTGTAATGACCAAAAATGATTGTAATCGACGTCTGCAACGGAAGATAATTTTTTTAGAACGATTTGAAAAATTTTTTTTCGCCGAAAAATTTCAGTACCTACCCAAATTTTTTTCTCGAAAATGGGTAAGATTTCGGGGGTATGTCTATTCACCAAAAATGATTGCAATTGACCCCCGCAACCGAAAATAATTTTTCCATGAATGATTTGAAATTTTGTAATTTAATTTTTTAATAACTTTTTAAAGAATCCTCAATCAACAAATTTATATTCTTGATTATCGTCTTTTGACCTCTGGACACCCTGTATATCGGGGCTTTCGTGCCCCAAGCGACGCTGGTGGACAATCAAATATTAATACTTTGCTGAGTCCTCCGGTGGAACCATACATAGTTTTTAAATGACTATGTCGTTGGTTTTCTTTGCATGCACTCTTGCGTGACTCGGTGCATGCCGTTTTCGTTATTTCGTTCCTAAATTTAGGGTTGTCCGCTAACGTCCACGGTCGGACATTTTACTGGAAAATGTCTTTACCTGTCTCTCGGTGTATCCCGGCGGGAAGACTGTGTGGAATCCCTTTGTGCTTCTCTCAGAAGTCGCAAATACTCCTCTCCGCCGCTACCGAACGGTAGTGGCGTTACCCTGTCGGGTACAGGATTCAGTTCCACCCATGACTCTGCAAATATAAATAAAATAAGAACGTTATTCTCAAACAACGTAGATAGAGAAAACTATTAGCCTAGAAAAGTTTTAAATATACAACGACGTCTGATAACACCGAAGACCACGGTAGTATTAATTTTCTATTGCGCGCGAGGACGAGCGTACGCATGCGCGGTAGATAGTTTCGAGCGAGGCGTGAAACGCGTGTCGCGTGTCGAGTGCATTCGTTGCAATGACCCTTTGAACACAGTGACCCAATCGACGTTTCAACACTTCGCTAAATTTGAGAATATACGACTGATTAGAAAAGGAAATATTTATGTCGATGTACGTATTACAGCAACGCGTAGTAGAATCCGGAAGTTCTCGCGCGAAAAATCAACACGCGTGGACGTCTGTGAAGGTTCGCGTTCGCGAAAACGTAAAACGTAAATCGTAAAACACGATCGCGCGAGAGACCATTATCGTGCAATCTTCGACTCGATTATCAGAGAAGTTCATGGACAAGGTCCGTTAGCTCTGACGTAGCAATTATATAGTGTATTGCGTCAGAAAATATCGCGATTATACGATTGACCTGGTAGAGTTCGATACTACGGAGAAATCTATCCTGGTTCGTTGGTGGGAAAACCGCCGTAGGACTTTTAATTAATCATTCGCGAAATCGCCGCGCTGGAAGCGTGGCTCTCGCGAGACGGCCCCCCATTGTTTGCAAATCCGGAATCGGTGCTCTTCCGCGATTAAATATTACACGCGTGAAATCGCCTATTCGATCGCGAAAGAATCGCGGAATATTCTTTGTAAAACGCGAACTATATGTCGATCATCGAACATTTCATTTTAAATTTATAGTGCACCGCGGAAACTACGATTCATAATTTTCTGTTTCGTGATGTTCCGATCGAACGTTACAAATTTATCGAGTTACGAAACTCTTTCGACTCAACGTAACATTATCATTCGTGGTCAAAGAACTTCCAGCTTTCACAGAAGTGAAATCTTACGTTCAATTATTTCACGGAACTATAGATCCAGCACTACGTACGTAATCAACGTAAAAAAGAATGATCCCTATTTGTAAAAACGTATCTTCGATTCGTCACTTTGTTGTTATGTTTGTAACGAAGGTGCGTTAAAGTTCTACACATTGTTGCAGTTTCTTATGCACCAATTAACAACATCGCAAAAACGCCTGCTCTTAGGTAATACTCGCGTCGCAATAGTTGCCGGCGATAGCAAAACACGTCCGCACGTTTATCGGGAGAATTAAATGATTTTTACCGCAAATCGATTTTGCAAAAAACGTGACACAAAGGATTACCTGTCACAGGCCTAATTGTCGGCGTACTCGACGATTTGCAAAGTCGCGACGTACGTGACTGTTGACACATACGTATTTTCTCGTTGCTTCGTATGTACACAGATGTTACGTCATTAAGGACGAATTCTTATACATACACGTGTTAAGGGAATGAATTTTTATCGATTTACGACGACAGAGTTTGTATAGAATTTTCCATCGTGTATGTACATACGTCCACAACGGTAAAAGTATCTTGTTTGTTACGCGCAGATAACGTCTAGAAAAGATTGGCACTGACCATAGCCAACGTTGCTTCGCCTTGAAGTTTGAAAATGAAACGTGCCTTTTTCCACGACTGCCACTCGATAAGACTTGACTACAAAATACGCATTGAATTGGTTATTTTTAGACACGCGTTGAACCTGATCCTATCGCCAACCATCTTCCGGCAAAACCTTAAACTTTAGTGACTATATTCGTTGGTTCACTTTTTCTCAGCGTGGTGTCACAATTTGCCATGCAAATCGTCGCTTATCTCACATTTTTACGAACACAGGAATTAAGCAATTACCGCTGGATGACATAATTTGCTACTTCGTCTTTATTAATGTCGTGTCTGGCGATCGAATCGTGATTAACTGTGACACGCACAGCATGCGTTTAATCGCTAAGGTGATAATGACTTATGGGACGTCGAAATTGTTCTGCGAACTAATAGACGATCGTTTCTCTTTCGCATTTTGTTCTCCAACATCGCAAAATTTTAATTTGTAAGCAAGAATCACGACTAATCGTTTGGCGCAGAATTTGGTGAAATGAAATTGCTTTGTTGAAAGTGAAATGGCGTCGAAAACGAATTCCGAGAACAGCCTCGACCTGAGCAAAATAGTAAACTGTCATTACGTAATTTCCTATGATAACGTTAAGATAAACATGAAAAGGTTGCGTCAACTGGTGATATTGTCGTGTATTATCAGACACCAAATTCGAACAAGACACGCCGATACACGGTTTAAAAAATATGCTAACTGAACTATCAGACAATAAGGTCAGGTTAGTTTTAACCATTCTTTGACAATGATAACCTTTCAAAATTTTCAAGAGAGTTATTCCAACTTAATCGAAATAAAGAAGCACATGTGCTACAAGGTCGCATATCTTAACTTGGCGAATGCACCGCGTACATGTTCGTTATTGTACGAAAACAACAACCTACGCGGCTGACACTCTTTGATATTTACCTGCATAAGACTGTTTGCGTCTTGGGCAAACACGTTTAATTACAACGAATATTGATAGCGTATGCACACCAAACCGTGCAGGAGATGCGTCGTCTTTTAATCGAAAATATCTAGTACAAACTATCTAACTGTGTTTTCAGTAATTCACTTGGAACGCAAACTACGCAAATGTAAAATCACGATCCTTGCCAATTGTCCACTTTTTAGCTGGCAACACTTACTCGTCGCTATAGTTGAAAAGCCGGTTAACAACTGATCCGTGTAAACTTGCAAAATTCTGAAAAATTAACGAACGAAAAAATGTTTGTATATTTAAAGCTTATATCTATTGAACATTTACCATAAGTGTACGAACGACTGTACGCGTTACTTTCGACTTATCAATTATCTGGTTCGAGTAGGTGGTCCTCTAATTACTTTCAGTGGCGTATAATTCTCTGAATCATCATCATGAAACGTTTAAAGCTGCAAGAATGCTTTAATGCGCGCGGCTATGCATACGACCCAAACCGATGAAACTTTTCTGTCGACGCAGCCTCTAGAAAATTTTAATCGTTTCGCATAAACATCTCCCTACGGCTCGGAGGAACAAGATGATGTTTAACGAGGATTAGTAACGAGCTTAGAGCGAGATGAATTCAAACAGTCGGCCCCCATTTCACAATTTAAAAATACACTTTTTCATAACAAATAAATCCTTTTGTTTTCGAAATCAAATGTTTCTTTCATTTGAGAAATCTTCCTAAAAAAGATGCTCGTAATTAATCAACAATTTATTATTACCAAAAGAACAAAGAAATTTTAATCTTGTAAGATTTTACTTGAACTTTACTTGCCTGCGTTAGGTATTTAAATTATAATCCACTTTATCCGTTTTATTCGCATGTTCGATAAGTTTTATAGCAATTGGACCGGACTCCTACTCCTGAATCCCCGTTGCGATTCACAAAGTAAAATTTTTATTCCGTTCCATCGAACGAACGCTAGAACTGAAAAACAAAGAGCGTTCCGTAGCGTCCACACGATGCGTTAAGATTGATTGACAACGTTCTACGCGAAATGCAGCCGATGGAGGGGCTCTGCTCCATTGACGCAGACGAGATGAATGCACGACAAATGACCAGGAAATGTCACGTGCCGCGAAATCACAGCAGGTTAGGTGGCCTTAATAAATTGAATTAGGTTCGCCAACAGGCGTTACGGTTAAAAATAGACTCGAACATTGTCCCCCTTTTCATCAGTCCGCTGTTTCGATCAAACGTCGGGAGGGCGTGTAGGGCGACGATACAATTTCTTAAAGGAAGTTTCTCATTTCGGAAGTTTCTCGTCCCAAAAAAGGAATTTTTTTTCCCCCATCGTACGCAACAACGACCTATCCTGTTCCGTTCATTGTAATCTAAATGTGTACCACGGTTATTTTACCTACAGCTCCAATTACTATTGTAACTCGATTCCCCTCCTCTACAATCTTCTCCTTGCTAACCTTAACTCCTTCAAGCGCGCACCCTATCGCTTTCATCGCTGAGCATTATCAATGACAGGGTATTCCGCCCGTTGATTCTGTTTTCTTTCTGTAGCTCCTGTTTCTGAACTTTATTGTATTTATTTTATTCTTTATTCTATACTTTGTACTACTTTCTTTTACCAATGTTTTCAAGGTTAAGTAAATAACAGCATATAGTTGCACATCGCGTGTCTACTTATGTTTACAATTCACCGTTGAATTTATAACTCCTACAAGTGACCGGAGCTACCTCTTCGTGCGCGTTGTTTTGTTTCCTAACGGTGCAGGTGTAACTTTTAGGTTACATTCGCCGAGCAAAGGGCCGGGAGGACAATATTTATGAGTCAGGTCACGTCCAAACAGGCTACCCCTGCGTCGGGCTAGCATCGAATCAGCTTTCTCGATATAATAGCGTCCATGGGATGACGTCACTATTCGACACTCCTGAGGACGGTCACGTAAGCAATATTACGGCTGCGCAGCAGGCCCGGAAAGAGAACATTCTTCAGGAAACGATAAACTTTTTCTGTATCGAGCGTCCAGGCTAATTCAACTTCTTAAATTAAAATTAAACCGGGTCCGATGTGCTGGGATCTATTAATTCCCAAAAGAATTTTATTTTTCGACAGGAATTTGTTCTTGCATTTATTATCTCGTGCAATTTAGTTGTCCTTGTTGACATTACTTGGTTGTTTTAAACACGTAGCAATACGTTGAAAAAAACATTGTATCGTGATAATAACCCGATAACGTCACGGCGTTGCTTCTCCGATAATAATAAAATTGCGACTTTCCTACGATTTTGTCAAAACAATCACGAAAACAGCGAAACATCGTAAATAAACAACAAACTTGAGAACTAAATTTAACACCGCGGAGATGTCCCTGAACTTGGCAGACTACCACGTTTGTTAAGGCCCGTTTAAGTATAACAATTAAATAAATTCGTAGAGCACTGACCTAATTATCCAACGTGCAATTTAACGTCTATGAAAGTAACCTTTAGAATGTGTTCTCTTCGTTGTAATTTTTACGTTCGATAAATTGTAGAAAATGCTTTGTCTTGTGTACAGTTTTTGCAATGAAATGATAAATATTAACGACATCCGTATAGTAATTTACAGACAATGTTGTTTTATAATACGCGAGTACATAAATGATACGATTACTGGAAACAATCGTTTGTATAATGATATTTATAGACCAAAATGAACCGCAGTGATATGAATATTATCATCGCACGAACGATACCGAGATTTAAATGTCGACTGGATGGATTGAATATCCAGCAATTCGTCCCGCTTAGGTTAAGTTTCACCCATCGAAAAGAACCATAAATAAAAATTAGTTTCCCCTGACGTTCAGTCATTCCCCTTCATGGCAACCGCACTTTAAAGTAAGCACAATCTACCGACCGTCACAAAGCGATTATTTTTTATGGTAGGAAGACTAAAACGAAATGTATCCGTCGAAGGTCAGGCCTAGGCACTGTGTACGTAAATATTTCTTTCCATTCTACGTAAAAGACTGAAACGTGTTGTTTTAATTTGTCCTTTCTGACACGGAACCAACTATTTTTTATTTATAAATTTTATATATAATAGTTTATATATAATATGCAAAAGCCTATAACAAACGTACGAATAATATGTAACTCATTATTAACGTATTTCCGCTAAATTTGTCAAATGTCGGTGGACAGTCAATTTTTATAAAACAATCAACCTGAACAAATGATGACCGACAAAGTTTCAAACGAACGAACTCATCTATTTTAGTATATACAACGCCGATGAGTATTAGGTTAGAAACAAGCAATAATCGCGCCAAAATCTTTGTAATTAAACACGACTAATATTACGGCAACTTTGTACACTTATTAATTCGAGAACAAAACGAATATCATTACGAAATACTTTGAGAGTAGTATGCTTTACAAATGAATACGTCTACGACGCGAAAGGAAGCAAGATCGTGTTTGTTTATGCGTTAGCTACAGTCACGCGAAATGGCCGCGATATTAAACTGACAGCTGCTCGCATCTTTCTATAATACAACGGTCTACTCACCGCCTAGACTCTCATCCGAAGTAAATTTCACGGTGGACGACATCACACTGGCCAAAGGCACTCGCTCCACTATTAACTTAGTACGACACTCTGAAACAGTTAACTAACACTTTTTTTCGTAAACTCCGTTAGTGCAGAGACGATGCACCCGCAACGAATTACCGTGATAAAATGCTTGTTCGGTCGCGCGACCGTGCTTTGTTTTGATGAAACGTCACACACGCACGTCAGCCAATCACATACTACACGCTCGAAGCGTGACGCTTCGGGTTAATATACCGCTCGAGTCAAACGAGGAATAGCCTCGGTAGCCATAATGGTTCTTCCCACTGCACGACTCAACACACATTCTTATGCTTTATTTGCTAGAAAACTGCGAAGGAAATAATCGTGAAATAAATAATAAATTAACATAAAATTTCATATAACAGACCCGTATTAAAATATATCTTAAAATTGTATCGAATTATAAATATCTTGCACTCAGATGTATGTTTTGTTTCAAAAACGATACAGTTTGGGAAAAGTAGATATGTTCGAGATATATTGAAACGAAGAAGTGTTTACTATTTTTTTTATTGTCTTTCATGAATGTCATTTTATCTGTTATTGTTTTTCTACCTATTTTAAATATACGTATGCATATACGCATTACTTATTTCCTCATACATATGAGTGTATGTTCGCATCGTTTTTTTTAACAACATATCTTAACTTCATACTTACTGACGTGTCTCGATGTTCATAGTTTATTTATTATAAAAAAATTTACTGTACAAATCATTGTTGCTGGTAAATTGTATAATCATTTAGACATTTTATAAGAATATTTGCTCTATGCCGTAGTACATCGTGTTGCTTGACATTTTGTTCGCAACGTAATGAAATATACTTGTATTTGAACGTTCATCTATTAATCGTTCGCGTACTCGAAAATTACTTTAAAAATACTTGAAAACACAGAGTTTTACTACTTACTTATTATTTAATAATTGCAATGTTCAGATCAAAATCAATATCTATCAACTTTTGGAGCACGGAGTGCATTGCTCTTTTTGTACATGGTGGCAGCACCGTCCCAGCATTACTTCAAGGGTTAATTTGTGTTGCACGACACGTATTTCACCCATGAACTGCGTAAATCGTGTTTTCTATCGCAAATCGTCCAGAGACGCACCGTTAAAAGGTATGTTTACACTTCGCGTTTAGTAGAGGATTATCATCGACGGTAATAACAATAGATGCGCGACGTAATTATGAATAAAGATTAATAAATATTGCTTTGTCGTTACTACAAAGTAGACAGTTAAAAATGGTTGCCCTGTAACAGATCTGTCAAGCGATATTTTCTCGTATCCGTTTGCTACGATGCGATAAATACTACGATTCAAAATTTTCAGTCGGTCTCGCATTCGATGATAAATTAATGGTAAACGCTGGAATCGATCCGTTTTTACAACGGAAAATGTAATTTCACGGTCGATGCTACCATATGTGTAAACGAAGCAATTGCATATTTAAACGTTTCGTTTGTGAGCCTCGCAGACGCAAAAAGAGTTCAAGGTTGCATTTTCTTAAACACTTTTTTCCTTTCTAACTTTAAATCGCAATATATTTTATCGAGTCATCGAATCGCTGTTTTGTTGATCGAATACGCATTTTAATTTTACGAACGATATAGACTGTTCAATTCATAGTCAGTATTTTTCGTCATCTGTAAACTGCTTTTTAATACCATTATCCAAAATTAACATGTAACAAAATACGTTGTATTTCTTTGTATAAAATAAAATATCCAAGCACATAGAAAATTTATTGTAAATTAAAGAATGAACAATTTTTTTTTATAGATACTAACTCGCTGTACTGCTAAATACTTTGTTGGAATGAAAATGAAGATTCCAAACAGTGGCTCTGGAAATGAGTACGGACATGAAACAGACATTATCTCTTATATGGACAATAGCTTTGAATCTGAAATCGATGTGCAAAGAACAGAGGATAGTGATTTTTCTGAGTATTTATGGATGGAAAATGAAGAAGAATTTGATAAAGAGGTTCAGTAACGGCTATTTTCCTGATTTACTAACACAATTGGAGCGGAGTAATTTTTTCTTATGGAATACTATTTATAAAACAACAGTATTGTAAAAACATTATAGGTGATACAGCAGTTAATGGAGGAAGAATTGACAGAGGAATGTTTAAAGGCAATGTGGGAAGACGAAAGGCAGCACGAAAGAAATACAAATTCTGTTGCTTGGTCTACTGCTACAAGCATGCCGGAAAATGGTGCTGAACTTTCTCAACAACTTAGTAACTTAAAAATGCACAATGACCTTGCTAAACAGGTACAATCCGAATAATGCGCATTTACATTACGCCGTAGAGTATATGGTTAATCTTATTAAGGCAACATAAATTTTCAGAGTACATTAAATCCAAATGCAGCTGAATTTGTACCAGCATTTAAGTCAGCGGTAACGTCTGTAAGTACACCGCCAGAAGTTACTGCCGAATCATCATAGAAGCCATACATTCCTTTCTTTAAAGTTAATAAAAATGGGCTATGTTGTATGGCTAATATTTACCACCCTCGATAACACAGTTGTATTAACTGAATCATATTAAGAGTTAAATGACTGTGACTAAACGTACAAAGATATAACGAACGTCAAAGTGGATAATATGTAATGCTGTTATAAGATATTCAAGATTAATGAAATCAGTTGCATAACCATAAATTGAAAAAAAAAAATGCTATTCAAATTTTTATAGGCAGAAGATATTGCATATTATAAACATTTAATTTTACATATATATATTTTTTGTCAATATAATCGATAATGATATACACATAAATCACTTGTTACAGAAATTTGCAATCTATATTTCTTGTTTAATCGGGGACAATTATTTTCAAAATTAGATGTTTTTTTGCTACTTTTATCTCGTGTAAGTTGTTACAAATTGAGGCAGCGTATAAATGAAAGTCGTGTACTGATAGAGTTTGGAATCTTTAGTTAATTCTGATACATCACACTCACTTTTCCATTAATTGTGTTGTACATATGTACACCTGACGATTAATTATTGCATCCAAGATGAGCATATCTTTTTTTTTAATTCTTTCAGAATGCTTCTTTTATTAAGATCTGAAAGGTTTTATAATGTAGTATGCGTTTCTAGATGAAACGCTTCTATAAGAGTTCCTTTTATAACACTTATTTTATACTGGTATACATCTTCTGTAGTGTTACTGACAAACTAAGAACAATATACTGAGGTCGTTTAGACTGATGTAAATGAAATGTTGCATTGAAAAATGTACCGCGTCCAATGCATATTTTGTTGCTAAAACATACTTAATATATTTCAATCGTGTGGTAAAACTTTTAACAATGATTTTTTATTATCAGTTTACTCCGTTTAAAATGGGAAAACCTATGTCATAATTCTGGTCCTCTGTCAGCATACATCTGAAAGACTTAAAGATCTCAAATGAAAGTCTTACACAGGCTGTGAAGGACTGTTTCTATGGCTCTCTTTAGTAACGTTCAGAGTAGTCATATTGCTTATTTACTTTAATTAAATAATAAAATTTCTATAAAACAGTACTTCAAAACTAATTAGAATATGTACATGAGATGTAATATTTAAATACTATAAGTGGTGAATATATCTCGAGTTTGACAATTCAAAATTGAATATAAAAATAATCTAATCATCTAAACAATATTTAAGAACGAAGTGGCAATGGAAACCTGTGTAATATAAAATTGTAGCCTAATAACGATTTAAACACAATATTCACCACTTGTATTATATGTACTATTTGGAAACACATACTTATGTACAAATTTAATTAACATTTTTTGCATTGTGATAGACATACATACTGTCAGGATTTTGTAAGATTACATGTGGTAAATCTGTATTATTTTAGTCACAACATACTTTAGTATGAATGCAGGAACTGTGATTATAAAGCAAATTAAATAGATTTATGAAATATATTACTCACAGTTAGGGCACCTTATTAATTTCATAACGCTTCGTGTTATCTTGCTTTTGAATTTCTTTTCATATATCTCTTACCATTTGTGATTCCATGCAACAATGGAAAAAAGAAAAAGAAAAAGGAAAAAAAAAAAAAAAGAATTGTATATGTAGCTTGTAACGAAATATGTTACAGATATTTATAGATTTATTTAAGAACGATTCAAATTCAATAGTGCATCGGTTATGTGAAACAACTAACAATAAATTTAAGCAATTTTTCTCAATTTTCAAATTCAACTTAGTATGGAGAGACTGTTTTCTAGATTTAAAACTCTTGTTAATCAGGATCTGGTGTAAATTTAATTTGTTATATAATATTGATAGAGTGACATAATATACTAATCGAAAACAGCTATTTTAGTTTGTATGCTTTTATTCTTTGCAATAAAATCATAAAAAAAAAAAAAGTCCAAATACCGAGCATATACTAATAGTTATATTAACATGTATCTTGTAGTCATTGAATCGGTGTCAATTCAAATGGCATGCAATATTTAAATCATATTATTAATATTTTTAAAGCATGTCATGTATTACAGCGAAAGCTGTTTTTATAGTAGTAGAAGAAAATAGTGATTTGTTTAGTTACAATGTAACTAGTACATAATGCTTTGTTGCATAATATTTTTCAGTTCCCATATACTCGAATTTTCTCAAACTTTTAAATATCTGAAAAATAAGTATCAATTTTTTTTTTTTATGAGTTATTTTAATGGTACCTGTATTTATTTAGTATGTAATAATATTAATAATGACAAGATAATATTTAGGTTTTAAAAATTAAGCAACTGCAATTGTCTCGTATATTATGTATAATAAAAAAAAAAAACAATACTATGAGAATTATATGAAAAAAATTTGTTAATTGTAGCGATAAAAAATAATTTATAATATTCAGATCAACAAGCGTAAAATATTACGTTCTACTTTTACTAGATCGTTTGTGCGATTTTGCGGTACATATACTTTTTTCGACTTTGCGTTGAAAGATAAAAAAGTACAAAATTTAAAATGCAAAAAAAAAAAAGAAAAGGAATGTAATCCGAACAGTGAATAATCTTTTTTAAGTAATCATGAAATTTGTCTTTTGTAATTACCATTTGCAAGAGCTATGCGTAATGAATTAGAAATAATTATATTTTATAAGCGAGTTTGAATTACTATATCATACACCATTGCCATTAAATATTTGCATTTGCGATTTTCCCGTATCGTATCATTATTTCTGTATCATTTAGTATGTAAATGAAATATATAAAATACAAGTCTGTGTATTGTATTTGAATTTTTTAATATGTCCTGCCCTCTTAATCCATAGTACTAAGAATTAGAACTTTCAAAGTTACATATGATTTAATTATGCATATAGTAATTAAAAAACGATAATGGTAAAAAAGAGAATTTGTTAAAAGCATCACCTTATATTTGGCAGCATATCAGTAACTACAATTTAATTTTACAATTACTTCTATATAAATTAGTATTTGTCGTACAACAGTAAAAAATTGATACCAATGCATATTATATATCGACGATCTACAAAATGTGAAACTTTATTATTTCTCACTTCCTGCAAACAAATTAATGTACTCTATCAACCGACACCTATTACAACAGCTACATAATACAAATAAAACATACTATTTTATAGTCATACATTACTAAATAAATTTCTAAATAAATTTTATAAAATATCGAAATGTATATAAATACACTTTTGGCATTATAGGAATTTGTTTTGGAAAATGTAATATTCATTAGAGCAAATACTCGTAGTTGCATTAAACGCAAATTCATTTGAATATCAATTACGCACAATTATAAATAACGTAGTATTTTACTCGATCGTATAAAGTATGAAATTGGTATCAGTTTTTTTACAATTATTTCTTACTGATTATACGTATTATAAAATCATTGTAAACAAGATTTCTCCGAAAATGTGTAATTATATTTACTTATATACAATTATTAAATACTTCGATCTGCAGTCTCTTTATTCCAATGCAATACTGTATTATGCCTTATTGCTTTCCTGTAAGTCTTGATAATGAAAATCAATAGAATTTGTTTGGTTGCCAAAATTGTGTCCTTTACCAAATCATAAACACAATGGATGACATTAAAATTTTATATAAAGTAGTCTCTCAATTATCCGACCTAATAAAGATTAGGGTTAGTCGCATAATCGAGAGTGTTGGAAAATCTAATTAGGGCAACAAGTAGGCAGTAGTATAGCTGGGGAAGGGGGGCCCCCGAGCAGTAGTTTTGGTCTACTAAAAAGAAAAAAGATTTATTTTTGTCTTTGTTAACAGCTTCATGAATTTCAAGAGAAATATGCCTTTTTAACCACGTCGAATATTTTCGATGGCAACATGATTGTATGAGCGTCGAGTAGATCATTTATACGAAATAAATGTATACAGCCAAAGTATGGGTAAAAACTTGTATAAGAAATAATGTACTTTTTATATGAACATATTTATACAAATGGGTTTAAATAGACTTTTATAGTTTTCAATTTAAATCGTCAATGTAATTATTAGTTTGGAAGAATATTGACGTTATTAACTTTAGCAGACTTTATGTAAAAGCATAACAAAAATATGCAGCGATATTATTGTCAAACAATACGTTACAATAAAAAAAACTGATATTAATATAACGTATTAGCAAAAGTTCAAGGCCTAAGATTACGTTAAAATTACTTCGATCGACCTGACGACCCGACGCGTGCAAAAATCAACAAACATTTCAAAAGTACACGTTTTTATGTTATCAATCGGAGACATTTTTTTCTGGATATGTATAAGAAAGTGTGTTGACTGTAAAATTATTAAATGCAATGATTAAATATTGAATGCAAAACGGGACAAACTAAGAATACACTTCCATCCAATTTTAGTCAAAATATCCTCGCCACTTCTTCAGCTCGAGCATATGCGAGGCAATTATACAGATTCTTCCGCTGAAAGCAACCAACATCGCGGCGACAGCCTTTGATGTCGCCATAATGTTTCGTTAGGCAGGTCGTAGCTTCTGGAACATTGTAGCGACATCAAAGACCGATCAAGGGATATTGTCGTGGGAGTCGGCTGCTTTAAGGGCTTCCAGCAGTAGAATCACCTTGTGGAAACAGAACCCAACTGGTCAAACTTCAAAGCGATGCCTCAGATTCGAACTAAAAAGTTTTACATTTTTTACGGTACCATTATAAGCGTACCTTGTTAGAGCGGAAATGAAAGATCTTTCGTCCCAATTTCATTTTAATTATGCGTGCAGTATTCTAACAATCTTGTATAATAATAATACAACGTAAAAAATATAAGGCCTTTGATAAGCTGTTGCGCACGTATATGTACGTATACATGCACCACTCATCGTTCGATATTCTCTTCATAAAGTTCCATAATAAATTTCCGTGTATAATTAAACATTGATATCTGCATATTAAATATACACATAAAAATGAGAGAAAATTGGCATTCCTTAAATACTTAACTGTTAGTGTAGATTTTGTTATATAATTAAGTATTGTGGTCACACTTCTTGCACTGTAGATACTGTTTGCAAAAAATATATTCGATTACCGATATTCACGATTAATAAAAAATTGTAAATTTCATTTAAGTAAAGTATAATTTACTTAAATAATATACGTATGGTACCTCTTAACGATTAAAATGTTATAATCAACATGCGTTATCAAATGATACATCTTTAAAATGTAGATCGTTCTTATATTCTATGAAATATAATCGACATTTAGTCACTTATTTGTATATAATTGAAATCTAAATTTTACATATACCCTAGAAAAAGAAGTCATTCTTTGATATCTAATTAAATGTCGTCCGAAAATTGATACGATCGTACGGTGTCTTTTTTTTGCTTTTCGAACATCTATAAATCAATAATTACAAAGTATATGAACATTTCTCTCACGCAAGATATTTTATTTTCAAATGATGTTATTATAAACATTTCCCCTTTCTTTTTATCACAATCGTAAACACGAAATTAATCTTTGCATGTTAATATTTAAATCGTTCTGTTGTTATGTTAGCAACAATTATTATAAATATCAGTACACTATAATATGACTCTACACAGATGATATTGAAAATATGCAGCAATCGATACAAAACACTTATTTTCGTTCTTTTTAAAGATATAGTTTTGCAGAAAGAGCGATTATTACGTTCTATATTTCACGGTAGACACTGAATTAGTAGTGAATACAGATAGTATTTGAATATTGTATATGATAGAAAATAAAACATCTTGCTCGTTTGACTTTCCAAAGGTGATGCTGTATACTAGGTTTCATTTTCATTAAATTACTTACACATAAAAGTTTAAACACTTTCTGTAGGACTCTGAAATTCGGATAGTGCATGTATTGGATTCTGCACTTTTTTCTGGGAGCCCTTGCGTACTTTTGCCCTAACTTCTTCTGGTCTCTCAGGGCGTACCAATGGCTTCTTTTCCGGTGCTTTCATCTTCCACACAACGATTGGAGACTAATTAAACAAATGAAAACATCATAATGTTTCACAAGTAAAAAGTAGCAGAAGGTACAGCCAACAGCTACAGCACAATTATATAAATACTTACATACTGCACGATCCAGTAGTTTGTTAGTAAAACAGTTTTATCATTAATGTTAGTTACGTAATTACACATTAACACATACACTATATTAGATATTATATGCCCTAGACTACATGTTACGTATAAACTTGACGTAAATAATTAAAAAACATTAACAATACTTACAGTTACCGTAGATTGTCGAGTATACTTTGTTGACGCAACATACGAAGCTTTTACGGTAAGGACAACAGCGTTCATTAAGTTCTTAGCTGCCTGAATGAGAGAAGTTGCACTGTCAAGTCCAGACACTATCAACTCTCCGCTAATATTTTGTACATCCGCTTTAACTTTACTCGTAATATTCATTTGATGGCAGTACAATGCTATGCGTTGCAAATACGCCAGAAGATCTTTCTTGGTAGAACTTTCCGGGCATTGATCCGCAATTTGCCTAGTTAATTTATCTAACTTGGTTCCAGCTTCAGAAATTTTCTTCGCTGCGTTAATGACATCCATAGTTGTCTTCAAAGGTCCGCGACCTCTAGTGAAATCAGTCATTTCCATCATGATCATACACATATGCTTCGCAAGAACGATAATGTCATTTCCCGCATCGTCCCATTTGGCAACCTCTTTGTCGAATTTCAGTTTCTCGCTCTTAAAGTACTCCACTTGTTGTAAAATCTTTTGTTTATCCTCCTCCGGCATCTTACGCATGGCTTCGCGAGCTGTTGTGATACCACTGATCTCTGGATACTCGTCAACCCCATGCTCGCCCGTCTGAGCACTCGACTTGCTACGAGTTTCCAACGTGTAATGCTCGTCGAGCTCAACGTCTTCCGGGTCCAAGTCTTCGTCCGCCTAAAATAAATTTTGGAAAAAAGAAATGAAAACGGTGTAACAAACGGGAGTGCAAAGGCCTACGATTTCAAATCATCTTACTCTATTCATCAGTACAGCGCGTCTAATCTCACGAACTCCGTCGTAAACTAATCTCGAAGCATCTATAAAATCATTCTCATCCACATCTTTAGGAGGGTTACTACCCAAAGCATCTACCGCGACTTCTACTCTCTGTGCAAACTTCGGCATTACTTGTTCCCTTAAAACTTTCACAGCTTCTAAAACTCGCTTCGTATAGATACAAGGTTCATAATTATCCATTTCTGCTTGAACAACGTTACACACTCTGGCTGATCGTCCTCGGATTGCACCCGCGGTTCTGTCTAACGTGTCGGCATCGCCTTCTTGCAATGCCAGTACACATTTATTCACGTCTTCCAAGATATGATTCTCGGACACTGCTAAGAAATCGTCGATAGTGGTAATATCGTCGACAGCTTCCGTTAATACTCTAACTTGGTTCTCCCATGCTTGTCGAAATACTTCCATATTATCTAAGGCTACTTTGGATCGATTGCGAGCTGCCAGCACGCGTGCCGCGTTAATTACTTGCGGGCATAAGTTTCCAATTTGAGCCGCCGCGTAACGAACCATTTTTACGCCATCTTCGTTTCCTGACATACTGCACACCAAATTAGCAACCTGATTAAATGAATGCAACGTTATTAAATTGTGCCAATTATAGTAAATTGATCAAATAAATATTTAATAAATTCACCTCGACTAGCTTGTTTGCATGCTCTGTAAAAACAAGCGCGTACTCTTCAACTTCTTTGTCACGACCATTCCTCGCGGCCTCGATAAGAACCAACAAAGGTACGCTTGTTTCCAGAAAACTATCGGACACATGATCTACTACTGCTTTTCGTAATTGTCTGCGAAGATCGCGTGTTTTTCTGCACATATGATCGATTGCTCTTTCCAAACCTTCTGATTGTTCCTTCACTCCTATCTGTTAAAATTACAATATCTCAAATGAAATATAGGAATCGACGATATTATAAGTAATCGAATAAGATCTATACTATCTCTTAACTAATTGTATTAGAGTGCAAAATATTTGAAGTTTAATGATTATTAAAATGGTAAACAATTAACTAGGAAGGCCAATTTTATATTATTGTGCGAAAAATGCTTTACTTATTGAATTTACATGTTTAATATGTTTTAAAAATTAAAGTATTAATTGTAAACATAGCGTTTGTATTTGTTTAATGAGAGGAGAGTTTTAATTTGGATAATATTAAATTATTGAGAAAAAGCTATGTACACAGGCAAACGTAAACAAACAAGAAAGTGTAAAATCAAACAAATAGGACTTTCTGCACTACAAAATAACATCTTTACATTGGGAAGAAATAAATATGCGTGAAATTTATGATCGATTAAACTCAATTTAAACTACACATTTACTTTGATCGAAATAGTTTATCTATAGCTCTTCTAAGTTCAGCAAATTTACAATTACATTTGTGATATGCACTATTTATCTACACTATATACCTTTTCATTTCCATTAATCGGTAACTATATTACATATTGTGGAATAATATAATATGTACAGTAGTGCGAGTTAAAGAAAAATTATAAAATTTATAAACACTCGGTTATTACGAAATATTTGATTAGTGTTTGTTATAAGATAAAATATCGATAATATATATAAGGACTAGTACAGTGATCAGCAATTATAACATCTCGCTTGATTTGTAAATTGTATGCAAGAACGGTGCGAGAACACAAAGATTTCATATTTACCCTTTTCCCACCCCGAGCGAGCTGTAACTGCAGTCATTAAAATAAAAAAACAAATGAGTAGAATAAACATATGAAGGAATGCATAAATCAATCGATTACATTAAATGATAATATAATTATTTGTGTGTTTTAAATATATTTGTAAGAACTTATGTAACTGTAAAGTATATTGTATTTTGATATTCCGATCGCTATTGGTAGAGAGTGAAACAGAAATTAATATAAATTACAGAAAAATGAAAGTAATTAAATTTTCCTACGTCACAGATATTACTTGAATTTTTTCAGACATAAGTTTTACATTTTACTTCATTGTGCATGTAGATAGTTTTACACATATAAAGCAATTGTGTTTCGAATCACGAATAGAAGTTTGCCAAATACTTACATTGTTCATGTATTCGCTAAGCAAATCTTGAAGCGCTTGTCTAACTGCATTACATTCGGCAACAATGCGTTCCCGACGTTCATCTCGAGTACAAGAAGAATCTGCCATCAGCGCGGCGCCGCTAATAATGCTTTCCAGTCTTTCCTCCAGACTAGGTCTTGTACGTACTTCATTGTATGCAAGCGGGGACATTACCATTCTTTCGTCAAAATCGTCTAAAGCAGCGGCTAATTCACCAGGCCCTTCGTAAGGATGTTGACTATCGACTGGAGTTTTTCCTTGCGCAACGTCATTAATAGTATTCACAGCTTCGCAGACTTGTTTCAAAACGTAATCGCGATTCGCTTTTGCCGCGGCTAGCTCGGGATGACGAACATAAACTTTAGAAGCAGTAAGAAGCATAGTGGAGTGCTTTTTGAGAACGGCTCTCGCCGCTGCTAAATCATCTCTTAATTGGGGATCTTTCAATTCTTGTTGACGCTTTGCAGCTTGATTCATAAGTTCTGACGCATTTCTTCCAAATTGTTTGATGTTTTCTAATAATTCTCCTTGCGAGGATGCGTTCTTTAATTTCTGTAGATCGTCCTCCACTACGTGCAAGGACTTTAACAACAGATGCACATCGACCATGTCTGCCAAAATAAGTAAACGTGTCACCGCGGATAACAAATTTCTTGCAGCGCGAACCATGTTGCCTCTTTTCAAAGAGGAACAAGGATCTTCGGAGAACTCCCTGTTTAAATAATGATAATAATATAAGAATATATTAAGAACCCTTTTTACAACACAGAAGTACCAAAATGAAACAAACAATACCTAGCAGCGATGCTCATTGCGGCGCCTGTTTTCCTTACTTCTTCCACGGCACTTAACATTTCACCGGTAATGTCAGGATTTTCGTAAGCAATTTGTTCACCCTTTTCGATAAAATTATTAGCTGCTTTATCTACAGTTCCAACCAGAGCACTGGCTCTTTTAGATTTTCCTTTCTTCTTTTTACTAGGACCCTTTGTATTCACAAGCGTAGTTACTTGTAAAACCAAGGGTTCCAAGGTCTTTTCTACAGACATGGTACGAATCTCCAAATTCTTGGGATCCCATTTCAAAGTTATTGGTCCAAAATGATCTGACATCTTTATCGCTTTAAGTAAATCACTTCTAAAAATTAAAATAACGATGCGTGTAAGTTATCGCATAAAACATACAAACGTATTAAATATCAATGAAATTACCTGTGCACTTATAGGGTAATACAGATAATTTAACAAATAAGATGCGAATTAATTGATTGGAAAAATATGCAACAATATTTGTATATTTTACTCGTTCTTAATTATTCCCAATTATACTTTTCTCCTATTTCTTGATAATTATCATTACACTCGGATGATTTATTTGATACAGCAAATAATAATGATTACACAGGATTATAATAATTAAATTTTTACAAAGTTCAAATAGAAACACACGTATATCAATCTTTCCTCGTAAAAAAAAAATCTGGAAGGCGTGTGTTTGATATCTCGCGAGATATGTATGTTTAGAAAAGATATACCTATGTAAAGCGTTAGAGCGCACCTATCGTACTAAGAGTTTTGACATTTCGTGTAGAAGGCAAAAAGAAATAACAAGTTCTCACCTTCATGAAAAGACTATGGGCTTAGAACCTCTGAAATCTTTAATAAAACCCACACACAACTATCTTTATAATGTTTTTTACAAAATCAGTCACATTGGAAATTAAACTTTAACGTATACACAATCCCGTATCATTTCGATGTATCATCCATTTGTCACCAATACTTCATTCATGACGTCATTAGTTCCGCCAGAGTCAAAAAGTTAACGATACCGAACAAAACCCGTCTACGCCCGAAGCTTGAAACATGAACGCTAAAGCGATGGTTACAGAAGGGTATAGCCTATACTTCATAGAGTATATACACAATTGCTTGCATGAAATGCAACAGCCAATCAAAGGATGTCTTTTTAAAACTTTCAAAGTATGTTACGTATAAAATTACTTCCGTGAGAAATGGATTTGTTGTACTTGAATTTATGCATTTTCGAAATAGTTTGGAATATCACTTCAGGCATTACACTATTTTATTTCGCGTCTGAGAATCGTTCCTCTTTACTTTAAGTTTATTATTGTCCGTTCAATGGAAAGACGAATGGATGTAAACAGTATTGCCTTGCGTGATTAGAACCTCATTGGTCAGTTGTGTCGACACTAGTCCTAACCCACGACTGAATTCCAGCCATACTGATAGAATGTTCCCAGATGTGATGCAATATTCGCGCATGCGTATCGGATATTTCATTAGTAAAACACCTTGTTCGAGTAAAAAAGAGTATTGTATCGACCCCTCGTCGTCTATAGTAAAAAATTATTTAAAAATTGTTGTAAAGTGAATTGAGAATGATTGGAACGTATGTTTTCCCCGGCTGTTTTAAAAAGAGATCTCGATTCGAAATTTATCGCGTGTAACTACAATTGTAACACGACAGTTTTACTTAGTTTATTCCGTTTAATTACTCGTCGAAGACCGTGAAAGAGTTTAACGCCCATAATACTGACTATATACGTAGCTGCTTTAAACGCGCATGCGTAAAAGTTGCTTCACATCTGGAAACACTGTCCGGGTTAGATGATTAATCATGGTTTAAGCGGTTAACTGTGCTTAATCTCTGCATTATCGCTTTCAATAAAAGCAAGTAAAACTTTCATTATCCCATGACAGACCGCTTCATACAACGGAGGAGATTAAACAGGAAGGGACAGCGAAATAATTATATAGAACATCAATCGTATATAATAAATAAATACTAACACTTTTTTACTTTCAATACCCAACCTATCTCATCAGCCATTGCAGTGTGCAAGTGCCCGCCAAAACAGTTCCTCAATTTCCATGACGTTGTATTTAACAATACAAGTTCGCAATGCTCTGACATTACACACTTAAAGTCTTTTAATATCGTTGTATGAACGGAAAAAACTATATTCTTGTTACATTTGATGCGTATTCGGTATGAGTCGAATTTACTACATTCTGTCGAAAGTGTCCTACAATTTGAAAACAATGCGAGAGGTGAACACTTGTGTATAGACGTTGATTTTCCAATTATGTACAATTAAATAAAAAGAATAAAATGGTTTTACAATATTTATGTAATTAGTGTATTCTTGTTCTCGAATATTTTATTTCTTATTCATAAAAACCGTTTGACAAAGCATTTTAACACAATGACAGACGTTATTCTTTTAAGCGATTCGGAGGAATCTGTTTTGCCTATTAAAAATTACGAATTACAAAACGTTAACAAGGAAAATAGAAAGAAATTGCTGCTTGCCGATAACGATTCGGACGACGCTGAATTTCCCGAAGTACATTTCCATCATGATATTGATGTAAATGAAGAGTTTGATTTACAAAATGATATTGATAAAAGTTCTACCAGTAATGGGAATTCGAAATTGAATAATGCTAAAAAATCTAGCACGTCCGATTTATCCGATACCGAAGAAAATTTGAACGACGTGAAGAGAAAGAGAGTGAAACAAAAGGCTGTTAAAACTGTAACGAAGAAAAGTAAAAGTCAATTAACCGAAGGAAAATTAAAACGACAGGAACAACTAATCAGAGAAAGGGCACTCAAAGCAATTGCATCGAAAAAATTAAAAAACATTAAACCTGGCGAATGCATGAAATTCGTGGAAGTTGTTCTTGACGAAGCTATTGAAAATTTTGATTTTATTAAAAATATTACAAGCACGCTGCTCGAGGCTAACATCCAATATAGTATTAATGCAGAATTAATTCCAAACAGTATCACGTGGAAAAGAATTGTCGAGAACAGTTACGTAGACGATACCAATAAAATATGTACAGAAACAGATGTTCAAAGAATTAATCAAATACTGATAATTTGGAACTGGGACAAGGCGTTAATGGAAGTAGCAGATGGCAGCTTTTGTGCAACTATTTCCACTATCAAGGCGTCGATACCAAATTACAATATGATTTTAGTAATATTTGGTATAGAAGATTATTTTACATCCAGAAAACAAACCAGAAATTCTGTTAAAAATAGAACAAAGAATAAAGCACAGAAAACTAATACTAAAAATAACTGCGAGTTTCAAAGCTTTCCAGAAATATCGAGGCAGCAGCTTGAAACGTGCCTTAATGAAATACAAATACTTTCCAAGTGTAACAGCAGATTGCTTAATAGTTTTAAAGATTTAGCACTGATGGTATATCAATGTACAAAGGCTATAGCAGAAATACCATATAAATTGGAGACGAATAAAAATATAACTAGTAAATTTGATTGGTATGTGATGGGAGATAATAGGAATACAGTACGTGTAGATAAAGATGGAAACGGATTAAAAAGACTGTGGCAACAACAACTTTGCCAATTTAATTTAAGTAGTCTTGAAATTGCAGAAGCAATTTCTGCTGTATATCCGTGTCCTGTGGATTTGATGGAAATAAGTATTAATATATATTCTAAATACAATTTAATCAAACTTTTCGCGTTAACCTTTCTGTTCTTCTCCAGGCATACAACAATTGTACACACCAGGAAGGAATGAACTTGTTGAAAGACATTGTGGTAAATTATAAATTTCAGCTATTGTTCGTACTACTTCCTACACAATAATAACTAATTTTTAAATGCAAAGAAAATTTTAAAACAATAAAAATCAATTATCTTATTACTAGACTTTACTTACATTTCATAAACATATTTCGAATGTTTTACAGGTTCGAAGAGCAGCTGGGCCTCTTACAACATTGCGTAAACTTGGTCCCGAATTGAGTAAAAAAGTGTATATAATGTTCACGTCCGAAGATGGTGAAAAAGTGTTAAGTTAAATGTATATTTATGTAATTAATTTCAATAAAAATATAAATAATAGTTTTATAGAAGCCTGACAATATTTTGTTATTACTTTCTTCTTCCTTCTTAATAAATTATGCAATCAAATGGAAAAGTTATAATGAATTCATGTATTTGATGTAATTTCTGCGTATTTCACAAACATAAAAAAAGTAGGCAATTATTAATATCCATATGTTATACATGAAATGATATTAAGACTACATGAAAACTTTCATTGTTTTCCATAATTAGTTCTAAAAATCTAGCGCATAATTTGACTAAATGAAACACACAAATGTTTAGCAGAAACAAATATATCTTATTGTTACACGGATGAATATACTATCTTCCACATTAGTCTAATTTTGCGCTAGATATTTCTTGACACCTCATACAATACGAAATTTAACTTTTTTACTATACCAAAAGTATATATAATACATTTGTTTACAGTGGATACTTCTCTGTGATAGACGGTTAAGTATTTATTAAATGTAAAATACCTAAAAAGTTGTTATAAAATGAAAAGACGTTTGTCGCTTTCTAGCAACTTCTCCCTACTATTTTACAGTAAAAAATATATAAATGAACAGATACAACCTAAATGATGTTCTATGTAAACAAAACACTATTGTCTTCTACCTAATTATTAATATATAAATTAACATTACGTAAAATTCTCACGTGAACTTTTTACACGTATTTTTCATGTATACGTTTCGTGAAAAGAATTTTGAAAATTGTTATACAAATAAAATCAGTTCAGCAATGTTTATTTTCTATCATAAAATCAACAATGATTTTTTCGATTTTAAAATGTATTTTGAAATAATCGTACAATCTGATTATTACAAAAGAAATTTTAATGAAGTATAAAAGACTATATATAATAATGAAATTAATTTTATTTCAGTCCTATTCGATATAAAGGGCACTTAAAACACTTTTAACCTGAAAATCTAATTTATAAAGTCACAACAAATTTTCAAATACCTTTATGTATAGTATAAAATGCATTGTCAATAAAAAGTTGTTAGCCTTCTACTGTTAACATGCATTTTACAAGGAGGAAGTAAATACAGAACAAAATAATATATATATATATATATATAAAAAAAAAAATGGAATTAAATAAAAGATGGAGAATATTTATACGTATATGTTTACCACAATTTTTATGTCCATTTGTAAAATAATTCTGATGATCTTTGTGTAATGAAAATGTATTTATTATTGAAATTCATATTTGTTTTTGCTAATAATATACATTATTCATAACCTTAATACACAAAATTAATTTGTTAAAAATATTTAACTGTTTTATAATTTACAGAAGTGCAAATGATTTTAATACTAAAACTGTTCACAGAGATTTTGCATCGTTTGAATGGATGCAAGAAAATTACAATATGCATGTTAACAGTCAGTCAGACTCGATAGCTTTCTGCAACATATATTTAATACCGACTTTGTTTTAATCAAATATTATCAATGATACTTATTATTACATAATAATAATAACAAAGTACATTTGTAAGCTAATTTTTGCAGTATCAACTTAATAACATCTCCCACGGTATATCATTGATATTACGAATGTTTCGCTTATTAACATAAACTTAAGTAGTCCAGTTTCTCAATTAATTGATCGTTAATACTTTTTAGATAATGACTCGATTCATTTTTTACCATCATCGTTACAAATTGTTCGTACAATTGTGACCAAATATTTCTTAATAAAAAATATTTAAATAATGAATACATTTAAATAAATGGAAGTCGGCTGCATGTAAAAGTAATATGGAACAAGATGTATGATAGTAATTCATATAGTTGGCTTCCTATTCTAAATTATATCTTTCGTTTAAGAATAAAGACAATATGATATTTATTTAAAATAAAGTGTAAATATAATGAATAATATGTATAAAAGCTGATTCTTGGCACTGGAAATCAAAAAAATGCGTGCTGAAAGGCATACATATTTCTTTTATATTAAAGTAAGATAAAAATATTAATCTTAAATTCTTAATATCCTAAACGCTTTCAGAATGTAGCTAATAAACATTAATGTGCATTCAACCTCAAATTATCAATGAAAAATGCGTATTAACTGTGAATCTACAAAATGTAATATATTTATTGCCAATCATTGTAGGTAATATATGTGCAAGAATATTTATGTTTTAATGTCATATCGTATCAAAGTAGTAGGAGTATAAAGGTAATAAAATGGATCTATTCTTTTCTGTTTATAAATTTAGGATAAAATGCATATACGTATATTAATATCAAACTGATAAGTATACTAAAACATTTAACATTTAACAAATGAATATGAATTTTGTTATGCTATAGTTTTAAATGGTTATATAGTTTGAAAGAATTTTTAAAACAAAGTAAGAGAATAGGAAGCCAAACAATAATGATTCTATAAAGCAACAGTACTTAATTTATTATCTTTATACTCATCTAAAACCATAATTTTAAATCCACCATAATTTATAATTTCACTCGCACACACATTCAAGCATTTGGCAGGCAAGAACCTAGAAGAATCTAATAGAAAGAGAGCGGTATCACTACGTCATCATTTCATTGATAGTATTTGCAGACGTGTAAGAAGGTCCTTTCGAGGTATCATTTATTATATCTTTTATAAGCGATGACAAATTTTGTGTAAACCTAAAATAAAAGAATCGCGTAACATGTATACACTGTTCTTGTACTTAATTAATATTTTCTTACCTATCTCTATTCCTTGTGAGTAAATTTCTTTCAATTCCTTCCATTAAATTTTCGAACCACTGTGCCATTGTTGCCTGCTTATTAACCGGTTGGCTTCTAATAATATTTTCTCGTAATTGATTAAAATACTGAAATTATAAATAATATCAAATCACTGGTACATCCTTCATAGAATGTTAAATGGTAAATTATTTGCACCCACATCTTCGTTTAAAAGAATTAATCCCAATAGCGGACGTGACATACTCCATTGATTTCTACAATCTTCAAACATTATCACATTTAAAACAGTACTTAATATTTGTTGAAGGATTTCCGGATGTTGTTTTAAGACTTGTAAAAATAAATCTCCTCCTCCTGGTACAACAGCATTTTTTCTCCTTGCATAGCCCCCTGAAAGAAACGATACATGTTGTATGTATACACGGATACATACATATGTTAATAATCGCTATTATGTGGGCTATACCTTTTGGATACATTTGTTTAAATAAATATGTCACAATGTGATCCAGTGTTGCACAACAACCGGTACAAACCATTGTATCTGTAATGAATGTTCGTTAGTTTTATTACATATTCTATGTGTAAAAGAGATCGAACGATATAAATTAAAATACAGGAGTAACTAGTGAAATAAAAAGTTTTAAGTTACGTGCAAATTCGATCACAGCGATTACTGTGAAATGTATTATATTGACCTACCTTTCAAACGTGTGCTTTGTAAAACTATATGTTCATTTAATAAGTTAATTGTGTCATTTCTATTAAAAGATAATAAAAATTTGATATTTTCAACGTTAGTTAACGAGACAGGAAACGAAAGATAAAATAATTCATAGCAATTTTGTGTAAGTGCAAAAACGGCAGATAGGATAAAAAGAAACCATTGGTATTTAATATATTCGTAAAAATAGACTATAAATTGTTTGGCATATCGTGTCTCAATTAAAAAAACAAAGCGTAAAATATATAAAAAAAAAAAAAAAAAAAAAAAACAAATAATATTAACATACCATGCATATGATAATTAGTAAATTAATAATTCACGAACTTATAACTGTAAACATTCATACGTTTTAGTAGCGTGCCAGCTGTGCGGCTGACTATGTGTGCTAGATCCATCATGTAATTTAACTTTAAAGGAATAAAGAATTTGAGTTTATAATGTAACATTGTATAAAAAAAACGCGAATGAAAGTTTTAAAAAAATGCATTACACTAATAGTAAATAGGGGTCTTGATTCTACAAACTCCAATCCTCTCATTGCCTATTATAATACCATGATGATTCAACCATACTCTTTATATGCATGAAAATGAATTATTCAGCATACACAATTATTCTTATATGTTTCAAACTATGGCAATAACTAATACCTAAAGGCAGGTTTACATTCCAAAAGCAACAATGCAAAAGGCAAATGAACATAACAAAATGAAACGCCCTTATTAACTAATCTTTTTGTCGAGATCTTCAAATAATAAATTTCTTACTGTTAAACACTTTACGTAGCATTTTAAATAAAACTGACAGAGTAAACAATCAGCAATTATAAAATCGTCAAAAAATTATCCAATTATTCATACATGCACAATACGAAAGATAATTCTTCGTTTTCGGGTACAATTTAAATAGAAATGTATGACGAAATTTTTGAAATGCCGGACAGTATAAAAATTGATACATAATCCATTGGAATTAATTTTTCAATGCTTCGATCGTAATCAAATATTCATAGCTTTTTTCAATTTCTCAAAATCTTAACAAAATATTTGACGAATACCTTTCTAGTAAGTAGAAATTGGCCTAAATGATTTGAGACTAACAGCCCCAAGGCATGGCATAGAGGATAAGAGACTCATAATAAGATAGAATCAGCCGCACAGACCTGTATAGGAGTCTTTTTGCGCACCTAGTGTTGTAAGGCCTTCACTGATGCTCGATAGAATGTACAAGAAAAGTCTGGGTTCTAGGGTGGAGAGGAAAACCATATGATCCTGTGCCAAGTATTCTAGTAACGCGTAATATGTTGTAGATAACTTTGGGTAATCCTATCGAGAACAATGGAATGTTAAAAATATTGTTCTTATGTCTAGAAGTAAGCTTCATTAACGCAATATTTATATGAATCAAATACATACCAATAAATCACTTTGTGGTATACTAAGGAGTAATTTTACAAATGTATTAAGCGCATTATCTAGAGCCTCATCGCCGTACAATCTGAACGTTCCAAAATTCACGTAATTTCCACACAAAGCAGCTTTTAGCATACTAAAGCATATACTTATTCCTTTCAGTTTTAAAGGATAAATTTGATCTTTCGGAACTTCAACATTCAATATACGATTACCGTAACTACATATCACTTTACTAGCTTCACGAAATAATAAAATTCCGTTTGGAGAAGATGCCTCGAACAGTAATCGTTGACTTCTATTTTGTACTAATTCAGCAAATAATTTTAGGACGGGAGTAGTGACTTGTGGTTCGTAATGCCATAATTCCACAAAATGTAATAAAATCGGTGTATAATTTGGATATCTATATATGGATTAAGGTAATTTATATTTAAACGTTTCAGTAAGTTGTTATCGATCGTGTGTCGGTTGAACGATATCTTTAATAAAAGGATACATCCAGTCGAAGAACATCATGTACGATGTCACTGTATTAAATGCAAAAGCTAAACCTCTCAAATCTCTCGCTAAACCGATTACTGCTTTTTTCGCTTCTTCTGCCGCGAAAAGTGAAGGATCAGCAGCGCCCATTAATTGTCCCAAACTTTCTAATGCAGCTAGAAACGAAACATAGAAATATAAGTTAAATAAATTCTATCATTATATTTTCATGTATAAAGTGGTTCTTATACCTGTTAGAGGTAACATAAAAGTGTGAAACCTTTCTTCGTCTTCACCTAAATCTACCATCAATAATCTACCCAAGGATGTGTAGAACATTGATCTACAACGCATTTCCGTTACAGGAACATTGTTTCCCAAAAATGGAAAATGCTCTCCCTATTGAGAACCACGCATAGTGTTTTACTTGACGTTCTCTATGTAGCGAATATGTAAATAGTTATTTATACATACTGTGTGATTGTTGAGCATAAATTGTACTTCTTCTAATTTTACAAGTTTACGAACGCAGCTATAACCCACAGATAGATCATTCAATAACTGTAATGTTTTCGAAATAATTTGTTCACTACGGCCCCAATATTTCAAGTTCGTTATTCTACAAACGAAGCATTTAAAAGTTAACAATCCAAACTGTACTATCGTATGTTCCGCGATACTTACATTTTTCGAATTAGAATACCGAGTATCATAGATTCATCATTCACCCCCAAAACGTCCGACAGTCTTCTATATACCTTGGGAGTTTTTTGAACTTGTTCGCCTACATATATCTTACGAAATTGTTCGAAAAAGCTCAACATTGCTGACTCCAATTTTTCACAGCCACCTTGTGCAAGTCTCGAGTCGGTCAAATTCATTAACTGAAGTACTTTGCAGACTAATTCGCCATCCATCGCATCTAACTCTTCGTTACAATTAAATGTTACTTTTCCACCAATGACGCCACCTTATTATCAAATACAATATATTAGCCTCGTTACGTACATCACGTTTTATTTAGTTTTCTTGCGTTTCATAGTTTGCAAATTATTTCTTTACCTATAATGTATACAAGCCACGTGAGTTGACCCTCTTGTATAGTGATATCCATTTGTTGAGTAGGAGATGCTGTCTGTGTCATTAACTCTTGATACGTTCTAGCAGCTTGATCAAAGAGCTGTACCAACAATGTATATGTCTTTTGATATTCACATCTTCCGATTACCGATATTTGCTCTAATTGTTGTTGTACCACTCCTAAATCATCGAGCGGATCTTCCAAACGTTCCCTAACCACTACCGCAACCGACTCGAATCTCGAAGTAATATATGCATTCACAACTTCCGGTGTGTATATGTCTAATAAATGTAGATCACCGGATTTTACATATGGTATAGATGACACCATCTTTTGCCACAAAGTTAAAAGGTAGTGCAAACTATTGGGTGAGAATTGCCACATTTGTAAACTTTGGACTGTAAATTTTGCGATTAATTGTATATCTTCTGGATAATGTTCGAGTGAAATCAGTTCGCCAAGTTGAAAATTGCTTTTTAACCTTAACAGTAATCTACAAAATTCGTGATAGTTCCCAGGGTCGCTCAGGCCCCTTAAATTTTGTATTATGTTTATCACACCGTTAACCAAGTGTGTTAAAAATTGTGTCCTTTCGGAATTTGAAAATAAACTTCTTCTGATAGATGCTATTTGGACTAAACACGAAAGAGCCAAAGATGACAATGAGTTGGGTAGACTATGGTATAGATCAAAGAAAAGTTTTAACGATGTAGGATCCAGAAATATGGGCCGCCAATTGTTTGGAATTTGTATCGCACAAAGATCGTCGCTTTCATCCGCTGACGTTCCAAGAAAGTCAAATGTTAGACAGTTGTGTGCCAGTTTTAAAAGCTGTCTCATCAGACCATGCTAAATTAAAAATTAAAAATAAATATGAAAATTTCACACGAATATATATATATATATATAAAATACTGTAAACTTTTGCACGAAAAATGCAAAAACGAAAAGACGTACTTGTGCTTCATCGTTAAAATTTAGATTTTTACAATTCTCGCGTGCTGTACTCAGTAAGGTACACGATAACTTAAATATTTCAAAAAGCTGTGTATCTCTGAAGCTACTGGCAATTTTTCTATGCTTTGTAAGAGACCTATTTGCATCAGCATCCGATACTTGATTCATTTCGCAAGTCAATTGAGAAAGTAATTGTACTCCTATCATACAGTGTTCCACGGATCCCTGTATTATATTAAAAGATTATACAGTTATCGAATATATTTCTTTAAACTATAATGAAAGAAAAGTTGTATCGCACCTGAAGAAATTTTGCTACATCGTTAACCACATTTCTAAAGACAAATTCATCTTTGTCGGAATCGAACCAACCAAGCTTCGATATCCTAGCAAATAATGTAACCAAAGCTTGTATTACAAAATTTGGTAATTTTGGTTGAGTTGCTAAATAGGTGAGAACATAGTTCCCTGAAACAAAATTAGAGAAATTATTTTTAAATATCCCTGCTATCTTCATTTTAGAATTTGATCTATATACTTACATATGTCGAGCCTTTGTTGCAAACTGAGCCCTCCCGAGCGTGAAACCAGTTTTGTCAATGTAGTGGCTGCTAATAATTGAGCATACGCAGAATTTCCCCGATCAAGTAGGAGCTGACACTTTGTAAGCGTATCTGGTGCATTTTGAAAAGCAACGAGTGCCTTTTCAGCCTCTGCACGATGCGCAGAATTTTGTGATTCGTACAATTGCTTGCATAGCAACTCCAGCTGCTGTACTTCCTGTATGTGATCCATTCTTAGTGACACGATTCAAACATATACTTTGATATTTCCATTTAGGTATTTCAAGTCTATAAGCTTCAAAACCATTGCTTCACTTTTCAGATTATTCAATAAATTCTTATTTTCTGTTACAGTTAACATTTAAAAGTTTACAACGACAAAATACGTCATGTTATCTGAGAAGTATGAAACACAATTATAACTAAATATATATTTCCTAATTAGCCTTGATATTATAATAAATAAACAATATTTTAAAATCATACCATTTATTTACAATAGATTTTTTCAAATATAAATATTCCATAGAATAAAAATTAATTTATCAAATTCTACGGAGAAATGCATGCTTAGAAAAAGAAATAAAACTATGTCAGTCGATCAAGAAGGAACTTAATTTTCGTGAATTACTTTAAAGTAATATCTGTGATGAGTAAAATGATATAAGCAATTAATAAAAATCACCATTTGTTAAATACATTTGATTTTAGTAGTATCGATGATTTAATTTTACAATTTTTTTTAGACTTTAGAAACACAAATGATATAAGAATTGTTTTTTTAATGTTCCGAGCACAGTAACAGAATGCTAATTTATTTTCTCAGTATTTAACAAAATATTTTGAGGTTACGAGGTTTATGTTTTGTAAATATTAATCAACTGAATTTCAGGTGATCACATATTCAGTTTAAAAATATCTTACGAATATATCTTAAAGTATTTTAATTTGTATTCATTTAAATCAGAACAACACGATTTAATTTAACCGGACATTTGTCCGTACCGAATATCGGATAAACAATGATCTAACGTATTAAAGGAACAGAAAAAACATCTTGGTTGATGTTGCAAAATAAGTGTATCGGATAGGTTATGCCGTATTTTTTAAAGGAATTTTAAGCAACAGTTTTACACGAGAACGTTGAAAAGAAGCGGAACTTTTTCAAATTATAATGTTTAAATATAAAATTCACGATTTAGATGATATTTCCACCCATTAATTATCTTTTGAAACTTCGAAACTGTATCTACACAATATTATTCACGAAAACAAGGTTAATGTTTTGCACAACGACAACACGGTTCCGACCATATAATAAAATGTCAATTAAACGGTGAGTTGAGAAATCTTTCAGTCCGTGATTGCATTTTCATTGACAGCGCGACAAAATAGTAATCACTGTAGGTCCGGCAACAAACAGTGCAGTAACATCGAGGAATACTCAAGAGTTTCCCGGCAGCAAAACGTTCGGGGATACACATCGATACGACACAACTTGCAAACAGTTTTACCACCGACTGGCTTACCGCACGATTTTCGAAATCACTTCATCATAAATAACTTTGTCGTGTTTCGAGGTTTGCACATTATTTTGATCGGCAACTCACCTGTTCGTCCGCCATTTTCGCAGCTTCGTATTATCTACACTGAAGGCAGGATCACATGCTTTAATCTTGTCTGATCTTAACTGCTACAACATGTATGTAGAAGCGACGTTTGCTATGTCGGGAGCATCGACAACGCCACCTTTAATATCGAAAAACAAAACGACAATCGTACTTCATTTATTGCGCGAAGACAGATACACAGTTAAGCCGAGTCTTCACTGTGGTAATCGACAAAACTAGGTGATGGATGGTGTTGCGTTGCAATGAGTTGTGGTGGTACCTATTCGAAAACATGTAATTAAAAACATTAACGAGCAAAATATGTAAGTTACGCTGAAACATTTAAAATATTCCCATAATTGCGACGTAACGCAACGATAAATATTAGATTTCTGATATTCATTGAAAATCGAGCAAGTTTAGTTTATAAAATTCATCGATTCAATTCAAAATAGAACAGTTATAGATTCAACAAATAAAGTATTGAACTAGATTTTACCATTTTCTATGCAAAAACTATTTTTGTCAATCTACCCTTGCATTAGATGAAATTGTAGCTTTGTCAAGTAATGGAAATAAAATAGTATATTAATAATATAAATATCGTAAGTTTCTTCTTATTTTATTTTTTAAATGTTTCGTTCTTTTTCTGAATTAAGTTTTAATTTTTAATACTTTTAATTCTGTGAAGAATTATTAATTTTTTTTTTATCGTAAATAAACCATTGCTATACATTTTTAATTTGCAAAATCTAGTTTTATAAAATCGTAATTATTATGTTCTGTAGTACTTTATTTATATAGTATTAGGGTAAAATGTACTATATAGACTAGTTTCACAATATAAATCATAAATTTTTGTTAAAACAATAAATTATTTCTTATTAAACAATTACTAAAAGATAAAGGTCTTCTCAGCATATTAAATGTATGTATTATTCTCCCATAGTTTATATATACACTCATTGGAATTATTGTTATCAATAATGATATAAATTTTATCGCACATAATATGAAATAATGTAAATTTTAATAATTTGATCAAATTTGCCGGGAACTATATCATGCAATAGTAGTTCTAAATAAAGATACTAAAATCCATATTATATACCGATAGGAAATATTAAAAATATTACTCGATATGTAATGGACTTTAATCGTATATATTTTAATAATAAAATTTTAATACTCGCACACACATACCCGAGCACATTTTTAATTTTTTATTATCATTAAGGATTCTATAAGTATTTTAAAACGTTCAATAATTTTTATGTAAATTTTAATTACAATGATAGACCATTGAAGGTGTTAAATTCAAGGGATAATGATGGATACTCTTTTCTATTAAAATTCACCCATCTTCTTGCATAGGTATTATATTTCGAATATAGCTTTTCCACAGCCTTCATATCATTTTTACGTAATTAAATTTCATACATGAAACTTTGTGTTATTACTAACAATAAACATCACAATGTTTTCTTAAAGATATTTCTGCCATACTATTATTTCTGACAAATGTATCCAAGTTATGATCAAGACGCATCGCTTGTCACGAAGTTCTAAAAATGAATGATTTCCGATTACGTTATATAATTTATCCACAAACATTTGCCTCGACGATCGATCTCAAGTGTAGCGTTTTGCACAATGAAAATTTTTTTATTTTACAATAACGCGTTTATTAACTGAAACGTTTTAACAGCCTGATTCTAAATAAAGTGTACGTACGAATTCAAAGTTAGCTGAAATATAATGGAGTATGTGCTTACAAAGAGTATGTTAATACCTGCTACGATTATTATTATGCTATTCCTTTTATTAAAGTGTTTTATGAATTGAAAACATGCTGCATACTACAAAAGTATAGTTTGCACTGAAGTCCCTTATATACATACCTTAGAGTTATAGAAAATTTCTCGTGTCATTGTTCTAGCATAAAAATCACAATTCTTTTGTACCCAATTTGACTACATGTACTTCATAATTTTGTGTAAGTTGTTTGCCTTCAATGTAAACATTATTATAATAGTAGAATAATGTACAAATACTACTTAATACTATTTGTTACTCGTGTTATGTAAAAGCGAAGTAATTTCACATTTTATCGGTAATAATTAATTTCTCTCCCGTCAAAATACATGCATGGAAATCAAAATCAGGAATTTACATACTCATAAGCTTACTTCGTACTTTTTTTTATAAAGTCAATATATTCAAATCATTTTCGTGTTATTTCTCAATATATACATATAGATACATACATACATACATACATGCACGCACGCATTTGTCTATACGCGTGCGTGTATACATGTTTGCGTGTGTGTGGGGGGGTGTGGGCGTGCGCGCGTGTGTGTGTGTGTGTCTTAAGAAATTATTATACTTTGATAATTCTGAGAATTTATAACATATTTGGTCTACCGTTTAATATACTAATGAGTAACCGTGTTATCTAGGGATGTGCATGTATCCGATTTGGGTTGGCAAACTGTGTTAAACACTGGTAAATTTGGGCCAAACTATTTCGAGACTAATCGATTCGCAATATATAAAGATCTGCTCGAGCACGCTGGTGTTGACAGCTCAAATCGGATACCCGTACACTCCTATGTTATTGTATAATGCTGACCGTAAAAATAAAATTAGTATTCTTGATGAATACGTTCAAAAATTTTGAAAATTACGATAGCTACATTCCAACACATATTATATTATTCAAAACATGTTTATAATTTAGATCGAACAAAAGTGACTAACATAAACTTAAACAAAAATTGAAAGTATGATCTTATTCGAGATCAATCAAAACATAATAATTTGTTTACAACAGCTACGATTATTTCAGAGTCACTATATTGCTTTTGTATGAATCAATATTTACATCTTGGTATAATGAAAATTTATATTTTAAATGCAAATGGTATTGTACCAATGGCTGTGTACAGGTGGTAGTTAGCTTTCCATGTACTTTTCAGTATATAATATGAATCTTGTAAAATTAATGTCTATGGAAATTGCTACATGTTCGATTAACGGCTGTACATCTATAATGCTAAACATGGGTATATCGATTCACATCAGCTAGATTTCGAAGACAATGAAACATTATCATTATCATAATCCTCCCACATATCGATACCTTATCGTTCACATTCACACAAAATAAGTACTCCAATCAAACGACACTTTACAATCATCTTACCATAAATTAATTACATAAACAAATCATTAATTTACTATAATACAGCTAACATCTTATTAAATGTATCCAGCCTCCCTAAAAATGTTTTCATTTTCTTTATGCATTGTAAGTCTTTCTTTTTATAGTAGGAAAGTGGTCAACTTCTATCATGTCATAGAGCGTAGAAGAATTCCAGATATGGCCAAGCAGATAATTATTTACATCCATGGGATGTATTTACATGGTTTTAATATACTGTTCGTTATTAAACGCAGTGCGTCAAGCGCGAATAAATTAATTTATAGTTTTATGTGTCACTCCATACATCCAATTTTAGAGAATTACTTTTGCTTTTCACAGCAAATAATAAACAAAAGTCAATGACCATGTCTTTTTGAGATTCTGTTTCTGTCTAGGCGCTGTTCACATTGGACACTGATTCTTCATTCTTAGTGTACACTATTGTGAACACATTTGAACTCACTCACTAACCACTTGTCTGAAATAAAATAAATTTATTAACTTGTATTTCTACATACTTTCTACAAAGTACGACGCTTAAAAAGGAAGTTAACTACCGATGCAACTTGATACAATCGTACTTTATGACTACAAAAGAAGATACATATTTATAATGAGTATACGCACTATATGTCTAGACAAAATTTGTAAATTTTTACTTTCTAAAACGACAAGTACAATTAAAAATAAATTTCTATGCATTATACTTACAATTATATCACAATGAAGGAATCTCTTCTTATAAATGCGTCACTCAAATGCTATAAAAAATATATTTACGTCAGAAAAATGTCAAGTGTAGCAAGTAAATCTTTCTTATCGTACTTACGAGATGGAGATCTGGTGGCAGATTGATTCGCACCTGATGCATTTATTGCTGCTAGCCCATGCGATACACTTCCATTGAAATTGAGAAAGTCCCAAATTAATATTGTATCATCGTGCGATGACGATACTATCTGGAACTCGTCAAACTGAAGACGAAATACACGTCCCGTGTGTTCCTACGTCGTGAAAGAATATATTATTATAGTCATAAATAGTTTTGTAACGTTAAAATAAATATTTAGAATATCTCACCACTAATGTTCGTAAACAAAGCGAGTTGGCTAAAGCACGTGGATCTAAAGCTGCTACCAAGTCCCATACTTTTATCTTTCTGTAATATAAAGCATCGAATATAACATGAACGTAATAATACGACACACTGTATTAAAACAATGTTTCTATACTCACCCGTCATAAGCTCCGCTGACTATATGTTTGCTATCAAATCTAATACATCTGACCAATTCCTCGTGTCCTTCCAAAACACGTAAGCACGCACCACAATCAATATCCCATAATCTGATAGTGTTATCACTGCTACCACTAACTACTAAGCAGTCTCTATATTGTAAACACGCTATTCCTCGTTTATGTCCATTTAATGTTCTCACAAATTCGCAAGTAGATGTGTTCCATACTTTGATAGTCCTATCACCACTAGCAGAAACAATATATTTCTCATCAAAATCAACAACATTCACTGCTGCCCTATGTCCTACGAGTACTCTTCTTAATGTAATTTCCGTTTGCGATGTCATGTCCCATACAGCTATTGAACGATCCTGATAATAATTAAAAAGTAGTATTATCCTTTCCAATTCGCGAAAGGAAATAAAAATATATATATAAACGTTTTCTGACCTTCGAACAAGTGACCATCATTCCATTATTAAATCTGAGATGTAAAACTGCTTCGCAGTGGTGTATCAATGTGTTAACCATTTCACCAGTATTAGCATCCCAAACTCTTACAGTACTATCAGAGGAACCAGATATTATTGCTTTGTCATCGTATTGTAAACACAGAACAGAACCGGTATGCCCTGTTAAGACTTTAATACACTGTAGCGTATTTCTGTCCCAAATTTTAATAGTATTGTCTCTAAGACCAGAGACTATCTTTTGGTCATCGTATTGCAAACAGTAAACACCTTTTGAATTTTCACTCCTACAGTTTATTCTCTGAAGATTAAATCTTCCCATTCTCCAATTATTATCTATACTATCAATATCTTTAACTATTTTTGGATAAAGAGATCTATAGAAATTGTGATTCGGATGACTCTCTCCTGGTCTTGGTTTGAATAAATACTGAATCCTAAAAGTAAAACGTAACCAGATTTCTGTAGTTCACGGTAGTTTCAATATTGTATATATAGTTCTGCTATTTGTTTAATTTTCATTTCATAAGATCCGCACGTCGGAAACTATTACATTTATGCGATAAGGCGAGCATAAAATATCAACTAACCATCCTCTCCTTTCAGCAAGGCCTCTCCAAATTGAATCTGTCCGAACTTTTCGTTCGATTAATTTCTTCCAAAGCATTCCTTCGCTGATCACTCTGTGCCATTCTTTACACACTAATTCCGCTGCAATTAATGAGTCAGCATCAAGATAAGAAAGAATACTTTCTGCCACATGATCCAATCCTTTTTCTGGGAACATAAAAACGGTTTTTATTTTTTTATATCTGAACATTTTAACAGAAAAGTTACAATATTAGATACCCACTTGGTAGCAGAGAAATGAAATCTCTCTGTAACATTGGTTTCAGATACGTATTAATGTGTCCATGCTGATAATGACACATTCGTGCCAACAATTGTTCAACAAAGTTTACTTGTTCCGGTTCGCTCCACCTCTCAAACAGTTTCATACAAATTTCCCTCTCTAGTCCATATTGCGTAGATACCCCTGTTGGCAATTCTTTCTTGCGAGTGGGGTCGTACAATATTGTTATTGGATTCTGTAAAACAAAAATGTGTATAAATATTTGCGATCGAATTAAATTACATTTCTGGCCATAAAAATACTTCTTCTTCTTCGATTACTGAATGCGTATTTATGATACTACAAGGAACATGTAAAAAATACTCACATATATTTATTCATTGTATATTTAAATATTTCTTTTGGTACATCTAGATTATGAATTAAACACCATACAAAAATGTGCGTAATCGCAGACCTACTGTACGACAAACGTATCTTGAGGTGGAGCGTGGTACCGGGTTCTTGACCTCAGATAGATCACGCTCTCTTGTATGTACAGAACATCGAGAATGCTTGCAGAAATAGATGTTCAAACACGCAATTCGTTCCTTTGATTTATAGCATTTTCTATTATACACGGAGACAATTTATCGGTGAACGCACTCGTTATCAGTAAACACGAGAAACAGAAATCAACCGAACATTTACGAATACCCGGAGTAAATCATATTAGAAAATTTCTTTTAAACGAAAAATTTCATCCACGATTATCTGCAAAAATTCAATAAAATCGCGCCGACGATCATTTCTACTGAAAAAGTATACCGAAGGACCGTGGCCTGCCGGTAATCTAATATTTCGTGTCTGACCTACTTGTTACGCTCGCCACCTCTGGAAGCGAAAACCCTTATAATAGACGCATATTTTGTTAAGCGTTCTACAATTAAAACATTCTTTTTTTCATTCATAGAGTGATCCATAAACTGTCGAATGTACGGGACCGAGAGAAATGTAACGGTTGGGGTCGTTTAATAGAAATTGATATTGTATAAGCGGCGGTACATATAAAATGACCGCTTGTTATCATATATTCAAGACAAAATGCTATTCGAGTATTTTAACAAAATAAAGATACAAGATATTGATTGAAATTCTATCGTGAATAATTTATCATTGAAAATGTGCCTTTAAAATATTATTCGTATATACGTTTAGATTTATAAATATCCTTGTAAATAGAACGTTTCCTTCTTTAATTTCATACCGTTTAAAATTTGCTTTAGCTTTCCCTCTTCGGAACAAAGCAAAAAAAAATGAAGCTGCCCGGAAACTTAGTAGTGGGGGGTTATGCTATTATCACGTGTATAGACTACGGCAGAAAACGATCCTTCGGTTCGAGATATCGTGCTCACTCGACTGTAAAAGGTGGCATAGCAACATTGAAGAGTCCTGGCGATCGAGGAGTACCCTCGATCACCTGAAAATGTTTCTCCATGATGCTCTCGGCGTAACGGGATCGCGAACTCGTGTCGAATCTATGTTCTTCGTATTTCTTTGTCTTCGCGTCGTTACGTATTCCGTCTATTTTCTAAAGTTGTCCAGTATTCGAAACATCCGAGTGGCATAAAGCTCGAGCCGTGAACAGAAGTGGGAAAAATTATTATCGGAACAACGAATAACGTGCGAAACCAATATACGATTAAAACTTGCAATTTTTATTTAAATAAGAATCTTGCCCATCCCTGTTCGTCGATTCGAAACTAAGTGCAATCTTGGGAATCGAGGAACTCGATAAAATTGAACTAAGCTTCTTTCGATCGATAATTTTAATTAGAACGAAAAAGCTAATGATTCATTTGTTACTCACATAAGCAGTTTAATTCCAGTATCGATATCAAGATAATTATCTGATAATGGTAACGACAGACCACGTTCTGTCGAGTAATTTTTTTTTGCTTCGAAATACCTGGAATATTATTTTAGTCTACTCGTACGAGTATCGTGTTACAAGGGAAAGACAATGAAGAACGAGTCGCGGAAAGGGGATAATATCTTGAGGTTTTAAAAGTACTTGACAATAATTGTACAGGTTTGAAATTTTACGCACAGTCGACGCTACATTTCTGGATGAGAAAATAATATTCACTATTGAAAGAGAATTTACTATTATAAATGCGTTTGCAAGAATAAAGATTTCAAGAACAAAAGTGCACAAATTGATATGCGCCAAGCTTCGAAGGACCATTGTAAATTTTTAGTCACGATGCATCGTTTGCTTATTGATCTTCGTGTACACGCGTTTACTTTTTACGGTAAATTAAGCGAATGGGAAAAATTAAAAACGCCGCCGGTCAATGCAATAGTGAGAAATATAACCGGAATGATGAGTCATTGGTAGAAAATAACAAAGGGTACCCGTTTTTCGGTCAAGTCATGCTTCTCCCAATAACACAATGCAGATGTCGTTAACATCAATGAATTATGGTACACTTTTCACCAAGTATACAGAAATCCACTCTTAAAGTAAATACAAACTAGATTTCAAATTACAACTTCTTCCCTCCTTTTATATCTTAAACAAAGACAGCCTCCTCGAGAGACATACATCGTTACGGTTCAACCTTTAACTGAATACAATGCGTAGATAATTTCTTATGTCCCCTATTAAAATGTCTCATCATTACATATTTTACGTTACGCGCTTATTATATTTCACTCTGATTTCCTGTATTTTACAATCTTTTTTTTTTTATAATGGATAACACGAAGTTGAGCGTGAACAGTTTGTATTAATATATCTAAGCGTAATTAAATTAAGAAGCAATAGAAGGATATATGATGGGTCCAAATGTTCGTATGCATAATTAGATATTTTTGGCTTATACCCAATCGTGCGTACAAATCAATATTGCTGTAACGCCTTACGATGAAGATGAGAATGTTGTTTAGTCAGAACCAGCAGTAATTATTTTGTGTGGATTATGTTTTTCCTTCAAGCACGTATGAAACAAAAATAACTTTTTTTGCGTATCCGTAAAGCTTCGGATATGTAATGTACACCGTTTAAATAGTAAATCAAAATTCAAAGAATTGACGCATATATCTCAAAAGCTAATCAACCGATCAATTTGAAAATTTGATTACACATAATCTGAATAACCAGTTTTTATCTGGACTATGATAATCTCGTTACAATATTTTGTATTTTAAAATAAAGCGCAAAATTGTTTCTATTTCTTCAAGCTCGGACGTAAGCTACACCCATGTAGAATAATAACATGTTTGTATTTTTTGTTTCCAATTATTGGATGAGGGCGCAACTGTGTTCGTCGATAAGGATAACATTTTCAATACAGCACCGGATAATATTAATAACTTTTATATTACGAGTGGAAGTTGCATAAAAATAGTCGTGCAATATCTTCATAAACATATTAGTAAGCATACAAAATTCCAGTTTATTACGTCGCGTACGTTACGAAAAAAAAATTCTAAATATCGCGAGAAAACCCCCTTAAGCTTAATGAGAGTATAAATTCGAATGCAGATCTTGGTCGATCGTTCCTTATTATTACGAATGTAACAACGTACAGTATCGCCGAGTCGCGAAAGCAATGAAAAAGGGTAGAGGATTGTAAAAGAGGAGAAACAGGAGAAAGAGTGAAGAGGGAGTTAAAACATTGATTATGTAGTATACTATTCTCAGAGTTCGCCAAACCTAAAGATTAGACTTGTGTTTAAGCTGACTTTCTTTTGTTCCGGCAACAAAGACGATTATTGCCGATCAAATTTAGTCGTTATAAATAAAATGTTATCGCGTATAATAGCATTGCATTTTGCGAGCGAATAGTACTAAGTTTTGCGTTTCAATTCTATACTTTTGTACTTAGATACGAAGGCAATACACGCTTTAAATTACGAAATTAATAAAAGATATTAAAGCGAACGCCAGTGCACGAAATGTACAATATAAATACAGCGATTTTCTGACCCAAATTAATGCTAAAGTGTACGAACATTACAGTGCTAGGAATAACAGCATTCGATGACACGGATAGCACATATCATTTAAGCGAATCATATTTCTGATATATATTTCGTTCGTTCGGTTTAATGCATGGTAGAGATCGTTTTACTACGAAAATAATCAAGGATGATACAATGTAGAGTTTTATCAAGCCGTAATAACTGTCAACGATAGATACACGTAAATATAGTTTTGGTAAAAGATTTCAAGAAATAATTACAATCGTCGCCGTGCATGACAGTATACGATCGAACACACGATGCACATGATATATTTATCCAATTAACGATTCTCGCCGAGACACATGTGACAAATGTAAGGTTTTACGGGAATTAAAGCCGCACACGAAACGTTAGCAAATTTCTCCATCATAAGGAAACATAAGATGGCGGTAGGATGGCGGGTCAAAAATACTAATGTATGAGCGTACCTGAAGATTCGTGTTTGTGTCGTCGATAATCTTATCCGTTTCCATGTTGATCATTTTCACGCGCAACTGGCACGATCTCGTTGATCTAGGTTGCGAGAAACGGGTCAATACGTTGGTACGTTCGTGGAAAGGGATAAAACACCGTTCGAACACTGGCGTTTGATGACTATTCAACACGTCCGACGACGCTCACGAGTCTTCGCCATGTACAGGAAGTTGAGACAACATTTCACCAACACAACAGCTCGTAAATACCTATGTCACTTCACGGTGCCGAGAAACCTGATACAATTGTTAATTTGCACGGGAAAAAGTATACCGCGGTATACTTATTCTTATCCCTGGGAAATATACAAAACGCGATATTAAGTACTTTGAACAATTTGCGAGACACTCGGTCGGGATTTTGCAATTTAAGAAGATATGTGCAATCAACCGCCAAGTTAAAAAGTTTAGCGAGAAACGCTACACCATCGACTCGACTACTACCCATTGACTGAAACCAACTTGGTGGCGCACCATACGCGATACTTTCAAGATGGCGTCTCGTGCGCGATATATTTATTTTATACGTATAATTCTGCGCACGTGCCAACGCGCCATTTTAAACGATTAAAGAATCTTCTCTATCGAAATCATTTTATTCGGTAAAACAAATACTTCTTAATGATAGAATGTGAAAGTTTATATTTAACATACATTCGTTCGAAATTTATGTATTGGTATTATATTCTACATTTATAAATATACATAATTCATGTATAAAAACAAAGCATGTAATTATCGAGTATTTCAAACTATTATAATTCTCCGAATACCATCGTTTATCCATTTAAATTATTAATATATTAAATCCATTTGACTTGGTCATTTTTATTTTTTGTGTTTTCGTGTTGAATTTGAAGAGTAAGTACAGCATATGGTTTGTGACATACTTGCGAGTCTAATGGTGGATAATAATGTCTATAGCACATGTACGCCAAAAAGTATCCTATTATCGAACCTGCAACCACATCTAAAAATTGAAGTATTAGGAAACTTATTAATACGGTGAAAAAACATGCTTACCTTGCCAATGATGATGATAATCGCACGTTCTACTGAGCGCGATTACAAGAGCGATACAAATTGGTAAAATAAATGCGCATAATCTCCATGTTTGTCCTTTTCCTACTAGGCTAAATGTATGCAGCTTGCCAGCTAGATATAACGCAATGAAACCAAAACTTGCAAATGCAACTAAAAATTAAAATCAATTTTTCCTGTAAAAAGCACTGTACACCTTATTTTGCTTTCAAAAGAATACATACACGAAGAATGTCCACTGGGGAATGATTTTTTTCCATCTCTTATCACTATTGGATTTCCGTTACACTTAAAATCTGGATTTGTTTTTCCGTCAGGAAAACATCTCCAAAAAAAATCTGGTCTAGGACGACCTATGGAGAAAATGTACCTAATGTATTTATATATTATTTATTATTTCACAAATAAGATTAATAGCTTTGAAATTCTTACCAACTATAAGTTTTATAATATCTGTAATTACACCATTGAATCCTAATGCTAAAGTTACAGATAATACTGCTTGATAGAAATCAGTTCTGTCTTTATAAACTAAGAAAGCAAGAAATATCACTATGGCAGGCAGAATAAATACAAGAGGCTAGAAAGATATACAAATTAATAATAAGTAGCTAAAACTTAATTGTAATCTTTAAGCATAAAAAGGTTTGGTCGCTCATAAAACAGATTACCCATAAGATTATTGTTGGAACGTAAGAATCTGTTCTTGGATTTTTATATAACCATAATTCATCCTCGTGAATTTTTCTTGTAAATGGTTCTGCTTTTTCTAGTTCGCTATTCGTACAAAAAAAATGTTAAAGTTAAAACATATTATTTTGTTTGCCACAAATACCAATGAGTCATTTTTATATTATAATATTGAATTTTAAATAAAAACTTACATAAACAATCCTACTAATGTAATCCGTAATAATACATCGAACCAAAATCCTGTCAAGAAATCTGTGCCACGTGCAAGAGCCATTACAGATCCGAGCAAGTAGCAGCAATCATAGTGCACTTATCATATTTATGTAAATGTACGTAAACAAGTAAATGATGGCATAAATCCAAATTATTCATTGTACAGGTATACATGTAAACTGTACATTTGAATAACACTGATTAACAAGAAATCATTCATTGTAAAATTATCTAAAAATATACGTTTTCAGTTATTACAAAAACAAAAAAAATAGTTTAGGTATAGTATATTGAGAATTGTATAAAAATCAGTGTTAACCTATCATGTGTAAAATTATTCAAATAATTCAATTTTTGTAATAGTTAATCGATCATACGTTTACGTAAAGGTATATTCAAATGGAATGCAATGTTGGCAATGTAACATGGAATACATTACATTTTAACTGCACTATTTTGATTTAAAAGATAACATTCGATTTTATGCTACCTTTGAAAATGATATATTCGATGCTTTAATGCATTAAGGTAGGTTTCTATTAAAGCCGATTCGCACTGTGAGTAATGTCAGAGTCAAGTCAGCAACCATGAGCCGGCATTATTGATCTTTATAACCACAGCCGACTACAGTACTAGTAAACGAGAAACTTTAAAACATGGAGAGTCTGGTTTTGTACTTAGTAGAAAGAGTGTACACCGCTTGTGCGTCTCTGTCTATTCAGTGCAAAATTGGACTCTTGCGTCATTACTGCCTCTCGTTCAACTTAGCTAGTACTACAGTCAGGTTATGGTAATACTAAAGTTGCCATTCAAGTGGCATACTGGCATATGTGGTTTATTCTCAAAGATGGCAGCCTCCACATCGTGACAGAGTATAGACCAATATCAAAAGGATCAAAATACATTAATCCTTGCTTAAAGAACGAAAATCGGGACTGCCTGATTTTATAGATAGATTAATAGAGAAAGAGAGAGAGTGACCAAAGACTTAAGAGCGATGCCAGTAAAATTGTGCGTATTTTTCCGAACCGAACGTACTCGCGGAACGTATCGTAAAGGAGTAGGGGTAGCTTGAATTGAGTCATAAGTCCCTTAAACGGCAAAAATGTGTAATGCCGGGGACTGTTCGCCGCTAATTTATGGTTGTGTTTTCGGGAAAATGTAAATAATAATTATTTCTTTCGTAGTGGACATTTATAGACTGTAAAATATTACACGAGTCATGCGTAATGTACCAAGTATCGTAATCGTTCTCGCGGAGATGATATAATTCTCGAATTGTGCGCTAAAAAGCTTGTTTCGTTGAGGGAATTGGGTCGATCCCACGTTCGTGTTCACGATAGCGTCCTAACCTCTTCCTCGAATTGTATTCTTTGAAAAAGTTTTCTATCTTTAAACAGAGAAACATGATTGATCTTTTAAACGTTTACGAACGATCCTTTTCGAGAGAAACATTTATTATCGATATGTGACAGGGCATGAAACCGTTAATGAAAGATGCTAAGACGCGCATAGTTCGTGATTATGGAGTATGACTCTGCGTCAAGCTGCGAAGGTTGTTTGAGAGAATTTGAAGCTTCGGAAGATTTCACACGTTCGAGAGAACCACGAGAAATCGAACATTCGACTTGTAACGCGAATTCAGCACCATGGCGATCTTTACAAGTTGTCGCTTCGCAGCCGAAGCTCAATCCGGGGACAACAAACAAAAGTCTTTCTTCACAGGTGATGGAATATTATCATAAATATTCACAAAATACAAATTTAGACCAATACTTTTCTTTGCCTGCGTCTAGTACATCGCCAGAGGCCATTAAATATTATTACAGTATATACGAGTTGAATCCCAAACTGAGCGGTAGTAGACAAGACTGTATCGGAGAAGAGTATAATCTACGTTCGTACGGGCCCAAAGAGAGAAGGAGATGGGTAAGGCCCCCTCTTATTGGCCAATCTTCGAGTACAGATTCGTCGACCAGATACGTTCAACCGTTGTCGAATCCCAATTCACTGTCGCCTGATCTAAAACATGTTACTACAGAAACAATTCTGGAAGAGAAGAACGAAAGTCAAGAAACTTTACCAGAAGCCATAGAACGTAAGATCTCTTCTCCAACTTCTAGCATTGCTTCTTACAAGCCGCTCGAATGGGACAGTGGTGCAGACGTTGGTTATTGTAATATATTACCTCACAATAAACAAAGCAACAAAAAATTAAGTACAATTGAACGTATGGCTTTAGCTAGAGGTTGTTCCGCCGCTTTAAGACTTGATCCCGAAGGTACTACAGAGTCTGGGATTACAGGAAACCTTACGATAGCTCAAAGTAACTTTAAAGCACCTGTTACTCCTGTAGCCAGTTCCACGCTTTTGTTAGGAAATGCTTCGGGATCGGAGAGTGAAATTGAAATCACTCCTATCGTGAAAAATCACTTGCCTGGTATAATAGCGGGAAACAATATAAAGTCCAACGAAAGATCTCTTCCTAAAGACTTCAAGCAACAAGATGCTGTTGCGTTGTATATTAAGAAAGAGCACAACCATGACACGCCTAAAACATTGTTTACATATAAGATACCTTTTACGAAGCATTACGTGGCGCGAAAAGCGGCAAGCAAGGAAAATACAAACAAGGAAAACGTATGCCCGCAGACGTCGCATTTGAAGAAGAGCACGTCGATGAACACGTTAGTTATACCGCCCTCTAAATCAATATTGAAAAGAAGTCAGAGTGAATTGAATCTGTACGCCAGGGATAAAAATAGGGCCCCGTTGCCGCTGATTTTTAACTCTTCGTCGTCGATCGCTACTATTGTAAATAAACCTTCTACTTGTGATAAAGTTATACAAACGAGCCTGAACGCTTACAGTCAGGAATCCGTAGGCGTTCAAGTCTCGGTTCTCGAGGAGGAGAAGCCACCGTTACCAAAGAGAGGAACTAGTTTGCAAAAGAGTACGAACCTGATTTTAAAGAACCCAAAAGGTACATACAAAGTTCCAAATTCGAGGCAAAATCAAGAAGCAAGCGATGCTGTATCCAACGAACGCGACAAGGAGACAAAATCGCGACGCAGTGGTTCGGAACCGTCGCAAAACGGGTCCGGGACGCAGACGCCTCAGCCCGACGACGCCGAAAATGTAACGGGCAAGGCGAACAGCTTTGAATATTTTCCAGGGCACGTTTACGAGAACGTTCCGAACGGAAGCGGTAGCCACGTCTCGTCATCGGACACAGGTAGGTCGCAATCCACTCTACCCAATACGAGTTCTAGCATAAACGAGAAGCTATGGGGAGACTCGGACAGCTTGGTGAGGGATCTGGAACGAAGCGTGAACATTCTGAAAAGCCTGGTCGACGCTAACAAATGCGACAAAGAAGTGAAGAAAAGACTGTTGCATCACGTGGTGAAGAGACTTATAACCGCCAAATACACGGACGACAAGATCGAGCACAATCTGGAGGATAACGTTCCGTGGAACCCGGACGACGCCAGGAACAAAGTCTACAGAACGGAGATACTTCAAGCTCTGACCAAGAAGCATACTACCAGCGACTCGTCGGGTGACTGGAACGCGCACAAGGAAACCGTGCGCGGACGAAACCCCGCGGGCAACGCGAGAGCCATCGCGAAAGACATAGCTCTGGAGAGCAGCAGCGACAAGATCGACAAGAACACCGACAGAACGGAGAACGATGGACGGAAAGCGAGGATGGGTCTAAGGTCGGACGATTGTCGTCGAAGCAGCAACACTATCACCGATCCGGACAAGAGCGAAAGCTCCGAGTGCTTTTTCCCCCAAAGAGGCCGCAAAGGCAACAAAGCGCAGAACATATTCTGCGCGAAAGAGAGATGCAAAATGTCGCGGGAAGATTCGACGATGACGAACATCACGCCGCCCGATCACAACAGAATGTTGCTGGACGCGGTGGTTAACAACAGAAGAACCGGGAATGCGCTCTCGAGCAACAGCGCGGCGGAACAAGTTGACTGGCGGCTGCTCACGACGCTGTCCGAGAGACAATTCGAGCTGAAGAAGTGCAACAATTCCGATTCCGGGGACTCGAAGTTGGTCAGCTACGCCGAGATGGAAAAGAGGAATCAACTGATCTGGATCACAAACGAGATCAGCCACTTGTCCAATCTGAAGAAATTGTTGGAGGAACCGCGAAGATTGGAGAGACCGGTGAGGATGTCGCCCAGGAAACCAAGATCTACGAACTTCAAGCCAAAGACGGCGGCGTCTGACGCGCGGGCCCACAGACTGGCCAAGGAAGACGACTTCAATTCCATGGGGGAACCGTGGTCGTCGCACTGCAATCTAGCAACGTGTCAGCCGGACAGCAGAACGAACAGCGCGATACAGCGCGTCAGAAAGCGCAACAGCTGCGCTCAAACGGCGACCAACGTCACCGGTGCTCATTCGAAGACCGGCGGTGAGATCGTGTCCGCGTCGAACCTGCAAAATTCTACGACGAAATTGATAAATACCGGCGTGCAAACGGTACCCCAGGAAGCGTCCGCGATCCCGACCTTGATACAGTCCGAGATCGTGCATTACATCAAGTGTCCGGCGCATAACGCGATGCATTTCCAGAATAGTTGTAAACGCAACGCGGAAGCTAATCAGTGTCCGAAGCATTGTTCCATTCAGAACGTGGTGGCTGCTTGCGTGCACTGTTTGCAGGAACAAAAGGATCAGTCGAACGTGATTAAAATGACGGACCACTTGCGAGAAGGGAGCCCAGTCGATTCGCAAACGCCGTCGGAACGAATCAACGCCGACAGCGCCAGCTCGTCGGAAACGGCTCGACCGTGTACGAGCAAGGAGGTTAGCCAGTTGAAACAGAAGGAGACCAAGAATCAGATAAACGCCTCGAAATCGAGGCACGCTTGCGATTGCAGACGCGAGAACAAAAGGCCGTTGTCCAAAGGATGCCAAACCTGTTCCATTCCGCAGGGGGCGCTGCTGGAGTCCAACAACGCCGCGAAGTGCGAGGAATGTCAGAAAAAGATGTTCCACGCGCGGGAAGATACGAACTCGAAAGGGTGTAGCTGCGCCACCGCGTGCGAGTGCGAAAAAAATCGATGCGTTTCGAGCTTCGATCAAAACGGTCGCGTCGAGCCGTGCGAGTGTCCGACCGATTGTTCCTGCGAAAACAATCGCGAATCGGAAACCCACCACGCGAAAACGTTCTGCAGCTGTCATTCGAATGGCACCAAAGTTCAACAGAACGGTGCACGTCAGTCACGGTCTTACCGCCTGGCCAACGGGCAAGACGGTGAAACTAATCAGTATAAACAGCAAAACAGTCTGAAATGCAACTGCGAGAAAGATTGTTCGTGTAACAACAGAATTGCAAATGGCGGCGAGGAGAAGTTGCACAGCAGAGGCTGCAACAGTCTCGTCAAGCTGAATTACGCGGACGAGACGAGCCAACGTTCCAACGATTCTGATAGGGATTGCAAACATTATCGTCGCTGCGGGGCGGTTTGTCAGAACGCGAAGAAATGTAGCTATTATCAAACGTACCCGAAACCGGTCGCGTACGAATTGTCGTTCGCGAAAGAGGACGAGCGTAAAAACGATGGCTCGGGTGGGTTGTCGAAAGTGCCATTACCGAATCGTACCGTCAATGGAAATAAAACCGATGGCTGTGCCTGTAATATGATAAAAAAGATTAGTTTGAATAAGAGCTCCCCGCAAAAGAACACATTACAGGTAAATATAGTACCGGATGATCGTAGGATCATCCTGCAAATTTCGTGCGAACTAACAAGTGTGTTTAACGATTCAAGGATTACTTGTCCAGAAACAAAGCGGAATTCGTGAGCAACGCAGAGACGCGTCGTCAGTACATGTCGGAGATATCACACCTGCGACAGTTGCGCAAAGAGAAACGAATACAGTTGCTGGCGATGGCTAGTACGTCGAGCGTCGTTAAATCATCGAAGGTGTCTTCTAAACCGACAGGTAAAGGCTCGATGTCGCTCGACACAGTCGTTTCATTTGTTCGTAACGTTCAATTTTTTATTACACGCTTCTCTTCAGTTTACACGCAGAAAAAGGTGAGCGACCAGGATATGAGAGAAAGGCTGAGAAAACGATATCTTCGGTTGAACGAAGTGCGATACAAAAGGCGACAGCAGGAAAAGCAGGAAGAGGCACGTCGTAACAAGCTGATGGCCAAAATCTTTTGTAAAAAGTTACAACAAAAGGTATTGAGAGGCCAAATAGACTTGTCTCAAAGCGTTAGCGTTATATCCAACATGTAATGTTAAAGAGATGTTTGCGTTTTGCGTAATTATAGATAAATTAGCGAATTATGGCCCGACGTTTAGATAAGTCTATAGAGGAACGTACAAACTATTTTGCCTTTTGAATTTTAAGGATCATTAAATACAAAGATCTTATTTTAAAACACCTTTACTGTTCTTTGCGATACTGCATAAATACGCTACTAACATGCGACGTAATGTTTACTATTTTTAATTTAAGACGCGAAAACTAATAATTCTATTACGCATACATGCGGGCGCGTGCACACGAAACGAATCGGTGAAATAGAAAGTTTAACGATCCAAGGGTATCAATCTCCGTAATCTAGTTAAGAATAGAAGTATTACAACTCATTGTTCTACAAGATTTGTGCCTAGAGTCTACGGTATTTATATCAAGTTTAAAGAAATTTGTCTTGCCAAGATATTTTCATACTAAGAATATATATATATATTTAGAAAATGTTGCGACGTACGTTAGATACGACAGCAAGGAACCTTTATTCTTTTGCGAAACGATGAGGAACTTCTTCGTGACACAAACGGCTTCACGTTTTATTGGTAAAATGCTTTCGGAGCTTGTCACGCCGAAGAATCGTTCGATCGAACTAAATCGCACGTTTGTGAGATGCTTTAAAACGACGAAAGTAGTTGTTAGTACCTGAATCACAGTACACAATCCTTTGTTACTCGTAAGACTTAGATAGTATAGTCCCTTAGATTTTTTTAATATTTTACCCTTTTGTATGACGATTATACTCGATTGGTTATTCAGAATAAAGTGGATCTGTGAATCAACCGTTTTCCTGCTCTCTCGCGTCTCGCGTGGCCTCAAATTTTAACTACACGCCACGCTCGGCAGCAATTATGTTAAAAAAAAAAAATCGCAAACTCTGGTTCTTTGCATCAGACTCGTGGTATGCAACGCAACTGATTTCACTTTAAACGTTCGATTTTTTATCTATTGTTCGGTGTCCTTGGTTGCTAAACTTATGGACGTTACTGAGGTATTTGTTGCGCAGGTACAACGTTCGATATAAACAATTAACAGAAACGTTAAAAACTTAGACAAAATGATATAGATCGTCGGTGCAAATAACATTGTCCAGCGCGAATTTGGTTTTGTAATATTCACTATGCGATTCTTGTAGATTGCGCACGTTGCAAACTGTAAAAGTAAGGCAAATTGGTCGCAAAATGAAACCTTTTTTTCATCTCCAAGGTTTCATGTTTGCGTATTTTTCCTAACGTTCGGTGAATTTATCAACAGTTCGCGTTGCAAGACAATGAATAGTTTGACTAAAAAAAAAGACAGTAACCTTGTTCCAGTAAAGTAACACTGAAATAAAAACCTCTCGACGATATTAGCTTGTGTTCTGCGTACTACTAGTTGCTCTATATAAGAACATTCACGGATTTCGAGACAGTCGGGATTTCCTTCGAAAACGTGAATGTGTCTCGTTTGTACAAACATTTCCGCGGGTGTCGTTCACGATACCATACTTTCCAAGTTTTGTCAACGTTTGAATCGCCTGGAAATGATGGCTCCACAGCTGGCGACGGACAATGATTTGAATCAGATTTTGAAAGAAACGTTTACCACAGAATTTCGCAAAGGCTACATCACCGTGAACGGTGTTTGCTTGCCGGAGAGATTCAACAAATTTTCCCAGGCGATCGAGGATTTTGAAGTGAGAGACGACGATGTCTGGGTCTGCAGTTTCCCTAAAACTGGTACACGCTCGTTCGTTTCTTTTTTTAAAAGAAGAATCGACGATACTAATCAATGTAAATCGTGCGGCCAGGTACAACGTGGACTCAGGAAATGATCTGGTGCGTCGCGAATGATTTCGATTTCGAAGGTGCAAAGGTTCTGTTACCTGAAAGATTCCCTTTCTTGGAGTAAGTAAATAGAATGAATTACCTGGATATCTTCAGAAAATGATCATACACGTTTTCTAACAGGCATTCTGTACTCTTCGATTACACCACGATCATGCCTCGTCATCCAGAAGTGAAACTACACCGGTTGGTCTCGGATAGCGTGAACTATGTGAGCAGTCGGATCAGTCCAAGATTCATCAAGACTCATTTGCCTTTTCATTTACTTCCACGTCAGCTTCGAACAGGCAAAAGGAAACCGCGTATCGTCTACGTTGCCAGGAATCCAAAAGACACCTGCGTTTCATATTATCATCATTGCAGACTGATGGAAGGTTATCGCGGCGACTTTAACACTTTTTGTCGTCTATTTTTGGGTGAAAAACGTATCTAAACGTACATGCGATAATTACACGCAATAATTTACCCTCCGATGTCAGATAATATGCTCGTTTTTTTCCTAGTGTGCTTCACTCCATTTTGGGACCATATTCTTCAGTTTTGGAACAGAAGAGAGGATAGCAACATTTTATTTTTGAAGTACGAAGACTTGAAGTCCGTGAGTATATGGAGATCACAAGGATCGTTGGTTCGATGATTTAAAAATATTTTTTTTTTTTATTCTAGGACTTGTCCACGGTGATCCAAAAGTCGGCGACGTTTCTCAACAAAACCATGTCCAACGATCAAGTGAAAGCGCTGTTGGAACATCTCAGCTTTAACAATATGAAATCCAATCCGGCAGTGAACTACGAGGATGCCGTTGAAACGAACAAGAAACTGAAATTGATCGACGTCGACGGCGACTTCATTAGAAGCGGAAAAGTGAATCAGTGGCAGGGAGAGATGCCCGAAAGTATAATCGAGCGATTCGATGAGCTGACGAGGGAAAAATTGGCTACGAGAAACTTTTTCTTCTGAACCGTGTTGTATAATAAAGATTGAATTATAATATCCGTGATTTCTGTTCGAGGCACCGCAGAACGTTCGGCATGCAAGTTCTGCACAAATCGCCGACAGAAGCTTTCGTCGAAGGCGTGACGACGTTCGCATCGCATCCCCTTTCGATCAAAACGACCACTGGGTCCCTTTTCCTCGAGAAAATTGCTATCTGGAGAGCAGTGAAACCTGCGTTGTCGCGTGCATCGATCGCAGCGCCACGGTCCAGCAAAAGCGACACGATATCCAAATTCGAAAGGTACACTGAGCAAACGAGGTCTTCGTGAGAATCGAGCGTATCATTTTTCCCATAATTTTACTTACCCGATATCATGAGCGGCGTTCGTCCTTGAAAATTCTGCTGATTTACGGAAGCGCCGTGGTCTAACAAAAATGTTACGTTTTGCAATCGCTCTCCGACGATGGCGTACGAGAGACAAGTCCAGCCTCTGCTACAAGTTAACATTTTTTAAACTGAAAATCGATCTAAATCCTTAGTTAAAACGTTTACGCCTTACGTGTCCGTTTTTTGGAGATCCGCTCCCTTCTTCAACAGCGTCTGCAATATCTCCGTGTTTCTCGAAACGAACGCAGCATACATGAGAGCCGTTCTCCTGCAAGGCTGCGCGATCGTATCGTCCAAAGTAGTCGAGTTCTTTTCCAACAAGAGCGACAAAATTTGCGGATCGCCGCGATCGATGGCCGCCGTCAGAGGCGTTTTCAAACTTGGCGTCGGGTAATTCAAATCTAACGATTGACTGGAATTTCGACGATGAACGTTAACGGTACCGGAACCCTTATAAACAAGTACTCACTTCTTCGCGAGGAAGTCTTTGATTCGTTTGAAGTTGGCGAACCTAAGGAGCCACATGAATCGTTCCTCGGGCGAGTCTGAGAAAAATAATTTAATTAGAAAACGCGTTTGGATATAATCTTTCGATACACGTAATATTTTTACCGTTTCGTTCGCAATTAAATATTGTTCCCGACATAGGCGATACGATAACGAAGTATAAATGTTTGAACTGGCTACGGAGTCGGTTCTGAATCGATCAAACATCGCGTTGCCTCCGAGCATTTCATAATAATTTACAAGAACAGTATATATATATATATATATCGACGATTTGTTTGCATCATTGTATCGTTTGAAAATTTAATATGTCTTCAAAATTGATTTCCTTTTTCAAACAGATACTCGGAAATAAATGAGACATCCTCCGCGAGCGGTGCTCTTCTTGCTCCTTCGTCCACTCCTCTATTTTCCTTCTCCAGCGCGCATTCCATGTTAGCGACCACCGGAAGGACGAAAGTCCGATGACTCGTAAACTGGTGCGTGGACATTGAATCACACCGAGTCGAGCTCACCTCCGGGACACGCACACTTTCTCTTCGAGGCGGGAACACGTGCCAAGGTGGCCGGAGAGCGGTATACTAACCGTTTGGACAGCCCAAGTCTACTTTCTAGAGACAGAGAAGTGTTCGGAGCAAGTCTGTATCGCGTCCATTGCAGCGCGTACCTGTTGCTTTTTTCAACGAGGCTTTGTCTCGGCGTGTCTCGAACGAACATTGGAGTATCGTGCGTCCTGCGACGAACGGAACCGTTTCGAAACAATTTCGCAAGCGTTCCCGACGACCGAAGGAAGATGAAGCGATGGCAGATGTTACTAGGAGGTGGATAACGCGTGTTCTCGTGACAGTTTTGGCATGCTTTCTGTTCTCTGACCACGGTAAGTTTTTACGGGAGTATTCGACCCACGAGAAAGTATCGTGCAATGTTCCTTTACACGCATCAGGAGCTATCGCGGCTAGTTTCTAGCTTTTTATAAATCATCGAATGCATCGATATTGCATTTAATTTACAACAATATATTTAACAGACGTACGATCGAATATGTAGACGTTTCGGTGATTCAGTTATTCGGCCGTCAACGACAGAACGGTACATTCGTCCGCGTAGAATGAAACGGGAATTCTACGCAGGAATGCAGTTAGAATGCAGGAACGGTGATATCTGGTTCTCGCGCTCAGTCTCGTTTTTTTTCCTTTTCTGATCGTGATACGGAACAAAGAACTCTTGACTCGACCACGGCCGTAGCCGGATTCGATAATCTCTAACAACACAAAAATACAAATAAATCACGATGATCGACAGCCACCGCCGAGCAGGACGACGAAGAGTACAAAGGCAAGTACCTGGGAAAGCTGAACGCGTATCATCATCAAGTTTCCGGCGACGTTTACGTGGTCGACGAGTACACGTTGCTGCTGACGTCCTTCAGCTACGATGGCAACGGGGCCGACACCTTCTTCTGGGCTGGCGGGTCCAATCGACCGGGTCCACAGGGTTTCATTGTTCCGGACGAGTGGGGCAAGTCAGTTCGCTTCAGTGTAATAGCAGAGAACAAGCTCTTCAATTCTCGTAGACTAAAAAATATATCTCTGTTCCAGAACGAACATTCTCGATCGGTATTTCAACAAAGACTTCACTCTCACGTTACCGGACAACAAGAAAGTAACGGACATCAAATGGTTCGCTGTTTACGACCTGGGAAGTCAGGTACCGCGTAACGATACTTTTGTTTCTTTTTAACTTTTTGATATGGAACTTTTTGAAAGTTTATCGTTCGTTCGTTACAGAATACGTTCGGCGACGTGTACATTCCCGAGGAGTTTGACCCGCCCACGCCTCAGAAGATCTCGCAATTAACGAAACGATCGCACGGTGTATCCTCCGGGTCTATCGTGATCGTGGACTCGAAGACATTAAAAATACCAGAATTCACGTACGATGGCCAGGGAACGGACACGTACTTTTGGGTGGGACTTGGTCCGCAGCCTTCCAGCAAAGGAATGAAAGTTCCCGACGAATATGGCTAGTGAGTACAAAGTAAACCTAAAAAATTGAATCACGTTGAAGTTTACAAGAGTCAACGAATTTCTTTTCGTCAGCCTGGATCCGATTCGCGCGTACGAGGGAGAAGATATACTCATCCAACTGCCAGGAGACATGACCGTTTTCAACATCGATTGGTTGAGCGTGTTTGACGTGAAAAGTAAATCGAATTACGGTTCCGTGATCATTTCGGACGGTCTGAACGTGCCGCCTTCCCTCGTAAAAGTAACAAATCGTTTCGATCTCTTATTATCGCTTACACGGTTAGAACCGGAAGCACTATTGTATAAATAAATCAAAGTACAGGTGATCAAGCACACGCAGACTCTGCCGAATTGCATCCAGCTCCATAAAAAGTTCCAAATCAGCTGGGAGATCTTTGGTCCTCAGATCACTGTCCAGCTAGCTGGTCAAGTCGGTGAGTGTAATCCGGTGTTTCGTTTTCCTTTTTAACGTCGCTGTTAACGTTACACGATAAAACGATTTTCAGACGAAGACGACTATATGTCGTTCGGTCTGTCCGGCTCGGAAACGTCCAGTCAGATGGAAGGTGCGGACGTTGTGGTAGCTTACATGGATGGGACCAGAGGCTACGCGCGAGATTACAACGTCACCGCGAAAGCACCGGTATATAAATACAAATAACGTTTAATAAAAGCTTGTAGCTCGCATAATTCTTCCCTTGGTTCACGAACAGTGTGGAAAAGTTCTGGGTCAGTACAGAGGAGTCTGCAGGGACGAACTGTTCGGTAGTTTAGACAACAATCAATTGTACACCGCTGTAAGAGAAGATGGGATCAACGTTATCACCTACAGACGCACGCTCAACTCGTGTAAGTGAGTTGTATCGCGTGTATGCGAATTGTATTGAGTATTTTATATTCACAGCCGATCCAGGAGACAAAGAGTATCCCACGGATCGACCAGTTTACGTGATATGGTCTTTAGGCAGATTGGATAAAAATAAAGAACCAACCTTTCACGACGTGTATCCCAAAAGCAACTTGAAGATAGAATTGGTCCGTCAGGAACCAGAGAACACGTGCATGGACTTCACGGAGAATAATCAAAAGTTGATGTGAGCAACGGAAGCAACGATTTTTAATCTAACTACATTGATATTCCTTCGTTCTATGTGATATTTATTTGGCAGAGAACCTTGGGAGAAGGCGGAAATATTTGACAGAAGTATCCGGACGTTCAAGGCCACGATTGGTCCGGCTGGAGGGAAAAAGGGTTATCAAGGGATGACTGGTACTGCAACGATGATAGAATAGATTAATCGGTGATGTAAATAGCATAATAGTATGTAAATAGAATCCTACATTTCGTAGGACAAACGTCCACGGGTTTGGCATGGTACATCCAGGGTCAACTCGTGCCAGAATTATACCTTCGTCGAGGATTAACTTACAATTTCCACGTTCACGGTGGGAACAATCCTCACAGCCCAAACTTGTATCATCCGTTGATTATAACCGACGAGCCACACGGTGGATACGACAGGCTCAGCGATGCTGCACAGAGTAGAGTCAGAGTGCTCGCCGGTGTAGAATTCACCAGACGAGGTCAACCAAGACCAACCGCAGGTTCGTAGAACAGCCTATCGAATCGTGATACGTTTAAATGAAAGAGTAATTACTATTAAATCGAGCGACGTTTACAGTTGGTCCGCTTTGCCTGAGTAAACACAGTGGACGAGATAGAAGATTGGACGATGACTTTCCAACGTTTAAACATTTCAACAGAACGCTGACGTATGTGTGCGAACCAGGCAAGTGGATTACCTTGTTAAAAATTTTCAAATCTGTTCACAATGTTCAATCGTTACAATTGTTTTAACAGGGGAAGGCGGAGTCTTGGAAGTTACACCGAACTCTACGTGGCCGGACATTGTTTATTATAATTCGTTTACTCACGCGAATATGGGCTGGAAGATACACGTGGTGGATGCATACTTGAGGAACGACGCTGTCACGCGAAACTTGTCGTTCCTCGCGGGACTAATGGCTGTGTTTTTTCGTTTGTTACAAAATTAGATATAAGTTAACGCGATTAGTCGCTCTTCCTCGCTTTGTGAATATAAACTGACTGAGAAAAAAAAAGAGTTTAATCACGATAACGTAGAGTATTTAATTCCTTGAGAACCCGATCGAAAACGAAGAGTAATTAAATGTTAACATCATTAAATATCCATGAACGAAACTATTGGATACTGTCTGCATGAGATTACAAAATTATTCCATTTTTTTTATTTGATAATGACACTTTTAAATGTTGAACAATACTCATGAATGTGCATTTTTTTAATTAAAAAGAAAAAGTACTAATATCTTCCGTTTAATAGTTCGTTTTTATAGCACCCTGAAAATCCAGACAATTTTAGCTAGTTAACTGTAGTACATCTCCTTAATTTCATTCATCCCATAAATGAATTTAGTTCTCAAATATGAATTATATAAGGCTGTGTGTTATTAAAGCCTTATATAATTCATAAAGTTTACTTTGTTTATTTCATTTGAGATAGATATTAGAGATTGTCCTGCAACATCTGGTATGTCTAAGAATGCTCCATAGTTTAATAACAATTTTATCAAATCTGCTAACCGAGAAATAATAAGACTTTATATTCTTTATAATTGTGTGATGAAATTAAATTTAAATAATTAATATTTTACACGTTCCATATTTATTATTTAGAGATTTTTACCTAAGACTAATGCCAAAATATATAGGATTGTTGCTAGTACCAATTAAACAGACTCAAAAGCTTATCTTTAAATACTGTGGCATTAGAACTTTATTTAATTAGTTCCCAATCTAGATTTTGTCATTTCTATTAGTAAATAAATAAGATGTATCGTACATTTCATGATTTCTAGGTAATTATTTTGATGTAATGTATGGACTGGCTGTATGTGCAGAGAAATAAACATATTAAGAGTTCAATTACACAATTATACAAGTTCTGTTGACATCAGCCCTATGAAACATCAAACATTTATCTAGAAGTTGACCAGAAACTGTTGCATACCATAATAGAATAACATAATGTATAGATTGACATTATTGATCTCATATTTTTTGAGATCCAAAGAAAAAATCTAAATAGTATATTCATGTTGTGTCTCATTGTTGATAAATATATTTCCTAAATTATGACACCCTTCTTGGGAGAAGATTTATACCTTTGTATCTTTTTTCCAAACAAAACAAAAGAATTAAGTTGGTTAATTTTGATGCTTAGAAAATAAATTAAATTAGTAGCTCTTCTTCACAGGGTATTATAATCAGAAAGATTCTGACGTGTATGCGAAAGGTGTTGAAGAGAAAAACATTGTAAAAATGAAATTCGTTACCATTGAAATGACGAATGAGACGCAAACAACGCACAATGTATACCATAACCAGGGGATTCGTAAGAATTGGCCAGAACGGTTCGAGTGTCGCGTGTTTAAACTGTAAAAAGGCAAACTTTCTTATGGCATAAATGTTGGTCGATCAAAAATTAATACGAACGGAAGAAAACAATCGATGAACCATATTATTGGAATTGAAGTTGTTACGTGACGTGCCTACTGGCGCACGTGCGAACAAAGTTTGATTTTAAATTTCGAATTACGTCCTTACAACCTATCATAGAAGATTTCGTTCCGAATTCGAAGGAATAACGGTAAAATGATGTCGTATAAGTCCGTTACGTGATTTCTATTGATGTGAGTATCGAATTGGTTTCTTTCTTGGATAGAACGCATCAACTTTCTCCGAAAGTGAAATCTCACCGAACGAGAAAGTTAATAACATTGAGATATTATAATTTGTAAACGTATGACAAACATTTCGTGATTGTTACCACACTTATGAATTGCGTACCATGAATCATAGGCGATCGAAACATTTAACTTTTCTAATAGGTTCCGTTAGAAACTGGGATAAATTTTAATAAATCCTGAATTACGTAGATTACGTTGTTCGAACTATTCAAAAAGAAATAACTGTATACGGTGATGGAATGCTGTAAGCTTTCTTCGTTTGGAAAGTTGCTCAATTTAACCCAAATCTAATCCAGACTAGAGAACAAAATCCATCTCATAATTTCTCGTATTAGCTTGTATGTATAAAAGATGTTTTGGTTATACTAGAGCGAGCTAAATCGGTGTTAGTTGATTCTTTCGTAATGTACATGTGCATACATGTACATCGAACGATGTACGTGAATAAAACGTTATAAATGTGTGTGTACGTTTACACGGTAGGATTCAGGAACTGAAAGTTGCTTTGACTAAAAAAGGAAAAAGTGTTGAATTGTGTTCGTGGCGAAGAGACGAGATTAAGTTCGTGGACATCATTTGGTCGCAGGCTATAGCCGCATCAGCATCTCATCCGGACGCTGAGAATCTTCGAACATTAAGTGAGTGATCATTTAACAGAATCGTACGAATGCATGCAAAACTGTTACGCTCGTTCTCACGCGTGTAAATAATAATTATTCGCAGTGGATAAAAAACCAATTAGTTTCGCTACCATCGAGGGCGATGTGGGGGCAAGACTGGACAAGATGTTCGGCGTGAAATCCAGTTTCTTGAGGGTGGAACCGAGCCATTGTATATTGCCACCCCATTTCGTCTTCTACGGATCGAGGATACGGGACATGGAGATTTACGAGGACGACGTGTGGATGGTTTCGTATCCGAGGACTGGTAAATTCCATTGTTTTCCGCTTTTACGTATTCTCGAATATTTATTTTTGTTCACGGATCGTAGGTAGCCATTGGGCGCAGGAGATGGTATGGTGCATCGGGAACGATTTCGATTTCGAAAACGCGCGAACTTTACTGGTCGTACGTAATCCGTTGCTCGAGTGAGTTTCCATTTAACAATTACAAGTAAACATTTCTAAAGAAAAAAAACATTTTTTTAATCGTGAAACGTTGCTCAGGGCCTCGAGTCTGATAGTCTCGGGTAATTATGTCGAATGGTTCGCGAAGCTGGGCGATTCGGTCGAGAACGTTGCAAAGATGCCACGAACAAGATATGTCAAGTCTCATCTCCCTTTGGACTTGTTGCCGCAGCAAATCCACCAAAAGAAACCAAAAGTACGATCGCACCAATAAACTATACAGGGTGTTCCAAAATAAGACGGAAATCAAGAATAGCAATTTGTCGATCGAGGCTTCGTTAAAAAGTTATTAACGTTTGAAGTTCCCGCTGTAGAACGGCAATCTGCAAACTACGTGCGCGCAACAGGTTGACGCAGGTCAGTCCTAGTGGTTCTCATTCACAAAACTGTAAGACTCTCGATACGTCTCATGCTGCGTGAGAACCACTATCGAATGCACACCAGCTTTAACTTTAACTTTAAACGTTAATAACTTTTTAACGAAGTCTCGATCAACGAATTGGTATTCTTAATTTTCGTCTTATTTTGGCCTCTGGAATCTCCCATTAAAATTTTTCCCAAGAGAAAGTATCTTCTTCACAGGTCATCTACGTCGCTAGGAATCCAAAGGACACTTGTGTCAGCTTTTATCATTTCTGTAGGATGTTCCACAATAGCAAGGGTAGCTTCGAGGATTTTGCTGAATTGTTCCTCGAGGACAGTGGTGCGTATAAAATTGCGCGTTACATTATGTTTCTTTAGTTTTTTAACGTTATTTTCGTTTAAGTACCGATGTGCCCGTTTTGGAATCACGTGCTACAGTTTTGGGCGATGAGAAACAACGATAACGTACTGTTTCTAACTTACGAGGAAATGAAAAAGGTAAAGTAGAGAATTCCGTGGAATTTCGTTGTCTGAGATGTTTTATATAATCGACGATATTTGTCAGAATCAAACGGCGGTGATCAAGAGAACGGCGAAATTCTTAGGGAAAAACGTGACGGACGAGCAAATCACCGATCTCAGCGAACACCTGAAATTCTCAAAAATGGCGGCAAATCCTGCCATAAACTTGCAGCACATTTTGCCGAATAAAAATGTTCCGGAGGACGAGAAGTTTATAAGGAAAGGTAAAGTCGGTGATTGGAGGAATTATATGTCCGAGGAATTGTCACAAAGGTTCGACGAGTGGACCGAGAAACATCTACTTAACAGTGGTTGTGACTTTGACAGAGAGATAATCTCTTACGATGAAAAAAAATCCGTCAATTAAAGTGTATATAACTATTGACAATAGACTTTGCACGGGGTCCATATGTAAGATAGTTACCACATTAGTCATTATCAATCTATTACAAATGTATTATTAAACTTGTACGTGTACACGCGTTCTTATTGTATATACGTGTCTTTGTTAAAAAAAAAATATATTAGAAGGGTGACAAGGTGAATCCATAACGTATCCTCAGTGACTGCGAATTAGCGCTACTTATTTCTTTATTAAGGCTATTGGTTGGACACGTTCCTATATAGTATAAGACCGGTTTTCTATTAATGACCAATGATCCTTAGTCATTTAGTTTCCTATGTAGAATTCTAGATAATCCGAGATTATCTGTAGAATGAAACTGTGTTTAGATTATCTGCAGGAGTTTCTACGTCGCGAATCTACTTGTTCATGAGTACCAGGTTCGAGGTTCGCGCCGAATTTTTCGCATTCAACGTTTCCACGCGCGCGACGTCGTTGTATGTCAAGTAAAGATGGCGTTGAGTTGTGTTGTGTCAGGTGTTTAAAGTTCCTTTAAAATCCCGTTGGAATCTGACGTTCCACACGGCCGTGACACTTTGCTCTGTTATTTGCACTGCTCTTGGCCTTATCGAAGATCATTGAGTGAAAAAAAGAAGCACTGGTGTCAGGAGTCACGTGTAATATCGCTCGCTAGTAGCATTTCTGGGCTTAACCTTAACTTTCCCAAAGCTAAATGATTCTTTTTCGGATAGCCATAAAATTTCGAAGAATCAACGTCGATGCTGTCTAGTTCGTTAAAGAAAAGATCGTGAATTTTTATCGATCGATCCAGATTCACTATCAACAACGATCGTTCGCGTCGTATAACAAAAGGGACGACCCACACAAAGTTTCATGAATTCCGTTTTCGAACACCGTCCTTCCGAGTTTCGTTCATAAATTCGTAAAACATCGTTCACAAGGTGTCGAATATATTGGATTGAATGCTGGTGAAATTCACACCTGGGTGAAATGCCTAAAATAAAAACCAGGCAACCAAACAGTTTGTGGTTAAGGCAACGCGAATTAGGCATAAAGTTCCCTCTGGGACATGCAGATCGCTTTCACAAAACTCTTTATTCCTCGATTCAGCCTGTTGCTTCGTGGGATCATGCATTGTCTACCGATCCTCACGGAGGAGTTTTTAACCTAGAATACTCACCCGATGGGTTAGTTCGTATAAGTTGCATGTTCTTTGATTCGATTTGAATATTATACCGTTACTAACACGTGTATTTTTGTTGTTTTGCAGTTCCCTACTGTTAGCAGCATGCGAGAGGAAGACCATTTTAATGTTCGATCCTTTGACAAGGAGATTGATCCAGGCGATAGAAAATGCTCACAATGATTGTGTCAATTGTGTCAGGTATGTATAAAGTATTTACAAACAGCATTTTATTAATATTTAATTCTAATTTTCTTCTGCGATAGATTCTTGGATCAAAGTATATTCGCAACGTGTTCGGACGACAGTACAGTTGCTCTCTGGGATGCTAGAAATTTAAAGCATAGAATGAGAAAACTTTATGGACACTCAAATTGGGTTAAAAATATAGAGTACAGTCCTAAAGAGAGTTTATTACTTACGAGCGGATTCGACGGTAGCATATACACTTGGGACCTTAATACTTTTACTGAAAATAGTATTTTATCTAATCGTGTGTTTCATACGAATGGACTGATGCGAACTAGATTAAACCCGGATGCTAGCAAGATGTTAATGAGTACCACTTCTGGTTACCTCATCATTATACACAATCTTAAATTAAGAACATTATCTCAAGACTTAGCAGGATTTAGAGTGCGTTCAGTTTTCGAGTTAAACGATTTACGTTTCTTCATACGCGTCGCGTGAAATAACAGTTGAATTTTATTCCAGCCAAATATGTACCGATTGATGCAATCGTCCCAGACTACAATACCAAATTTGGAGAATTTCACGCATCTCTTTTCCCATTCTCGTATATACAATAGAGTAGAATTTGTAACAGATTTCCCTGTTGGCGACAATGCAGACATAATATCGAGTTTGCAAGTGCATCCTCAGGGTTGGTGCGCTTTGTCTAGAAACGTTAGCAACGGGGAAGAGTCTGAGGTTAGTTTAAATGTGATCACTGACGCGATACGTTCTGTTCCTTGTATGTTTTTCTCAATGTGTCTTGATTACTCGTTACAGTGGACCTGTGTGCACGATATACAAGAGCGTGACGTGTCCGGTTCAGAGGACGAGACAAAAGAAGGGGAAGAAATGACGACCCAGTTCGACGATGTGATCGTCCACGGATTTGAAGATTTTCAACAACCGCAACCCTCACGATCAGGTATAACATCCCCGTCCTTAATAGAAAGTTCGAATCGTGTCAGGGTAGTTCACACCATGTCTGACGGGAGATCAAATTCGCTCGGATCGTCGGATAACGGGCAAGCTACCAGGCCATCGAGAACCGGTTGGCAATCGACGTTTCGCAGAGCGTCGCTGTCGCAATCGAGGAACTCCCGTTCGGATAGAAACGCGACAAGAGCGGGTCTCGGCGCAGTCGAGATCAGTTCGAGTTCCGGGTCATCCAACTCTCGAGTGAGCGCGGACAGGGACGATGCCAGGCAAGAGGACGTCCATTATGTCAGCGAGAACGAAAACATGCTCGACGACAGGTCTCCGAGACCGCACTCTCATCTCAACTACTTAAGGCAGAGTAATAGGATCGATAACTTCTCCACGGGTAACATAGAGTTGCACGTGAGCACGACGGACATCTGGGAAGCGCACGTGGCGATCAGGGAGGCTAGGCTCAGAAGGGAAAGGGATTGGCTTTATAGATCGAGCAACAATACAGTGGTCATTATCGGTGACAGGACCAGGGTTCAAAATCAGAACAGACAGGTCCAGCAAACGATGTACGCAATCCCAAGGAATCCTATGATTCACCAAAATACGCCTAGGTTAACGCATTACATAGAGGAGCCGAACGTGGGCCCTGGTTACATAAAAGAATTGTGTTTCTCCGCCGATGGTCGATTGATATGTTCGCCGTTCGGGTACGGTGTACGATTGTTGGCGTTTTCCAGCGACTGTTCGGAATTGTCAAATTGTGTACCTCCCTTTAACGAGTCCGTGCAGCTGCACGAGCTGGCGACAAACGTCAGCCACTCGGGAATCGTGGTCAGTACGAAATTTTCTCCAAGGCATTGTTTACTCGTGTCCGGCTGCCTTAGGGGAAAGATAGTTTGGCACGAGCCAGTAATTTAGAAACATCGATTCGATTTTGCGATATAGAGTCCTCTTTTCAGGACACAAGTCCTCTATGATATATTGTATATACATGTATGTATACATACATATATTTGCCGTTTTTGTTTTCGTTTCTTTTTTTTTTCTTTTTTTTTTTTTAAATAAGATCGATAGCGTGCAGTTAAAGTTTTTCCTAAGTATATACTTTTTGATAAATCTTGTGTCTTTTGTAGCATATCTTGTTGAAAGTATGATTCATCAGGAATCCGATATTTTATATGTATAATAAGCTAGATCTTTTCGTCGAAGTATCGTACGGCCACGGGTCGATATTTTTACTCGAGGTACAAAAGAAATACGGTGAAACCAAACCTAGAAATAATTTTTTCAGAATTATGTTTCAGTAGCGATTAAAACCACCAACGATCATGAAGCTATTTTAAGTACCATTTAACGAGAAGATTATTTATCTTGCATGTTTCAAGCTGCGATCGCGGAAGAATAAGATTTTTTTTTTTTTTACGAAGGTTAGAAGGTATTCGACAACAATTTTATGGCAGAGTACTTCTTTTTTTGTATCACTATGGAGCACAATGAGCAAACAGTTATTTTAACCTGTATCTCGGAAACATTCCTACAACAGAATTGTAAATACTTTCGTGGAACGATCGTGCTGTTGTTTGCGAATCTGGAATCATAATATTTCGTACAACCTACATATGCAGCTGAGACTAACTCGCTTCCATTTGTCTTCAGTTAGTTCTTTCGACCGATTACGCTTTATTTTGCAAAGTTTCGACCAACGATCGTAAAGAAGTAGATTTAAGAAAAGGAGTAACAATAGTTCAAAGTCGTTCTCCGTTCGTATCATTTCTATGACTAAATAACGAACGATGAAACGATCCTTAAAAAAAAAGAAAAAGTAAACCTCGTCGAAGAACGTATCCTTGGGCGTAATCGTTAGTATTAAATGTATTAGCCGCGTAATCGCGTGACTAGTTGTAAGCACGATGATAATTCAACGTAATCCTATTCGCATTGTTGACTTGCCGTTAATCGATGCGACTCGAAACTTTGCTGGCAATAAATCGTTTCGGTGACACGAATCTCGAACATGGAAAAGAGCAAGGAACATGGTAAGAAACAATGTACAGACGTTTTTAATTCGAGCAACAAAAATACCGTTGCATATAGGGTCGATAGATTCAATGCAAATAGAAGAGAATAATCGTTAGGAGGAAAACGAGCAGCGATTGTATTATTCGAGTATTTCGTTTCTTTTCTTCCTGATAGTCATTCGCGGACCCAAGACATGTCGGTCGTTCGAGGAAATTCATAAACGTTAAGGGCGGGAACAAATCCTATAACATATGTAAATATATCGTCGACTTAGATACGTGTAATAACAAAAAAATACGACGACGTCCGCGTTTAGTAAGGATGCCATCTACTTTCTGGCGGGAAGAATGAGTCCATGAGTGAAGGTTGTGAAAGATTTGGGATGTCGTGCGATTGTTTATTGAAATGGTTTCAAATTATTTTTCGATCGAATGTTCAAACGTCATACCGTTCCTATCGCGAGGAAAACCGGGCTACTTACAAATCGAAACCATCAACGTTCATAACGCGAACTTTTTTAACGATCTTAAACGGTGTAAATTTCGTCGCGTACCGTCGATAGGTTAGAATTACGAACGGTGCGTCGATCGCGAACACAAATGCGGATTCGTCAGCGTCTTCCTATTTAATCGTGGAACGTGCGATTGTTCAACCGATATCAGATTTATCCTTGATCACCGCCACTTCTAGTTGACAATTTTCTTTTTTTTTTTTTCGAAGTAATTAGCGACCATCTGATCGTCGCACGTACGCTCTTATATTATCACTATACGATCGTGTACAGTAGTTAGTGTGCTGATTGTTTTGTAAGATTTCTTTGTTTCTTTTTTTCTATACAATAAACTATTGCTTAACGTCCGACGTTTTGCCTCCGCATTGAATTTCCCTATTGTCGTCGGCGATCGTTTAATGCATTTTCTGCGGGTATTTACGCGTAGTTGACAAGGAAATTGACACTTACGTCGAGAACGGTCGCGCATGTTATACAAGTTAGTCACGATTCCCCTTTGTTTCAACAAGGAACTGCATCGCGCCATTTCTGGGATTTCTTTCGTCGTAGTTGCCTATTAGCCACAATTATCTTTGATCAGGGAATAACTGTTGGGTGATATCGCGTGTCTGACGAACTTTTCTTGTACGATAAAGGGTTAATAACTCGTTAATAAATAGCTACAATATGCTCAATGCTCAATATCAGTCGATCTTTTGTTTTATTTAACTTTTTCATCGATCATAGAGTATAATAGAACTGTCGTGATATGCGGTCTTTAACCATTTTGTATACGTATATATATATATATATAGGAAGCATCAGCGCACTGATTTCTGTACATATATAGAAATCAGTGGCTTTAAATAAACATACGCACACCTCCTTGTATCTTCATGCATTGACTCACCTTCGTCGACTACGTTTTATCTAGCGGGTTGTAATCTTAACGTTGATCTCCAGCAGATGGCGCTTCGATGGCACGATAATTTTCTCCCAAAATACGTTTATGCATAGGGTTTTTTTAATTTCGAAATACCTCTTTGCGGTCGTCAGAGTAATAATCGTTAATGTATTCAACGAGTGACGAATTGAGGAACGATTTGAACAAAAACTTTGTCATATTTAGAAAAACGAATATTTTTGTAAACGTATCTCACGTCGCCAATTGTAAACAAATTTGACAATTTCCAATTTACACGGAAAGAAAGATATATTTGCAGAAGATTCATAAAATCAAGTTTTCTCTATGAGTAAACTCTGTTAAATGTCGTAATTTTAATATTTAACGTGAAAATAATGTTTCGTGAATTTACCACTCGACACGTTTATTCGAGACACTCGAATACCGACAGATGGCGACACAAATTCCGATTTTCGTAACGTTTCACTTTGTGTAGCATTCTTTTAATCACAGAAGCTGTTCTCTTTTTACTCGCAAAGAATTTTACATTTCAACCGATTTCTACGATGGAACGGAAGTTTTGTGATATAAGCGAGGCACATCGTTCTAGATTATTAAAGACAGATAGAGGCAGATCGTCAACGAAACGGTCGTTCGATCAGAGTGCAGAATTGAAGTGTAATTTACGATTATAATCCAACGTGAAACGCGCGTGTGGCTAATTATCGAAGATAAAAAAGCAGTTTATGTAATTGCGTCTCGTAATTACAGGCCGATACCGAGCGGATGATTCGATAACCTCATCGGCCGGTTTTAGTAATGTTAAGAATTTTTGCCCGGTCGAATTGCGGTTGAAATCGGAGCGGCTCGCATTCCAAGATGGTTTCAGTGGAACAGCGATGTGCGACCAGTGATATTAGCGATAATAAGAAGAGCAAAAAAAAGAAGAGATTTTACTCGTGGCTCTTAAAAGGGAACGAGATCAAGGACCGAAGACACACACCTTCCGGCTGTTGATTGACACCGATTTATTTTACTTAGCCTCTCGTTCATGTTTCTGGAAATTCAATAGCTGGAGCAATCGCGGATTAATTCTTTAGCAGGTAGTTTAGTTTTTAATATCTCAAATTACGGTTTGTTGATTCAATGTCTAATGCATACAGTTTAATTATTATCGATTTTTACGAATGGATTATTGTAAAATTCTGATCATAAATTTGCTTTTTAATTCTTTTTTTTGCTCTTTTAATCTGTGATCATAAAACGTGAAACTAACTTTGAGGTTATAATATTTCGAGTAATTTTCAAATATTTAATATTTTTTTTGTCCTATTGAATTTTAATCATAATAATATACAGGGTGTTCGGCCACACCTGGGAGAAATTTTAATGGGGTATTCTAGAGATCAAAATACGACGAAAATCAAGAATACCAATTTCTTGATGGAGACTTCGTTAAAAAGGTATTAACTCAGGATTTTGGGGGTATGTCTATTCACCAAAAATGATTGTAATTGACCCCCGCAACCGAAAATAATTTTTTTAGAACGATTTGAAAGATTTTTTTTTTCGAAAAATTTCTGCACCTACCCGATTTTTTTTCTCGAAAATGGGTAGGATTTCGGAGGTATGTGTATTCACCAAAAATGACTGTAATTGACCCCCGCAACCGAAAATAATTTTTTTAGAACGATTTGAAAAATTACATTTTTCGAAAAATTTCTGCACCTACCCGATTTTTTTTCTCGAAAGTGGGTAGAATTTCGGAGGTATGTGTATTCACCAAAAATGATTGTAATTGACCCCCGCAACCGAAAATAATTTTTTTAGAACGATTTGAAAAATTTTTTTTTTCGACAAATTTCTACACCTACCCGATTTTTTTTCTCGAAAATGGGTAGGAATTCGGAGGTATATGTATTCACCAAAAATGATTGTAATTGACCCCCGCAACCGAAAATAATTTTTTTAGAACGATTTGAAAAATTACATTTTTCGAAAAATTTCTGCACCTATTCGATTTTTTTTCTCGAAAGTGGGTAGGATTTCGGAGGTATGTGTATTCACCAAAAATGACTGTAATTGACCCCCGCAACCGAAAATAATTTTTCTAGAACGATTTGAAATTTTTTAATTTAATTGTTAATAACTTTTTAACGAGGCCTCAGTCAAGAAACTGATATTCTTTATTTTCGTCTTATTTTGGTCTCTAGAATCTCCCATTAAAATTTTTCCCAGTATAGTATTTTTGCAAATATTTTCTTTTAATGTTTATCCCGTTTGCGTCGATGTTATAATTTCGTCATTAACGAGAGTTTGCACGCCATCTAACGTCAGTAGTTGTAACTTCGGCATAAATCGGAACCGTGTAAACGTAGTCATTAAGTGCTTCTATAACTTCGGATAATCGTCGTGCTGGTCCGAACCGCGTATCGATTGCTATCGATATATCCTCCGACCCCTTCGTATAAATCCTAGACACTACCCCGAAGGATTCTAACCTAGAAGTATCGCGTCGTTTCGTTCGGTCAAGGCAGTGTTTTGTGCGTGGTTGGGACAACGGCTGCAATAACAGTGTCGAGCTAAAAGTACGAAGAGAGTGTGGCGCCAAAGAGTACCCGAGGGCTCGGTAAGGTTAGCGACCTTGACGTACATGGTAAAGGACAGACCGTGCCGAGGGGCGCCCTTCGTGCATCCATCATTGCTATCCGGCAATCAGTGCCAAGCAACATTATCGGTCAATTTACCGTCACCGTGACCGGTCTCAGCCAACGTGAAAAAGCAAATCTCGTTACATCGTCCGTGAAAAACGTTCGTCGATATTCAGGCTGCGTTTGCTGCACGATCGGACACCGTGGCGCTTTCTGTCTATTACATTATGCTTGTAATGGCCGTGATTACACCATGATCATGCCGGGGAGCCTTTATACCGACAAGTAATTCTCATTAATTTCTCACGAATCCACGATCGCGTTTTTAAAATCGTTCACCATTACGGCGTTCGTAGATTGTTCGTCACTGTATATCAAAGCGAGGTTATGAACGCTCGCGCGATTTGTTTGTCGTTTTCTAGGTTAGAGGTGCGTTCACTTTGGGAACAAAAACGGGAGTTTGAGGTTGTTTTGCAGCTACCCTGACGTTACAAGTTCTCGAGACTCGAAGAAATGTAAGTACAACTGCAAGTACAAATATATTTCGAACGAACTGTGCTCGAATCCGACCGAAAGCGATAAGTGTCAAGATTCTTTCGTACAAGATACGTGACGCGATCGAAAGTAAACGCAGAGATTTATGAAACGAGTCGAATAGAGATGCAAAGAGACAAAGTGACAGGAGACGTCGGTAAATACGTCGCGGAATCATTACTCGATGGAAAGAAAAGAGGACTCGCGAGATTGTCGTTCGCAAATTAATCTCGTATTAAATAATGCCGTTTGTTGGCTCGGCGAGGCGCTTTATAACATCGGCAGTCGTAACGTATAAATTACACGCACCGCGTTTATAACTTATACGGCCGAGGTATAAGTTATAAAGGCGTCGTACGGTCTATGAGTTATAACTGCCGCGATGGTAATTTATAAGTAACAACTGCCGAAGTTATAACGCCCGCGGTCCCGGAGACGTAGCTCCCCGTGACTCTTATATTCGTTCGCGACAGTTGCGAATCGAACGTAAATTTTCTGCTCGGGGGGCGCGGGCAAGTTTTAAAAGTCTTATGATATTTAGATATCTCGCCGCGGGGCCGTTTATCAGTCGGTCAAGACAAGAAATTTAATTCTCTTTTCGCAGTTCGTTCGCTTTAGCGTGACTTTTTAATGGAACAAGTATATAACCTAACCTGCAAGCAAATGATAAAACTGACAGGCGATAACTTGATGTAAAAGACTGCCCAGTTAGTTTCTTACGATTTCTTTTGTTCTAACAAATTGCTGGTAAAGCACGTGTTTATCGGTTCTACGTTTCGCCCGTGTGGTTTTTGAAATTATGTAAAAAATATATTTCGTAAGGAAAAGTAAATGTATGTCTACAGTTGACGTAATTACGTTCGAAGTAGTGAGAACGTAGAAAACGGAATACATAAATTAGTCGATTGTTCGAAATCATTGCAGTAAAAGTAAAAGAAATTTTTTAATTCATTCGCATCGATGTAGAAAACTTGTAGATGGCTGAAACTTACAATTTTTATTACTTTAGAATTCATTGATAGTAAGATATTATCAAGGTATTGCTTCTCTTAAAGAATTTCTTGACTGCCATTTTTGAGTAAAGAAGAGATAACCTAACCTAACATAGTAAACAGTAGCTTAGGAACTTAGGATCGAAGTATATTTTATTTGTAAATCTGGTAGTTTACAATATCTTAATTTCGATGAATATTAATGCCACTGACTGACAAAGAGTGTTAGATGAAGAGGGGATAATCCTGTGTCCTTGAACGACCACTTTGTGGCTCTTACGTAGTCGCTAGGGGGCTCCACGTGTCCGAGACTTGCAATTTAGATATCAACTTGTATTCCAAATGCATTCTGCATCTTTTGGTTGAAACGTATCGACCGAAATTGAACTTATCGATAAATATGGACGAACGACGATAACGAAAGTTAGAAAAACTGGGAAGGTTCACGCGGTCGGACCTGCGCATGTGCATAAATCTCTGCGCGGTTCGGTGCATTCCTCCGGAGGCAGGCGCACGTGCGTTCGCACGCGTGTACCGCGAGAGACCTCCGTAGACATCAGCGATGGTACGAGAAACAGGGAATCCTGAGAAAGACGGGAAGACGACGAGGGGTGGTCGCGGGGAGGGAGGGGGCGGGGGGAACGGAGTGAAGAGCCCACGTGGAATATCCAGTGCAGCATGTAAAAGTCCGTTATGCTCGGGACGTGGTGTTAGCGTGGTGCATAGGCGTATATGCATTAGTATGGCGAACGCTATAAATAGATGTAGCAGACCGCAGAGAGATCCTAGCCACCCCGCCTCCTCTCGCGTATCAGAATGCACTTGGTAGCGCTGGGTCTCTTCTCGTTTCTGCAGAACGGACCCAAACTTGCGGGACGGAGACTTTTCTACGAACGTCGAACGGTTCGTTGAATGAACCGTGCGTAAACCGAGCGCTTGAATAACTTGGAGGTTAGGATTAGTAACTACTTTGCGCGGTTCGTCTTGCATTTCGGTTCTCACGGTAAATCGTGCGCGTACGATAAAGACGTTGAACGATGTACAAGATAAAATACATTTTACGAAGATAAATGAATTTGAAGCCATAGAAGTTAGAATTATAAAATGTTACTGCAAAGAATGTATTTATGATCGCGGTTAGAGTTGCCATGGGGGTCCGCATAGATGGCGCTAGCATTTTTTTCGCGTTACGTATCGCGGTAGAGGGTGCTACCGGGTTTCGCGGACTCTATCGAGTAATCTACGAGTAACCCGATGGCGAACCAGTCCCTGGGCGTTAATAAGGCGTCGATGTAACGCCGGCGTGCAATTTAAAACACCATTTTCGCGGCGCAGGCCGTTATGAGATACCGGTACACCGGACCGATCCAGGCACAAACAGCTTCTGTTTTCGGCAATGAGGATGTCAGACAAGTTACGACACGGCCAGCAGGTGTTGCGGGGAGAGCCTGTCGGGGCCCCGGGTACTTCCTCCTTTTTCGTCCATTTCTCATTTTCCTTTGATTCTTTTGGAACGCGTGGCCCCGACCGAACACGCGAGCGCAGCTACCGTTCAACCTTTGTTGTATCGGGTCGACGATCGATTCGGGGACCAATTACCAGACGGCGCTACTCGTTGCCCCTGTACAACGCTTCTGTCTCTTTGATCTGACAGAAATTTCAATAGAACTCGTTATGGAAGTTATTGTGGTAAATGGCCCTTAACCGCTCCCGCGACGAGTCTCTTTCAATAGTAAAAACAGTTTTTTTTATTTAATGTTCCCAAGTACTTGGAGACAGAAATACAAGTAAAAGTTAACTCTGACGCGATAGAGTAGATAAGTTAAGATAAAGTTTACTCCGGTAAAATACAATATTTTATTTTATTTTACGTTTAGCGAAGTCCAAGGGTGCGTTGTAACGTCGATAGTTGTAAAATAACCGGCAAAGGGAATTGCACTGCGCGCGTAAGCGAGATCGGATCATAAAAAATGAAAAACGCATTAGATAATCCATTTAGCCAACGGCTGCGACGAGATCGTTATTTCATGCAGCATGTAAATTAACAGTTCAAGATTCATGATTCGCGTCGAGCCACCTGTAATTTCCGCGTAATGCTATACATTAACACTTTAACATACAATGCAATCGAATGTGCCGGTGAATGCATTTGCGGCTCGAAACAGCGCCTGGCTGTTGGCAATACGGTAGATATTTCTGCTAGCGTGCTCCTGCCGATTAGGCGATCATTGCAAATAGAATGAAACATAATTTACTCGTTAAAACCAGCGAGCATCTGGTCTATTCCGTAGTCGAAGGCTTTATTATCCGAGATGCACTCGTGGCGATAGTTTATGACAATATCTTGGATAGCGATTGAAACACTGAACAAAGAAAACTGATTTTTTTGCAACCCTTAGAGGCAACAGGAAATTTAATACTATTTTGCTAATTGACTGCTTCGGTTACCGACGGAAGATAACAAAATGTAATTTGGTATTGAAACGATCCACGTGGGAGTGAAAAATACGATCACTTAGTAGAGTAATGCTGTAAACGCTATGAGAAATATTACCTCGTAATAAATGTCCCTACACCCGGCGAAAACCCGATAAGAATACTTGACTCTAGCATCCAATACCTCCGCGCAGAAATAACATCTCGTTCCTAACAACCTGGTAGCGCGTCTATTAATTAAGTTTGCTTGTATTGGGTTTGAAATTGTAGCAGCCGGTTGCACGGAATAAAACCAAGTCCCAATAACATAAATACCATATATCCGTTTCTCCTTAGTTACCTACGGGAGGTAACAAGATAGCGAAACAACACCGTGGGGATGATTGGACATCATTTATCGAGGGGAAAATTCGATTAGTTAACGAGGTGACTCGGTAAACATCGAGAGCAATTTCGCTTGTAAATAAATTTTGCGAATACCAGTCCTGTACAATTATCGAGGGACGGCAACGAGACCGACTTGGATTCAGTTATCCGGGGGCAAAATTCTAAGAATAATTCTAGCAACAAATTTTGCAAATACTCCGCGGTATTAACTATCGTAGGAAGGAATAAAGCTTGGTTCGTTAGCGAAGTAAGAGTAATCGTGCTTAGGACGCGAAAGCTCATCAAAATAGCCGACTCAGCGTTATCCAAAGTTCTCGATCCGCCGGCGTAAATCTAAAGAAATCTGCCAGCCGGCCGTACGGCGTACGCTGATAATAACATCCCGTTCTCAACAGCCTATTGGCGCGTCCATTAATTAAATTAGCTTGTTTTCCCTTTGACATTGTGTGGAAGCCGGGGTGTTGGGTACGGCGAGACCAAGTATCCCGGGAGGGCTATCGACGGAACGGGCATAAATACCAAATTCCGCGGGGCTTATCCCGTCGTGGACGGGGCTCTTAATCCCCGGGGAGACGCGTTATCCCCGGCCAGTAAGATCGTTTTATACGACGAAATCTAAATAAAGTCCGTTCGAACGGCGCGTTATGCCGATTTATTTCAATAACCCGGCCGTAGTGCATGCGCGCTTAGAGCTAAGACCCAGGCCAGGGTCGCGTCCCGAAGTCGATTTGTGATGCACCGGGAGAGCCGGGCGCAGGCAAGGCCGCGCGCGAAACAGCCGGCCGCGCCGGATGGCCGTTCGAGGGCCTCAAGGTCAACGATAGTATCGAACCGCCCCACGGGCCCCGGCGCGAACGCCAGAGAAAGAGGAGTCGAGCGTGCATTGCATAATTGCGTCACGTTGTCCGGGAATCGGTGCTCTCGGACGTGCGCAACGACGGTTTTGCAAAAAACTCGCCGGCAAACTGGATTCCATCGCGAGACACACGAGGCGTACGCGTCGAGCGAGTGCACGCGCGCGCCACTGCGCTTATTTATATGCTCTCGCGAGACCGCGTTTATTTCACGCGTGCATCCACGGCTCTGCGGTCGTCCTTGCGTACGCTTCGAAAACGTCGCTTTCTTTTTTCTTCCGCGCATTCTTCTGCGCCGCTCGTTCGCTACGC